GGCGTTCAGTGTGCCTTGTCTTAGGCGTCCTTTGCACGAGCCCACCCTTTCCTTTCTCAATGATTCTTTGAATATGCCATGTATATGTATACGTCCTACCGAAGCGTGGGTAGCCTTGATCCGTCACTTGCTCGCAGCTTGAAGTTGCCAATCACAGCCTTCATGCAAACATGCAGGGCTCTTGTTGTGACATGTCGCTCGTGCACTTTCATGGCGCCCGCGGATTCGGGCTGATCAGCATGCCTGAAACTGAAAATGTATACTAGCCATTGATTTGAAACTTGCAATGAATAGATTTGATTTGAGGTCGATCCGCGAGAAATTCGATTTGGACCGTTCAAATCCGGCTACTAAGTGTCCTGCAAGCTCGGACCTTAGCTGGTATGTATACTAGCTGTACATGCATGCGGAACAACGTTGTCATGTTGAAGCAAGCGTCTGAACTTGAAGCGACCGCTAAGCCGGGGCCACACCTCTTCATATATATGGATATTCGAATTAGATCTGGCTTACGTCGTCCTAGCTGACTGGTCATTCCCTATCACCCACTGCTTTATCAATATTGAACACAGATACTCCCAGCTATTCTTCCGGCGACTGACCATTCAAAGCCTTGGCGGCTTTCAGCTTAGGTTCCAATTCGCCCGAGGCGGCCAGAGCCAGCGTGTCTGCGCGGAGGGAAAAGCGACTAGATCACGATGACGTCACTTTCTTGTAGGTGCCAGCTGTCATCCTAACTTCTTCAAGCCCTTCGTACGTTTGCTTCGTGTACAAATCCAGGCAATCGTCCGCGTCTTCCTCCCTGGCCGGCACAACTTCTGCAGGACAGGGGCACAAAAGGCCCTCAGAGATCTCTAACCAACTGGCATCACAACTCAAAGCTTGGAATCCGGTGTTTCTTCGCTCTACAACCAGTGTCAAGCTTTTTGCGGTTGAAACAGGACTTGAGACGAAACTTCATCAAGAGGTGAAGAGATTGACAAGGTTATAAAGATTGGAAGAATCTTATGTCAACTTTTGTGTTGAAATCAGGAATCTCAAAGAGAGATTCCCTCTATTTGACGGAATAAACGTGTTGGGGGCTCCAAAAACGCTCACCGTCAGCCCCGCCGATGAAGTCGCCCCCGATGAAGACGTACGGCACGGTGGGCTGCCCCGTGGCTTTGGTCAGCACGAGCTGCAAGATGTCGCCGTTTTCTGCAACGGCCGGACGGAAAGATGAAGTGAGCGGAACGAACTTGGAACGGATTTGAACGGAATGGGCACGGCAGAGTGATCACGAGCTGCACAATGTGGCCCTCTGCAAGTGCGAGCGGAACAGACAAGCGCGAGCAGAACGGAAGAATGGAAGGACTGGATTGGACAAGCATCCGAGGGAGAGAGCAGTAGTCGATACGACCGCCTTCTAAATGCTGAAGTAACTTGCTACACGACCTCTTCAGGCTTCCATCGCCGTAAATTACGATCTGTGCAGAATGGTGAAGGATCAGAAGAATACCGGCTTTAGAAACCGGCCTCTTCAACCGAGAAAGCGGCGGAGCAAGAACAGCGGAACGGACTGAATGGGACGGAACGGAAACGGAACGGACGGAACGGACGGAACGGAACGGATCTGGTTGTTTTCTTACCGACCACGTCCAGGTCCGTCTCCTTGTACTTGGCCCCCAGCTCGTTGAAGAGCACGCGCACCTTCCGGGTGAACGGGCAGTAGGTTTTGCTGAAGCACAGGGGGTTACGGCGTTTTACTTAAGAGGATAAGCAGCAGGTCTTGCTCAAAAAAGGGATTAGTGACGTTAGTTTTTCAGCCTCTTTGATTAACCTTGAATATTGCAGAGAAGACGAGAAGAACTTTCCCATTTCAACCAGGTTGAACACGGCTTTGGGCTTGACGCGGCAAACGCGAGCAGAAACTCCTCTGAGAATGACCAATACCGTGACGCTTCGCGCATCTGGGGATGGCTTTTTTTAATGACCGGCGTGCTGTAGCAATCGAACCTGCTGAAAGGTTTGATTGTCGGGAATCCTTTTTGCGCTCGACGACCTGGGCAACTTCGAAGGCGTATGAATCCGCAAGTAATTACACAGAGACTCAACCGAGCGCAACTGATCTTCGCAGATTACTTCCATGTCCTCTCGAGCATTCCCAACGAACGCAGGTCCTTTCGCATGTGATGCAGGCGTTCAACAACGTCGTGCTGTCTTTGCACACCGTATCAAGCGCATAAACAAATTCAGTTGGCCTGGTCTGTGATTGAAGAGGGAGATGCAAAGTCTTTTGCAAGAATCTGCTTTTGTAGAAAGCATAAGTTTTGGCCTTCATCATCACCCTAGCGTCTACACTACCCTGCATTTCAAGCATGCAGCGGCCACGTCGGGATCGAGCTCACTGAAGTCAAGAAACATTTCAGAGCAGACAGTCAGCAGATGGAGAGAGCAATTTACGCCCAATATCAGGGCTGCATGCAAGCCTCTCAAATGCGTTTCATTCTGCATTCCTCACCCAAACAGTGCGACGGGGTTCGTCTCCACGACGCCTCTCACGAACTTCAGAGCCGCGGCCGCGGCCGCGCCGACGTTCGACGCCGCCATGGACGCTGCCACGTGTCCCGTCAACGGCTCTCTCCCGCAAGGATCAGAGCGCCTGGAGCGGAGGGCTCACGGAAAGCTCGCGCTTATTGGTGGACGTCACTCTCGAGTTGAGAAGAAGCTCCGGACTAATGGAGCCTTCTGGAGCAGAGGGCGCGCAAATAATACCAGCTGCTGATCGTTCTGCACATTGAATGGAGACTTTACAAGGGTTTTTAGAATCGAGTTGGATTCACATCCTAAAAGTGCTGTCAATCACCAGCCTCGAACGGACATGGTGAGAAGTCTGTGGGCTTCCAGCTTTGGTAGCCCACAACCAAAGCGAGGCAGCCGACGCGATCGATTTGCAGCACTCGAGCATGAACTCGTCTGATATTACACGTCGGACCGTCGTATCAGTCTGCCACCCGCCCACATCTATGCAGGGCAATGCATGGTCTCAAGCGTTCGTTAGAAGCACGCAGACTTCGGCGCGACCGCAACCTGTCAAGCTCGTCCGGATGGAAGCTTAGGTTCACCATGCAAGGCATGCAAGGAGAATCTCCCTCGCACCCATGCAATTATACCCTGCGCTTTCAGAATAAAGAATTGGCATGCGCAATTAACCAGTGTAAGGCTACCGTGCGCGGTGACCCTAGATAGCAGGGCCAGTCGTTGCGTTTTACCGGTAATAACGTAGCAAGGTCATGGCCGCGGTCCGATCGACTGGCTTGCGCTCAAGTCCACATCAGCTGCATCGAGCTTCTTGCAAAAGGCTCTTTAATCTTTGTTCCTGGTAAAAGGGCGCCGCCATGCCCGCGCAGCGGCCGAAAACGGGCTAATTCATGTTCGTGGATCAGTTGAAGTGCGCGCCGGGACACTATATAACGTGTCGGATCCCTAATCGAGAGCTGCAGAACTTCATCATATATATAGAGCTAGGACGGTTCTAACACGCACAGCTTCAACCATGAAGATCGGGCCTTGCGCATCAATTCAAAGAGATGCATGCTGCACTTGGCGCCGCCTATGAGGTCGGTATCATGCAGATTTGTAGAAGATTCAATTCAGTGCACCACGCATTGATGCGCATATTTACTTTGAGTCCGCGAGCCCATGACGTGCAAACGAGCTGCTATAAGACATTGTTCCGTACCTCATGACTTAAGGCCACATAAAGACTCTTCTGAGTATCTTTACATTGTAGAAGCTCGCTGAAGTACTTCTGTATACGAGCAAACGGCACATCCCTTCTATTGTTGTTAGCGCAGCAAACGCGTTCCCCGAGTCGAATCACAGAAATGCCGTCAATAGTTGAAAGCTACTTCGCAAGAACCTCCTGATCGTCTCCTTTGCCAAATCAATCACTTCCAGCGCATCCCTCGTCAAGTCCTTGAGTCAGGCGCATGCTTCAATCGTTTCCTCGACCCCGCTTTTTCTAAATTGACTTTCGGACCACTGTGTAATGCTCGTACGCCTGAGCGGACGTCCGCCAAGCGTCGCGGTCTGAGCGTCCGTGATAAAGACGGCGACATAATCGCCGGCATTCGGTTGCACCATGGGAGCGCTTGCCAAAAGCCCACCCTCTTCATCCGAGATTGGCTGCTTAGGAAAGATAACCTGAAAAGTGAGGAGCGCCACTTAGACAAGCAGTCTTCGTCAGCAACTTTTCCCGTGGAATTCAATTACAGACCTTGCTCAGACCCATCGACTGTCATGGAGCACGATAAGCATTGGGTATCGGTCTTCCGGCAACCTTGGGAAACGAACCCCGGCGCAAACTTACAGAGCAAGCTACGCAAACTTTTGCATTCTTTACAATCTTTAAGTCAGTGGGAAGTCTTGCACACCAATTGGAGATCCGCAAGTCTCTCTTGAAGCAGCTTTCTTGAATCGAACCTGCTGCAAAGCTAACAGAACGATTCCAGCGAAACAACCCGTGCAAGGAGGAGGATCTGCACGGACCTTGTAATTGCCGTCCGTGGTTCCGACGAGCTCCGTCTCCGGATTCCGCTTGTTGGGGCCCTCCACCAGAACCAGCTGGCACGTGCCCACCTAAGCACAAAAGGGGCGCTTCATTTCGTCGAAGGAAAATCGCAAAGGCCGGAGAGAGCTTAGGCAAATGGTTTTACAAGCTTGCGAGCGTCAAATTGGAAAGGGCTTCAAAATCCGCTAAAAGAAAAAGAGGTGGAGTCGGGGACCTGTCCTGGCGGGCAAGCAGGGGAGAAACAGAAACTGGCATGACGCCTTCTCATTTGAATCAGGCGTAGGGGTACCGAAAAAGGGCGCAATAGGTGTACCAGTCACCGAGAGATTTCAGAAGGAACCGGTGTGCGGGTTTCAGCCGTCTCAGGAACAAGCGACGAAGGAGCATTGACCACTGCTTGTCTTCGAAACAGCACCACTTTATGATCATGATCAGACCACCCCCTGCTCTTTCGTTTCGACCCTCAACTAATCCGGTTTTGTCCAACATCAAAAGGAGGTACAAGGCCTTGAAGGATTCACGTCTGTCCGTAGCTTCGTCAATCTCTTGCCCCATTCACACCCCCTACCTGCGCTTTTTGCCGCTCGACGGCCCTCCGTCGAAACGTGTCAATAACCTCGGCCAGCCGCCGCTTCTTGACGTCATCTGTGACGTTGTCCTCGAAGCGCCGGTGGGCGTGCGTTTTTTCTCGGACGCTGTACGCAAACATGTACGCCATGTCGTACCGGACCGCGTCCAGCAGCGACAGCGTGTCCCGGTGATCCGATTCTGTTTCTTCGCAAAAGCCTGGGCGGAACGGCGGAATAGAGATGAGAATCACCAGCAGATTACAAGACCATAGAAATCTCTGCACAGGACGACACAAGCAACACATAAGCCAACTGTACCGGACCCCCGTCCAGCCAGGCAGAGTTTCTCCGTTGTCCGCTATCAAAAGCTGGACGGAGCGGGGGACACGAGCGGAATCCGCCGCTTCTTGAGTGCACATCGGCGAAGGTCGCTATGCGGGGCTGCCGCCGCTACTCCTACCTGAGATGAAGTCGCTACTGATTGAGATGTCCGGCACCTCCCGTCGAATCCGGTCGACTAGCGCCAGGTATGCTTCCCGTGTGTAGCCCCGCCGCATGCGCTCCAGCACACTGCGAACTCAGAGAGAGACGACGTCGTCAGCTCTTTTCTAAAGGGCTTCACCTCCGCGCTAGATCTTGTAAGATCCGTTCTTTGGTCCGACCTGCCGGTTGGAAAGCAACCGAACGTGTGCTCCGCTCAAAAAAAGGTTGACCTTCTAAGTGGAAAAAACAATCAAGAGCGTGCCCGATCTCAATGAGAGCCGCCACGGAGAGGACTCCCCAGTCGACCATATGTATACAATTCCTCTGTAACATACTTCTATCATAGGGGTCTCCCGTCAGGAGTAGTCCTGTTAGGCTGCAGCGATCCTCTAATCCTGATTATCTGTGTGGGGAGGTCTCGTTTGCAATTTTTCTGGTATACCATCCGCTCAGAATCCTGCCAATAAAACAATTCGCCGAAAGGTATCAGGGGAGTTTGCGCTAACTTTGTGCATATTCAAGCTGATACGAAGGCCTTCACGAAAGGTCGGTAGGGAGCCCCAATACACGATTCTCCTAGAACCCATGCGCCACCCCATAGGGATTACGTAGAAACGGGCCCAGTCAAGCGAGGGAAGGCGTCGACAGAACAGCTGTCGACGGATGAAGTCAGCAAGCCGTTGCAAGCCAAAAGTGAAAGACCCAGTCCTCAAGTAAAAAAGCAGTCGCCGAAGAGCACATTACTTTCACCAAAAGCATCGGCAGCACAGCGAACAATAGAAAAAAGCGGTCGCAGACAAGTCCCGTACCTGGAGCTGCCGCTCTGTGCAGGCAGGTGGATCGCCTTGCACACGTTCGGTCGGTCCCGCAGCAACGCAATCAGCTCATCCGGGAAGTCTTTCGGATGCGGGGAAGTGAACCGGAACCGCATCTCCGGAAACGCGGCCGAGAGCGTGTCGAGCAAGTGCGCGAAAGTGAGCCCCCCGGTACGGGGCTTGTAGATGGTTTTGAACCCCGGGCTCAGCTCGGGGGAGGCAAACCGGGTTGGCGAGGGCTGCTCGGAGTGCCCGGGGGAAGGCCCCGGGGAAGAGGCGGGGAAGTGAGAGGGGTTTTGTGAAGCAGAGAGAGAGTTGGGTTGCTCGGAAGGAGGGGCGGGGGAGGCGAGGTCTCGGTAGCTGTTGACATTCTGCAGAGGTTGAGTTGCAAACTTGGAATCAGGCGGAGTCGATTATGCCCCATCAGATTCGATGTATAAGTTGACCGTGCAGTAGGTATTGCTAAATCTCAAAGGCTGGGTTGAAAGGGGAATCAATACGACTGTGCCTTAGGTACAAAGCCATCAAATTTCGTCGAATAAGTTGCCTGTGCAGTAAGTATGCCGAGCTTTTACAGGTCCAGGTTGACAAGGGTACTCGCTACGGGCGGAGGTCCAGGTGTCCTGATTCAAATGGTCTGCCTGTCTACCTGTCGTTCAAAAAGCTGTGAACCCCGTTCAAAGGTCTCACTTGTCCGAGGAGCGTCACCTCCTTGACGCCCTGGTCCCACAGCTCCCCGACCTCCCTCACGATGGACGCGAGCGGGCGGGAGCGCTCCCGGCCGCGCGTGAATGGTACGATGCAGTAGGAGCACATGTTGTCGCACCCGCGCATGATGCTAACGTAAGCGGAGACGGAGTTTTCGCAGATCCTGTACACGAAAGCAGGCGCCAGTGGCATTGACAAGTTAGATTGCGGAACTGACTTGGACAAGTGAATCAATGCAGAAGAGACCAAGAGTCTGACAGGACTCCCGCTCTTACTCATCTCAACAAGTGACTCAACTCAAATTACGAGCAGCTCGAACAGTCAAAGCGACACGCAACCTCTCTGCTTCGAAATGAAGTGCGAGCCCCCAGCAACTCTAGAAGACGACCTCCAAATGTCAAAGCACTAGGAATTCTTTGCGAAGTCAACCGTTCATTTACGGTAAGCCCCCACAAAGGAACAAGGAATAAGGAAATCCATGTTGCACCTGACAGGAGTGATGTCAGCATAGGTCTCGTCCAACGAGAGCATGACGTTGACCCCCGTCTGGCCCCGGTCGACTTGCGCGAGCAGGCGGGGCAGGTCCCGGTAGGCGTCAGGTCCACACACAACGTCCACGAGCTTGTCAGCCTCCAGGAGCTTCGTCTTCAGGCGCTCCGCCATGCAGCCCAAAACGGCGACCTGGAAAATAGAGGGTGCGGAAGAAGTCCTCACGAAGAAATCGAAGAGATTGCGTCAAGTGGAAAGGCTGGAAAAGTCGTCAAAACCAGCGTCGCCGATTAACCTGGAAAGTAGAGGGTGCGAAAGAAGTCCTCAATGTGGAGAAAATGAATGGACTGGAAAGGCTGGCAGAGTCAAAATACCATCGTCGATAAGCGTGATTATCGACCTTCTTTGGAGACCTTGGAATCGTCCTAGCGGGTCAACCGATGCCAGGCTGGCGTAAAACGAGTCCCAGGATTGGACCACTCGACAGTCGAAGCGGATCCTAAAAAGGACAACTAAGAAGGACGAATGCAAGTTATCTCAGAGCCCAGCAGCGTACATGCGCAGTGCAAGTAAAGAGGAGTGAAGAGGAGTCGGAAGTATTCTGCTGGAGTGATGTTGTGGGTGTAAGAAGAGAACTAGTAGCAAGAGTTTGCAATGTGTACCTTGTACACGGGGTCTATGACTGGGATTGGGCCCGTGAACTTCTGCCAGCTTGCACCTCCCTTTGGCAGCGCTCTGCAACCCGTCACCAGAAAGCGAACAACGCAGGAAAGAAGCCTGAGCTACAACCTGCGAAGAACCCCAAAGACGGACGCCTTGTCTCGAGAAGAGGGCTCACCTTGGGCGGTCGCTGAGCAAGATGCGCCCCGGGCCCGCTTTTCCAGTCCTGCCGCCAGTTCCTCTTCAGGTTTTTGAAATATCCAAGTCGCTGCCAAATCTGAAGCAAAGGATCAATGTCATATCACTTTCCCAGAACCAAGCTCTGGATTCTGGAATGGCAAACGCATCTGTTTGCGTCAGCATCATTATTTAACTAGGGAACAAGAATAGGCAAGACCAGTCCAAACATCCTCCAATCTTCTCGCTTCATGAAGACCCAAACTGTTGTCTGATACGTGAGTGGAGAGAATAAGAAATTGAGAAGTCTGCAGAGTTTTTCAGGGGCCCAATTGTGGTAGTTAAGTCAGGAGCTCAAAACCTCACACAGCTCTCAGGAAAAGCAGAAAATACTACGATCTTCTTACCTTCCGCTCAGCGTTCTCTCGAATTGCACACGTCATGACGAAGATGACATCAGCATCTTCAGCTCTCTCCGCTCTCTTGTCGAAGCCCGCCCCGTTCATGATAGCCAGTACAGTTTCCATGTCGCTCACATTCATCTGGCAGCCGTAAGTCTCAAAGTACACTCGACCACCACCAAGTCTAGGCTGCCCCCTCAGGTATGGAGTTTGTGGCAGGTTCGTGTCTCTATCTAGAGTGGGGTGACGATCTGATGGACGATAACTTGACTGAATGAAATCTTGGAGGGAGGGGCCTGAGGAAGGAACGGAGCGAGGCGCCCCAGCATTCGCAGCAAACCCTCTGCAAATGGTGGTATGCACTCGGTTTGTGCCGCTTGTCGGGTACACGAACGACTCTTCACTAGACAATCGCGGCACAAGGCCGATGAGACTAAGCTTTGAGGATGCAGTCCCTTGATAGTCACGCCCTGAAGTGGATGGCTGAAGACACACATGTCGCGACACCCTGTCACATAATTTCGCCGGAAGTGGCCGATGATGCCTCGCCACTGATTCTCCGTCCAGCCTATTCAAAGAGTCTGGTTCCTGCAACTCATTTGCACTTGTTCCTCCTAGCAACTGGTAAGAAAGCCGGCGCCCTTCTCTGAGCTGAGAAAGAGCACGCCGTGCAAGGCCTGCATCCCTTTTAGCCAGCATCTTTCCACTCTGACGAGCTAAAGAAGCGAGCCACCACACCCTAGGACATCCCTGCTGGCATTGACGCTTTGCTTCCGCTTCTGCTCATGCCAAATGTTGCCAGTGGAACCAAATTTGTGTTTCACTGAAAACCTGAGGCTGAAGTCTGAAGGGGGGAGGGGAAGCTTAGCGCGAAAAGGGGCGGCCACAGATTCGAGGTTGGGGGGAAGATCTGCAAGGAACTTGACCCCCCGATCAGGAATATTAGACAAAAGACTTGCAAACCCTAATTTTCGATCTTGGACCTTGCACTTTTCTGCTTCAAGTTCAAGCATTTGACTTCAGCTACACTCGATTTGGCTACACTTGTGCTTGCTTCTTGGACTTGAATCCGAGGTCCATGGCTTAACGCGCTACGGCATTATAAAAGAAACATACATACATTAGATAATACTGTGTCAGCTGTCTGCCATCACAATGCAGATGGTGCAAACGAGTGAGAACGCCAGAAGAAAAGTCGGGTTACGCTTTCAGGGAGCTGGTGCCGCCGTCGAAAGCTCCAAAGGATATTTCTTGACAGAGGATCACTCGTCCAATACTTCAAGTCGCGTAAGCTTCAAGACGGCCAAATCAGCCGCTATCGAAGAGCGTTGATTCTGATGAGACATCTGGGAAAATAGCATGACAATCCATTAGACAATGGACGTCCTGACCTGCTGTTGCTGTGGCAGCTTCACCACGAGCGACCAAGTGCAGCTTGTTCTAGCAAGTGAGGTGAGGTCTCAAGCTTTCTATGATGTATGTCATACGATGGCACTTAGAAAAATGTTAAAGGTGGGGCACTGGAAAGTACATTGTGACACGTATTCAGCTCATTCTGTTTAGGAGGTGGTCATGAAGAGAGGGATAGACAAAGGCACCCCACTTTGAATCCAGCAGTCCCCAGACCTGGCTGGTGAATTCAGTCCCTTCAAAATAAAAGTAGGATCTTGATAACCAAAGCTCACTCAGAGCTGAAGCTCCTTCCCACTTCGAACCAGTGTGGCCATTTGTGCAGAGTCACATTGGTTTATGGGGGCAGCGCCAGCAGTCTGCACGACCAGTCCTCGTCCACCGGCAACGCGCGCACTGCACTGCCGCTGTCGTCACCCCCTTCAGAGTGCCAGGCTGGTTGCAGGATGGACGAGATGGACTAGCGGTGAGCTTCCGTTTGCGAGGTAATTGCCAGAAGGTGGTGGTAGTTGAGGCTGATTCGATGGGATTGCAAAAGATGCGCTTGCTAGACTGACCAAGAGGTTTGAAAGCAAGGTGCATAGTAATTGAACTTAAGAGATGCCCTTTTTAAAGCACTGGCGCCCATTGTGGCAGAGAGGCTGCAGAAATTTCTTCGCAAAAGCCTGCCTTCACAGCACGCCGGAATGCACAGAAGCTGGCAGACAGAGGACGAGATTGCCATGAACCCAATGACTTCTAAGATACTCATCCCCACTACAGGGACCATGTTTAGAAGGTTCATCAGAAAGTGTTTGATAATTGGGGCATGTTGCTTGCAACCAAAAAGGCCAAAAGTCTCAACACTTCCACATATCTGGACAGTCTGAACCCAAACATTGTGTGCTGAGGGCATTGGATTGAAGTGCCATTCCCCATGCTGAACAGGCCCTGCTTTCGCTCACAGGCCATCTCTGCATCATCATCAGATCTACAGCTACTCTGCTGGAACAACCAGAAACAGGGCCTCCAGGAGCTGTGCCATATCCCAAACGCCCTCCCAAACATCCAATCGACGCACGACAGAATCCAAACAAGCCAGGCGATTGCCTTAGGGTCCTCTCTCTGCTGTGTCATCAGCGGAGGCGATGGGAGGCTGACTGTGGCGATGGTCAAGAAGAACGAAAGTAAGTGCGCAGACAACTGCTACCAATCTTCAGCTTAGTTGTGAAGCATAAACTATACAGATGATCGACCCCCAAAGTGCGGAAAGGTTTTCTTGGCTGCGGTGCCCAGATAGTGCCCTTGCAGATTTTCATGTTGCTTTCTGAGTGCGAAGCACTGGACTGACCCAACCTTACGGTCATTCAATGCATCAAGCTCAAAAAGCCTCATTAGAAGCAACAGTCCTCTTTATGCAAGGAACAGATTACCAAAAGAAGGCAAGAAACGGAACTTGATGAAGGAATCAAATCGCTTTGTTCCTCTCTACAGAAGGGCCGATCCGCTTTTGCGGCACCTTTCACGAAGTTCCACCCACACACGACGGCCGTTCCGGCGGCCTGCTCGGCAGCTCGACGCAAATCCTCAGCCTCTCGTTCCTGACTGATTGGAACGGCTGTCCTGAGGTCGACCTCCACGGGCGGCCTTTGCTGGCTCAGCTCGTTCGAGAAATAGGTGCGCGCAGCTTCCCTTTGTTTTCTCCTCCCCTTTCTCTTCTGTTCACTTCGCTTTTCTCTTTCCTCTTACTCGCACACTCAGCAAATGATGCCTTCCTCTGCTGTCCCCTCTGCTTCAATGTGTCCAGATACGCCTGAAATGTTTGCCAGTGATTCTTGCTTTTCTGAAGAGTTCTCACTCTGGTAAAGTGAGAGGAGCGGGCTTTCATTGTTTGCAGCTCTGGATGGTTCCGTCACCAGCTTCTTCCTCTCCGCCCTCGACGTGGCCTCCGGGGAGCTCCACCGATGCTGGCAATTGAGGTCCGTTCAACTCGTTCAAGGCGTACTTAACTTTCGATCCTGGCCTGATTTCTGAAATCCTGAAAACGAATCGTTCTCTGAATCTATTGACTCGTACTTTCTCGTCGCCCTGGACAACTTCGTTCTTCTGGTCTTCCTCGTGCAGACTGCAATGTGCCATGCGTAACAAAAGCTAGGAGAAGACAACATGCTCTCATTCCTCTCGTCGCTTTGCAGCAGCTGTCCTCGACCGGTTATTCCGGGTCAAGGTTCCAAAGAAGAATCCTCTACGTGCTGCCATACACGCCCCTTGCCCGTCGCCCTCTGTGCAGAGACCTCGAACCTTCGACCCGTGTCTTGCTGACGTCCGCCTCCTTGAGCGCCCCGTCGCCCGAGAAGAGAGCCGAGATCCTGCTCTTATCCAGCTCCGGCGGCATAGCTTATGACCGCAACGGCTGCTTTTGCAAGCGCATACGTTACGAGACGGAGCGCTCGTTTATTACAGCGGCCCAATTGAGCGAGAACCTTCTGGTAAGCAACCTTGCCATGGTTGTAACGTTGAGTTTAAAGGACTCAGTTTCAGCGGGTCCTGAAGCACCTATGCAGGGCGGTCTGCTTACATGATAAGAGGTGAAGAGTCAATTCGGGCACCGTAGACGGGCTTCGTCTTGTAGGTGGCCGACCCAGGCAGTCCTTGAAGCTCAGATAATGGGCTGACCTTCGCGATGACTGAGAGCTGCCTTGCTTGAAAGACTCATGAACGCAAGGACGAACTGCAGGAGTACCGTCTCAAATGTGTGAGGTTCTGGACTTGATTTGAAGCCGTGTTGTTAGGCAAATTGATCAGCCGACTCTCTTAAGTCATGGGAACCTGAAGGCCGCGACACATTGTTCGCTCCGATGACCAGTCCACGTGTCCGCTCGCAGATTGTCGGGGACGCTGCTGGGGCCCTGCAGGCGGTGGACCTTTCCATGTCGGATTCCGCCCGTCCGTTGCGCTTCGAGCCGGAACCGGCTTTCCAGCTGCATTCAGGATTGCGGGTGAGTCACGCCGCATGTGCTGAGGGAATTTCGAGGTCTAAACAGTGGTCGTTATTGTGCTGAGAGTTTTGAAAGAAGCCGAAACGGCTGTGGGAGCTTTAGGCCGGGACTTGCAGGAAGTCGCCGTTTTGAAGAAATTGGTGGTCCGCAGAAGTTATGAAACGTTTCAAGCGACTGGGGGCAACCGCGGATAGGCCATAGAAGGCCTTGGACGGTGACTCTCACGGGTTCGCTCTTTCTAAGGCGCCTCTTAAATCATATGTGAGCATCTGAGGAAGTTCTTCTGTGATCGAGGTTGACCCGTTTTTCTCCTGCTTTTCCGCAGGCTCTGCTCCCGTTTGCACAAGAACCTGACGCGTCCACTTTTGTCTCCGTACGGGAAAACGGTCAGACGTCTTTGATACGCTATCCTGGCGGAGATAGCGCATGCTCCATCCGGCACGTGCCCTCCACTGAGCTACCCGGCCTTGCCCCCGTGCACGACTTCACGGCCGTCCACGTGTCACCTCAAGAAGCGGAGCTTGTATTGGCTCACGGGTCCGCGAGGCACGGCTGCCTGACACGTGTCCAGGAAGCGGCGGAGCTGATGATCAGGGAGGCGCTAACTATCGAGCATCAGGTATCACCTAGGTCATGTTTTTGCAATCTATCGGTGGCATTTTACATTTTGATTTTCCTCGTTTCTCGTTTGGAGGATTCATGATTTGTTCGTGTTTGGGCAAACTGTGTATGTTTTGGAATCTGTACTTTGGTGACTGTATTCGACTCACGAAGCACGGAGAGATTAAACGGAAAGCATCAGGGTCGCGGTACCGGCGACTTCGCCGCCGCACGATTCAGATCTAGCCAGTAGAGGGGTTACGCTTGCGCGGGATTTTGTTGGTCAATTGTCCCACTTCATTTGAGCATACGTTACTCTCATTTGTTCGTACAAACACCCCTCTGCATCTTGCACATATGATGAACTAATCGATGGCCTTCCGGTAGGAGAGAGCTGCATCGGACGGCCTCTGGCTTCGGCGAGATAAGCCACCAGAGTGCGTTCGTGTTACCCTCACTCAAAACGTCGCTCCTTTCCGTTTGCCACATAATCAAAGACCTTGTAAAGCTTGTCTTAAAGGCAGGTATATTTTGAAAGCCCCAGTTTCACCGGGCATCTCAGAAGGACTGAGAAAAAGGAAGCTGAGTCTGAATGTAGCCTCTCTCTTGCAGGGCCTCGGACTCCCCGCCCTCCTACCGTTCTCCCTCCCCTCAGACCGCCCCGCCGTCGTCCTCAGCTATGAAAACTCCAGCCGCGTCCTCCATCTTTGCGATGACGCCACGTGGCGCCCTCTCACCGCCTCGGCATTCGACGAAACCCTGCGCACGCTCGCGGTCGGGGCAGTCGGGGTCGGCCGCGCCTTCGTCCAAGTGACGTCAGCGGGCTTGCGGCTGGTTGCTTCTTCCCCGCCGTACGATCTGCTTCAAGAATTAGACTGTTTAAAAGCTGCGACTGGCAAGGCGACACGTGGACAAAAGCTGTTCTTGGCGGACGTCCGAAACACGAGGGTCGTGGTCGCCGGAACGGACGAGCTTCGGACGTTTGAAGTCGACGCGAGCGGCGGTCTGCTGCGGGAGGGTGCGTCACGGAAGAACGAGCAACAGATTTCTGCCGTTGGGCTGTCGGTTTGGAGCGGCGGTATGGGTCAACGGAGAGCAAGTCACGGAGAAGCGAGTACGAGCGGAGCAGCGTTGAGAAGCGGGCCTGATGCGGCGAAAAAAAGGGGCGGAAAGACCAGGAGAGCGGAACCGAGCGGAATGCAAGGGAGCGGACGGCAAGAGAACGACAGGCCGCAACAATCCGAGTATGTAGTGGTTGGTTTCTGGACGAGCCATGTTGTAGAAGTCCTACGCTGGTCAGATCTCGAGATGGTGACACGTGTCCAGCTGGGCGGATCGGATCTGCCACGGAGCGTGAAGCTGGTTGCGTCGGAGGGTGTGAACGCGCTCTTTATCGGAACCGGGGAGGGCAGTTTGCTCTGCTATGAGGGAAGGAGCGAGGGTATGGAGGATATTCACACCGGGCCGGGATGGCATGTAAGAGTTGGTTCGGGCCCTGTTTCTCTGTCGATGGTCTCCGGTCAGTGGAGAGAAGAGTCTGCGGACAGTGGTGGTTTCGAACAGGCTCGTTCCAGTCAGCATATGACAAAGAAGATAGAGCACGGAAGCGAAAGTAGCGAGAAGGGAAAGCGAACGGAATATGAAGCGGAAAGCGGACACGGCGTTGGTGTGGTTGGGATTTTTGCGCAAAGCTACGGCGGAGTCTTTTTGGGATTTGACAACCCGTCATCGAGCGAGACAGAGTTGGCAACAGCAAGGGTCATCGGCGCAGAGGGACTGCACCACGTGGCGGCTTGGGGGGACGCCACGTGGCTGGTCGTCGGAGAAGACGGGCAGATACGGACGGCTTCCTTAGACAGGAAAGTAAAAGTCCGGCGGCAGAGCTTTCCCCTGGGAGTCACTCCGCGAATGGTCGCCTGCCACGTGTCCCGCGGCTGCCTGGCTGCGGTCTGCGCCCGCGACCGGGGCGCGGACAGCCTGCGCGTGCTGCACGCGCGCACGCTCGCCTCGCTCGCTGACGTCAGCCTCCGGAAGGGCCACGTGCCCACGTGTCTGCACAGCGTCTCTCTTCCTCTGCAAAAGGTGGATCGTCCGGATTTCGACTCGTACGGAGCACCGGAAGACGAACTAGTAACGGGAGAGTTTCTCGTCCTGGCTTCGACGGTGACTGGCGGGGAGCACGCGGTGTCAGTGCTGTCCGTTTTCGACGTCGAGGAGAGCCCAGCCGGGGACGATCGGGTGGCGTTTCGACTGTTCCTGCTCGGGTCGTACGCAACCGGTGCCGTCGTCTGCTCGATGGCTTCCGTTCTGGTCCCTCCAGCGGAAGCAAGCGGAACGATTGATGAGGCATCAGAGGGGCCGGTGTCTGCGCGGATTGCGGAGAGCGCGTCATTGCTCGCGGTCGGCACGCACGAGGGTTTGCAGGTTTTGTCGCTGACGGTCGACCGAGCGGGCGCGGCCGCGGTCGCGGACTTGGAAGAGCGAGCCGTGCTTGCAGCCCTAGCCGAGAGCAATGGCAAAGGTGTCAATGTTCCGGCTGGCGACATGCCCGCAGATCCTGACACCAATTCCGCAAGGGACCCTGATGGAAACACGGAAGCGGACGAAAGTGTGTCAATAGACGAACCGAAGTCACATCAGGTCGGGCTTCTCCAAGTGAAAGTTGCGGCGGAAATCAAGCTTCCCGCGGGAGTCACTGGCTTGCAGTCGAGCGGTAACGTTTTGTTTGCCGCCTTGGCCGATGGCTCGCTCTTACTTTTGGAAACGGTCCAAACGTCGACAGGCGTGCGGCTCGTGGCACGCTCACAAAGACGGTTCAAAGCTCCGCCGGCGTCGCTTTTCGCCGTGTCCCCAGCGCGCGTTCTCGTTTACTGTACTGGCCGACGCAGGGTCAGTCTTTTGGAGCGGGACTTAGCGGCAGAGGCTGCATACGAGGAGAAAGAAAAGCGCACGGCCGTGCGCATAAGCGAAGCTGGGGGGCTGGATTTGTCAAATCCCACCGGTAACGCGGATATACAGATGAGCGGTTGTCAGTTGAAGGAGTTGGAAGGTCTGCCCCTGCTAGAGATGAGGGACATCGATTATGCTATGCCAAATGCTGCAATTGGTTTCTGTAAGCTTCTTCGAAAGTTAGGGGCGTCGAAGACTGAAACAGGGGAGGTAAATGTCGTGTTGCAGCAGGATCTGTTTGCAGTGTTGGCGGACGGGACCGTCGAGACGTTGCCCAGTGCAATGTTCTGATGCCTTGAAGCATTTTTGGGCCAGAAAGTGGAGTTTAAGAAGCATATCAGAGCCAGTAGTGGACGTGACCGTTAGGCACAGTGCGCTTAATGCTATTTATGACAAGAATCTTTGAGACGAAGACTACAGAGTTATCAGCCTGCATGATTAAGTATCGAAGTCACGTGCAAAGTACGCAAAGTAGGCCTCTTTATTGATGGTTTTGCACGGCATGACTGGCGAGGTTTGAACGAACTTGCGAAGGCAGCATGCGTATGGATAAGGAAACAATGAGTGTCGTTCTGGGAACAGGTTGAATGATCGCGCCAGGCCCGAGGTACATGGTTGATATCGAGGCTTCTTCATGATTTGTTGCAAACCAGATTTACGTGCGCTGCACGACTTGTACCCGCCAGATTGAAGGAGTTTTAGGAAGAACGGCGAAAATTGCTTGACATGACATTTGATTTGCATGGCTTAATTGGTTTAATTTGGTGCACCGCTTTGGCACCAGTAAGGCCCAGTATTTGTTTGCCATGATAGGTACATCGATCTAGCTAGTTGCCAGAAATTTGACGTGCGTGCCTAGAAACGATCAAATTATTCATGATATGTCTGTCCATCATCCATGGTATGTTGTCGAGCACTGTACAACGGACTCCAGCGGTGGCGGGATGCTCGAGTCACGTTCCGACTCCAAGCGGGACCGAAAAGCTGCAGCGTGACGCCAATGATGGCGCACTCAGTGATATATTTCATGCTACATGCAACCAGGTGCCTGAAGCCGTGCCAAGCAGCCAGTTGAAGTCGGCTCATGTCACACATTTCAAATATACTCTCAAATACTACATGTCAGCCGCAGTTGAATGGTGGCCAAATAAGTCTATTTCTTCTACATGCATACACTCAGGCTTCTTGGACGCTGTGGCTAAATCTCTGTATACTATGATATCTACAAGCTTAAATCTGCATAAGTTCAAACACGGAAACCTAGATCAAGTTGATCTCTCCTGGTCGTTTACTGCTCATGGTGTCCGGGGGTGTCTCGGCCTGATCTCTGATGCTGTTCACGTGTGCTAATCCGTATACTTTGACTGCAAGATACTTTCATGTCTGTTCTACAGATGATGCTCTTTGCATTAGATGCCGCTGCTGACTTTGGGTGATCGATCTCTCCTCCAAAGAGTCCCAGTCATTTACATTCATTTGTCCCTCTTCCTTCTGAAGTTGGGTGCTACACTAGCACCGCTCAAAGATCGAAAGCACTCTGGATAAGAAGCACGGTCGCTGTGTACAACCAGAGGATGTGTGCAAGGTAGAAAAGCCGCTCCAGCGCTCCACAATAGCTCCGGAAGAAGCGAAGTCCGAGCGACATAAGGATAGCGGCTGCCAGCTCTGCCCAAGCAATGCTCTTAAGCAGGCCCGCATGTTCGCCAAGGTGCGTGCTAGCATATGGCGGTTTCTTGAAAGCGGCGGCAAACTGAAAGGATGCGACAACAATCGTCACAAAGGAGACTAGGGCAAAGAAGAAGTGCAAACGACCAGAGACAAAACGTTGTTGTCCCGCACGATCAACAACCTCGACTTTCTGGACGTCATCGGGGGCGTTTTCGCTCATGTCGGTTGGAAAGAGCGAGGTGAGGATGCGAGCCAACCCAAACACTGCTAACAAGGTGATGGCCGCTGTACCACTTCCTGAAACACCAGATGCCGGAGCTAGGACAACTAGAATGTGACCAAGGCCGGCAGCAAGCAGTGCCGCCACTCCCGCAATGGTCCACCAGCAGACCCAAATCCAGGGGGCTGTTTTGTGTGGCAGCACTCCGTACTCGGATACCGCATTGCGGATTGGTGACCATGTTGTTGGCCGCACGAGGTGCGCCCCAAGGAACGCGGCCGTCCAGACGACCAGCAAAGCTAGAGATGCTAGACCAAGTCCGAGCGCAGTGGCATCCGCCATCTTGAATTCTGGAGTGCAGAATGATGGACGCTGAAGTGGCCCTGGGGACTTGGTGACTATGTAGAAGCAACATCCGATGTCAAGGCTCCTAAGGCAGACTTGTGCCTCCTGTGAGTTGGAACCAGTACTTCTAGCAGTCACCTGCAAACATAGAGAAGCATGGCAAAACTTATCTTATACATTGCACTCCCGTACAGATTTGAAGTTACAGAAGCCATGTCCACTCTGCTTGAAGATTTGTTCTGGAATGTTCGTTCTGCTGGCTAGTAGTGCACGAAATGGGATGTCGCTGATCTGTTGGTCACACCAGACCTTTATGTGCAAAGTCAGAGAGACATCCTAAGCAAATGATCAGGCCCCGATCTTACGTAGTCAGTACCTATCCAGCTTCTCAGCAACAAAAGACCCCAGCAGACCAAGAACACAATAATCAACTCACGAGATCTGGCAGTTGTGCTCAAACTTATTGAGCAACGAGAATAAGCTGGGGGTGTGAACCAACTCGCATGTTCAGAGACTTGTCAGTGATTGTGCTTGCAAGTGGTGTCTGAGATGAGCAGGCCAGTACTGGCAATACATGAATCGGCTCCAGCTCTCAGCATTCATACTGCTGTGGCACAATCCAAGATTCTCCACTAATGTGAGACTACAGTCAGGGGTCAAACTAAGCATCCTGCAGTCAATCCTGGATCTTGGGACTCATCATCTGAGCGGTATTCTCTGTCACCTTGTCAGCAGATCAAGGCTTGCCAGTGCTGGGAGCAGCAACGCTATTGCAGCTGAAAGGTGGCGCTTGCAGAAGAATATCAGGCCGCTGATCAAAAGAAGCTGCAACACCCGCTCACCGGTCGAAGGCAATTGAAGGTCCGAGCCTTCGTGCTCTAGCAACTCCCTCGCTGCCAACAGGTGCTTCTTGCTCTTGCTACAAAGCAAGCTGGGGAGCTTTAATTTCCAGGCTCCCATTCGCTCCGCCATGCCAGCATATCATGCTGCACCACTCCAGCGACTCGGAAAACGGGTTTCAAAATGCCGTTACACTTTTAACCGCCAACCCGTAACCCCCAGATCCCACTGCAGGGGGATCCCTCTCAAGTGTGCAAGCATTGCATGTTGCGAAGTGAAGTTGAGCTCTCGAGTGAGAAAAGTCGTTTTGCTTAGTGACTGAATGGACATGGCAAGTTTGGCATGCCAACTTCTGGTTCATGGTTTTTATATCGTTGTTAAATCCCGTGCAGCCAAGGCAGCGAGATAAGCTTTCATATATATTAGTGCATGACATGCACGATGTTCTCGATTTCAAAATGCCGGGTTCACATGTGGACCATAGGCTTCCATGGCATACCTACGGGTCCGCAATCCGGTTTCCGTGAACGTTACCGTGACCCAACGTGCTGGTAAATTTCGAAGCTGCATATGTGCGACAATCACGGACATTGGAGCTCGGACGTAGCCCGCTTACGGACACAGTATGGTAATTCACCACTAGGTGAAAACCGACGTACGATGAATATGATGGCCATCACATTTACCGTCGTATACACTTGCTTGGTGCTTTGTGATTGTGGCTCTCCCCATACGAAACCGGACACCCGGGATGGCACACAAGTAAAGCTTCCAGATATCCACAGCGTGTGTAGAAACAAGGGACCATATTGACTAACAAACAAAAATGAAACTAATATTTTGCTTGCTTGTTGGTTTTTCCTAAGAAGTGCTTACGTCGTATCACCTCAAAGCATCGAGCTACAATGTTTGTTGACGATACATGGCAGCTGTTCGACTTCGGAGTTCGCCCAAAGAATGTTAAAGCTGCACCTGATGTTAGCATTACTATACAACTCAAAATCAGAAGTCTCAATGCAAACCTTGTTCGACGTCCTGATTGGCAGGACTAGCAACTGGACCTGAAGAACTCCCTTTCCGTGGTTGGCGAGCTCCGGCATACTCAAAACCTCGGCCAACAAATTTCAGGGCCAGCATAGCCACTATGCAGCCACCAGCGAAGAAGAAGAACTCGTTGGCCTGCGGAAGAAGGCAGAGGAATGTGAAACTATAAGTCACAGGATCGTCAGCACGTGCACTCCTCTAAGAGCTAGATAGAGGTCACCTTATTCGCTGTGCAATGCGACGGCCACCTTTGTCAAGGTTGCCCCGTGACACTCAAGCAAGGTGCAAAGCACATTCTGAAACATAGACACCCCACAAGGAGACTAAGCGCGGTTCGAGGGAAAACGTTCTTTAAGGGCTGGGGCCACCCCGAAGCCACAGAACAGCCCCCCGAACGAAATTTCATAAGTGCAAAGAAGGCGGAACCTTATCCGCACTTCCACTCACGAACAGGCTCCCCAGCGTCCGATACAAGCAGCCTCTCGCCCAGACCATACTTTAGGAAAATCCTTGACATGAAATCAAAGGAGGATTCCGGGGCCGTACCAGCGAGAGGCGGTTCCCAATGATGCCGACAACTAGGACGGTCACCAGATTGCCCGCCGCAACGCTCAGCAGCCAGGCGCTCTGCACGACAGCTGTCATGTTGGAGGGCGCCTGCGAGTACGCCAGCTCCAGGCCCGTGATGCTGAACAGGATCTCGCCCGCCGTCAAGACCACGTACTGGGGCACCTGCATTTGGGTGGATCGACTCTGTTCAACACTTGGGACAAGTGCAGATATCGCACAGTGTCTAGTGAAGTAAGCAAATATTCCACGTATTGGGGCACCTGCATCCGGATGCATCGACCTTATGCAAAAGTTTTAGGACAAGTGCAGATGAAACAGTGTCTCTACCTTGCGTCGGTACGGGTTCGTGAACTGAGCAGAAAGACTACGTATTGGGCCATCTGCATTTGGGTCGAGCGACTTTGTTCAACGTTGAGCGAGACAAGTGCAATCGGCGCTTAATGTCTCTTCCTAGGGTCGGTACGGATATGTGAACCACGAAAACAGAGTTGGTCGAGGCTTTTCATCGAAACCCCAGAATGAGGAGCCCGGCTAGCGGGGAAGGTTTGCGTCGTAAGCTGGTGATAAGATGTGGGTTGGAATCACGGAAACCAGACGCTGGGGAAGATGATATCTGTGCGCTCAGCATCAGCTGAGAGTTCCAACCAAAACGGCCCCATCACTGGGTAATTGGCAGCTCGTCGCACCAATCAAAGCAGACCAAAGAAAGTGGAAAAGGCAGGGAAGCGTAGAAGACGGTACTGGCATAAGGATAGACTTGGTTGAAGAATAGCACAGTGAAGGGCTGCCTTATTCAGAGTTTCTATGGATTCACTACAAAGCCTCCACCTTACTTCCCCAGCGTAAAGAAACTTGTCACAGGTTCAGGGGTCTCGGACCACAATACCTCGCTTTTCCGCTCTTTGCCAAAGAAAAACGCAGCTTCAATCGCCAAGAAAAGACAACAAACAAGCGGATTCTCTCTACTCACCTGCCACAGCATGGACAGCCGTTGGTGCTCCCCGCTGTGCCCCCCCTTTCCCGCATGTCCCCCCTTCCCCCAGCCAGCCAAATCGGCCCCCCCGAAGAAACCCTGCCCGCTCCCGAGCCCCACTGTTCCGTTGCCACCGAAGACCCCCAGCGATGACGCCAGCCCCTCGGCGGGCTCCGGACTTCCGTGGTCAAGAGCGATCTGGAGGAACGCGGAGAGGACGAATGCGACCGCGGCGATGAACATGCCGACGACCATGCGGCGGATGGGCCGCAGCGAGACGCCGCGGCGCTCGAGGAAGGGGTAAATGCCGCGGTCGAAGAGGGGGATCATGATCAGGATGAACATCGCGTTGAGGACCTGCAGAGGGGGGAGTTTTGACGGGATGGGGGTCAGCGAAACAGATCTTTGCCGGACCTGAAAGGGCCGGGAAGAGATAGACTTCCCATTTTTGCAAACAAGAGCTGGGGGCAGGTAGGAGTGTGTATCTAGGATGTGCCAAAACCCTCTTTTCACTCGATGGAAGAAGCCAGAACGAACAAGAATATATGTAAAGTAGTTTCAAATCCACGTCAGTGACGAAAGTCGGAAGCCGTTGCTGTCTATCGAGGCAGCCACCACCTGAACCGCAAGAGGGCACCGACTTGATCATGCATTCTGGAGCAACTGAAACACTGACGTAAGAAGGTGACAAACTCCTTTTGCTTTGACGTTTGGAGATTAGCTATAAGGGTTCAGTGCTCTCAAACGCGAAGCAAGAGAAAGGTTCTTCTAGACAATTCCTCGATCCTGGAGTCGCACCTTCATTTGCGGATGCAGGAGACGCGGAAGAACAATTGAATTGGAAAAAAGAAAGACCAACAAGACAAGTGCTTTCTTACCTGCATTTGATCCGGCTCGATGACCAGCCCGAACGGCAGCCGCCCATCTAGTTTGCGCGCCTGGAACACCCATCTGCTTGACTGCTGGTCGAAAAGCGACCAGAACAGGGGCGCCGGCACAAACAGCAGCAGCACCTTCAACAGCCCCTTCACATCCTCCACGTCCTGGCTCCCATGCACCGCCTTGGCCGCATCGAGCCAGTGCCGCTTTGCCACCTGGCCCGCCGGGACGCCGCCACTTGGCGCGCTCCGGGCAGCCACTACTGGGGGCCCTGCCGGTGGCAGAGCCTGGGCGCCGATCTCGCCCGCCAGATTCCTCCTGCTGGGGGGTCTCGGAACAGGGATATTGTTACCCCCCCGAACAGAGCTCCCGGACTCTGGACCGCTGTCCGCGCCCGAAAGCAGGGCCTGCTGCTCGGGCCTGGTCTCGGGGGGCGTCCCGCGCAGAAAGATAGACGCCGTTCGCAGAGAGTTGCCCCCGATGAAGTTTGAGAAGCGCACGCGGCCGCCGATCCCGATCGGCTTACTCTGGGGGACCTTGACCTGGGGAGGCCTGGACGCCTTCTGTGGTTGTTCCGGTGCTTGCGGTTCTGCCTCAGGAAGAGCCGGCTGCTCCGAACCCCTCTGCGTGTTAAGCCGGATGGCGGTCCAGATCACCCCGGCGACATGAGCGACCACGTTCCCCCCCGGGGGCTGGTGCTTGTACGATCCGCTTCCGAGGTAGAAGAGAACGAGCGAGAGCATCATGAGCCAGGCGGGAACCGCAAACGCCCAGGTATAGCTGCTGTAGCTCCGAATCAGGGGGGTGATCAGCGTGCTCAGAACAGCCCCCGCGTTGATTGAGAAGTAGAACGCCGAGAAGAAGCGCCGCAGGAGGGTGTTTCTCGCAGAGCTCGGGGGATAGGACAGCTCGATCTGGTCCCCCCCAAATGCAGACACACAGGGCTTGATACCCCCCGTTCCGAACGCGATCAGTCCTAGCCCCAGGATGGTTAAGCTGGCGGAGTGGGAAGCCTGCGAGTGGAGAGCTGACGCGGCCATCGCCCAGTTGCCTAGGCAGTAGACGAGAGAAAGGTAGAGGATCGTCCGGTACTTCCCGATGTAGCTGTCTGAGATGAAGGCGCCGAGGAGGGGGGTCATGTAGCAGGCGACGATGAAAAGGTGGAGGAACTCGGTGGCCTGCTCTTCGCTCTGGTGCAAGTGGTCCTGCAATTGAAGTGGGGGGGTGGTAAGCGAGGGTTCTAAGCGACAGGAATATCAGTGAAAACGCTCAGACATAAGAAATCAGAGACCAGAAAGACAGAATGAAATTTCACTTCGGAAGGAGTTTGGCTTCCAAACTGTATGACTAAGCAGAATGACCGCTATAGATTCATTGCCAGACAAGAGATAAGAAAATCTCCAAACTTCTGGTGCACTTTGCGACTGTCTTGGTTCTCAGCAAGTTGCGCAAGTAAGATCTGGATTTTTATGACTGTGAACGCAGGGATCAGCCGTGACGCTCCGGCAACCGCCCCCGAAACTCAGAGGTCATTCTGGTCAACATAATTACTTTTCTCGGTTCCTAGATTATTAAGTGGACGCTCTCACCATGAAATACAGTGCCAAGACTGTGGACATCCCCTTATACGCAAAGCGCTCACAAAACTCAGTCCCCACAATACAGACAAGACTCGTAGGGAAGCCTCCCTTCTCAGCGTCAGGCTCTTCAGTCGGGCCTGTCTCTCTCCGTGCTTCCATTGACACATCTGCAAATCGCAAAGGTTTCCGCAATCAAAAACAGGGAGCAAAATCCCTGATGCTCAGCACACAAAGCGGGACAAAGCAAAACCAGAGTGTCCAAGAGGAGCCTACCACCAAGTACAGCGCGAGGACTGTCCGCATGCCATAGTAGCTGAAGCGCTCGCAAAACTCGTTGCCGACTATGAAATTCACGCTCGTTGGCAGCTTGGGCACCACTTCCTCCTCAGATGAGCGGTCTCTACCTTGCGCACTGCTCCCGCTCTGCTTGGCCTGCAAGATCGCCATTCTCGGCACCTCTGTTTCAGCAGAGGTTTATGCTGCAGGCGTGACGCTCTCTATCTACACGCAAGTGATGCTTCAACTCTCGTGCCTGGTTGTGACCACCTAAGGTGTACTAAGCTCAAGTCCCCAACGTTCAAAGATGGAGGTGCTGCAACGCTTGTGATGGACAGGCGTGAGGGATGTGCTTGACAGTCAACCGACCAAAAAGTGCAGGGGCTCTTGCTCCAACTCAAGATGCACGCAGTCAGCCAGATTCAAGGCCCTACTCAGCCTCCTCAAACGGTCCTTGTAAGCTGCAGGAATGGAGGGGTAAGGGCATCAGTAGTGCCTCGTAAGAATCATTTTGCAATCAATAGCTGCATTCACACGTCCACTTTGTTAAGCAACGAAATCATGCAGATTTGTAGTGGAAAGCCAATTGATCAGTAATCCGGAAACAACATATGCATCGAGATAGACTTTCTACAACGTATCGCAAAAGATTCAATGTAATTTGTCGTCCACGAAAGTTCAGCACCAAAACCCTGTCCCAGCAGTGAGTTTTGAGCTCCTTTCTGGATATGCAAGTCACCAAATGCCTGAAGTCTCTAAGTATCTGTGGAGCCTCTGGTTTGCGGGACCAACCACACGAGGGACGATGTACAGGACAACTGATCGGCATGCATATAACACCGATCTTTAGCCTGGGATAATAGTGTACACCAATGTCCAGATCAAGCATTCAGAGGAACTCACCAGGGCCTGAACAAACGGGCGCCTTGCCAAAGTGGTGTATGTTAACGACTTCAATACAAAGACCGTCGACTCAGTTGATCTATTCACAGTAGAGAAAACAAAGGAACCCCGTTCACAGCCTCCCAATCGTGAAGCCATGCCAGTATGCAGCGCACCTAAAAGATGCCTACAAACCTGCATTTGAAACCTCCATTGATCTTGATTCCAGTTCCATGCTCTTTGAAGTGCTGAAAAGGTGCCTTTTCAACTGTTTCCCAAAAAAGCAGGGAAAAGTGACGGCCTGGCAGAGGCGATAACGGTTCTGGTGCCGGGCCACGGACCTCGGCGGCCAAGCTGTAGACTGATGTCAGCGGTCGCCGACCGGGGCCCGCTTGGTCCTCGGACACAGCGGTAACGGTGAGTTGCTATGCCACGCGAAATCAACGCTGGCTAGCCTGTTGACACGTGGCAAATATGACACCTCAGTGTGTGGTGGATCAGGTGTCCCCAATGCTGGTCTTGTGATCCGTGCCCCAGTCTAGTTTTCCCCTCAAGCAGGGGTGGCGGCTGCAAGGAGCGGGAGAAGCGCAGCATGCTGATCAATGTAAAGCTCAGCTCCCTGCCCACCTGGCCAAGCCCAGGCCTCTGCCGCACATCCTTCGAAGAGGGCCGATCAGGGCGTCAGCTAACACTAGTGGTAGTTCAAAACTGGGAGAGCCTGGGTTGGAAGCAATTGGGGCATAACTAAGGCTGGCTTGCAAAGCACACTGTCCCCTCAGGTTGAGAATCTGCTCATGATGTCAACCTCCAGTTACATGCAGGGGAGGATGTGTGCAAATGCCGTTCAGAGCCTCGCCCCTGAGGCCAAGCGTTGCAGTTTGTCTGACGGGTTTTTCCAGCAGGAGACACAGCGGCCCGGGTGTCGTCGCCCCGTCCGCTGTTCACTTGCACGATGGTTGCCGTCGGAACTCAATTCTAGGAACTGCTTCAAGGCGCAGGGTTTTCATCATGCAGGAGCAAGAAAAGCTGGGCGATTGCGGTGCAATAAGAATCAGCCGTGGGCGCCTTCGGGGGGGATGATTGGAGCAGTCTCCGGTCTTTCGGAAGTGAGGGTGGCAAAGGAAAGCCGCAAGGGGCGACTACATGGCTTGATCGAAATATGTGGGTTGAGGCCACATCAATTGCATAGAAACAGGGCCTTGGAGACACTACGGCAGCGCCGTTGCAATGCTGTTCAGGGGGGCGATACGCAGGGGAATCGGGGGGCAACTGATAGAAACGAAAGCGTGCGGTCTGAGGGCGCTAGCTCAGAGGAGGCAGAGGGGGAAGAAGAGAAGCCTCCAGTGAAGGAAGAGAGCGCCACGGAGAAACTGCTCCGAGAGATGAGGGAGGTGAGGTGGCGGGTCCGCTTGTACCAGTGCATCAGGCTGTCAACTTTTGCATATGAAGGGGTTTGCCCAAGTTATGTTGGTGGCAATTCTGCTTGAGGCAGATTTGGGTCGTAAGCTGTCCAAGAATTTGTACTCGGACATTTCAAGCTGAACTCAATCCTGTTGTTTTCACCTCTTAGCGCCTCACTTGAAGTCACTTAACATGGCACCACAGCTTGGAAGTTCTCCGCGAATTTGAGCCACCGCCTGAGCTGCCTGTCCACAAATCGTCAGGGATTGGGTGCAATACCATTTCATTGTTCTTTTTACAGAAAGCGGAAGAGCAGGCCCGAAAAGACAAGGAGGCAAACCTCTTGTACAAGTACGGCCAGAGAGAGTACGGGCGCGGGGAGTATGCTAAGGCAGTGGAGGCGCTACAGTCGGCCGTCGATCTGGTCGCAAAAGGATCCGCTCTGGGCGGAGAGGTGAGGTCGCGGAACAAGTACTGGTGGCCTTTCGAGCCGTCGTATGCGGCTGTTAGGCATTCGTATATTGTTCTGTGTTAGTGTTACAGACCACCGGTGCAGTCGAGGTCAATTCCCATACCTCCTGATCTTCTGTCTGGATCTTGATATAGGAAAGCCTGTGGTTCTGATTTGCGAGTGCGGTGGGTTATGTACCAAATGTTGCCCTGACATCATCTCCTTGCCAAAGAATTCGGTTCAACAGGATATATAGATTTGTAGGCATGGATATTTGTGCGCTCAGTCGTGTACGTTGGCACGGTTGACACACTTTGGAATTACCGGGCTAGCCCCGTCATCAGGGACTCTGCTTTATCCAGGGACCAAGTCCGAATACAACGCGCTCGAGTCAGTTCCAAATATTTCTTTTGAGTGGACCATAATCTTTGAGGCCCTCGTTTAGATCCACAAAACCTCCACTAGCAACAGGGAAATTGCCTTCTGAAAGCTTCAGACTTACGATTTCAGTCAAAGCTTACAGTCAGCACCGTTCCGTGCGGTCTCTGCAAAGTTGCTTTTTGTCAGCAGTCACCCTGCTCGTTCCGGGAATCCGGTCCTCTGCTCCAAGCAGCTTCTCTCTAATCAGCAGTCTTCTTGGAAATGCCTTTCAAGAGCTTCAAGTTGCTTTCAAAAGGACACCAAATTTGTCTTTCATGAGAATGGAGATATATCACTCCGAAAATCCACTTCAAACGAGTTCTGAAACATCGTATCCTACGGATTCTGGATTCGTTTGGGATGCTTGCTTATGGAACGAAACTTAAGGTCCTACGATGCAGATGCAAATCTGGCTGGCTATGGCGTTCGATGCCAATGGCCAAAGAGCGGACGGGCTAGCGATGTACCGCAAGCTCGAGGCGACCCACCCCATGAAAGCAATCAAGCTGCAAGCGGCTAATTTGCGGTACATCATGGAAGCGCCCCGATTGAAGATCTCGAAAGACGAGCGGGTGACCATCCCGCTTGTGGGAGAGGAATCGCAAACGTAAGCTAACGGCTGCCATTTTACCAGCTTCGTTGTTTGTATCTTCGCAGATTTGTACTGTCGACCCGAGTTCATGCGCTCAAGCTTTGTTGCAACGCTGTTCTTGTATCAAGCGGAGGACGTTCGAAGGACTTTGAGTGTCGTTGTCGAGTGTTGGTGCCAGTGGTCGTAATATGAAAATTTTCAGGCGATGACGAATAGCGGTTTCCAGCTCCGTCGATTTCCCTCTCGCCCAAACTAGACACTAGTTTTAGAACCTGTAATTCTCCTATGTGCAGCGGAAAACCCTCGTTCACGGAACTCTACAAGGAGAAGAGACGAGCGAACTATAGGAAAACCAGGAAACTCGAGCCAGATATCTGGGATCGCATCGAGTGGAAGCCCCCTCGATGGCAGAAAAATCCCTACGTTTGGGTTGCATTCACGTTGTGGTTGACATTGATTGCCGTTACGATGGCCTTCGGTGATTGATTCCCCGGTTGCAGACAACTGAAACCGTCGCTGATTCCGGGGTTTTCCTAATGCTTCGCTTTCAGAAAGACCAAGCAATTCACGCAGGCGCATTGCCAAGATTTAGCCAGTGTTGTTGATGCAAGATTTACAACTTGCATACGAGCATACCATGCCACAATACATTGTGGCATAATGCCACCCCACGCACTATCAATTGAGGCCTCGCAGTGATTGCATCATTTCGATATCTGTCATTAGTCCAGATCAACAAATCGAACGAACTTAGGTTGTTCCAAGAGGCTTTTGATAGTGCCTTAGCAGCGTGGATCATTAAGCACTTATTGAGTCCGTCACTGTTGCAATTGACTGCGCGGGTCATGGTCACACATGTTATTTGCAAACTTCCGACCATGTCCGCAGCATATGGTGCAGCCAATCTTTGACGGTAGCAATATCACGCTGTTCATCAGTGTCTCTAGCCTGTATGAGTTGGAGATTCATGGGTGCAGACGCGTCCTTAAAGCTGCATGTATAGGCGGCATAGGAGATCCCATCATGATAACCTTGCATGAATGTTTCGAGGCTATCGATGGGGACTGTTCTACACATGTGCGCCCAACCCTTATATAGCTAGCGAGCAGGCAGGGCTTTGCCTTCGACAATAACCATGACGAAGCTAACCGTCTGCTCTCGATTAAAAAGGCTCATGAACCAGTCCGACATGCGGCCTGAATGCATGATGTAATCCTACTTTGCATGGGTCTCGCCTGGATCCTACCGTTTCAGTTCACTTCCAACAAGCGCTGGCAGATGTGTTGATCTGAAAAGGGATGTTTGGATGTTTGTAAGATTATAGAAGGGCGCCAGTCATGCAGCAGCCGCCCCGGAATTGTCGCGCTCGAACTTTGCCTTCTAGCTTTAAACCCTGCACACAAACCCCGTTGCGGAAGCAGCCAACCGTTGGCGCGGCCGCGGCCCGACAGACCAATCCCACTTAGCCGGATCGTCACGGTCCGCTTTGAGCTTCGAGCAAACCTGCAGGCAGCAGTACTTGAATCCGCTTCGTGCCGCCGGACGAGACTCCGAGATTGGAAAGGGAGATTGCTGGCCAGGCCCCCTTGCCGCGACATCATTCAAGGACGCGACTGCTGTGATTTAGATTCGGCGCATCATTAGCTCAGGTATGTTTTAAGCTGCTTGCGCTCTGCCTACGCGTAGTAGCTGGAGTTCAATTTTTCGTTTTTAAAGTATCTCGATTGGGCGTGGCAGGTTGTGCGTTGCAATCGATTCGACAGCAGGCAATTAGTAAGGTCTTTGCTGCATGAGGTGCTGCTTGCTGTCAATTGCCTAATAGCGAATCAAATAATTTCTGTTCTGGAGTCAAGGTATGGTGAAGCAGATGAAAGACCATATGCAAGCAGTATTTTACCTGGCTGAGTCCATTTACACATTTGGACTTCATAGATTCATTTCCTGCTTTGGTTGATGCAGGGAAGGGAGGGTTGAGTTCGCGCTGGTTCTCGAAGGTCTTGATCGCTTGATGGGAGGCAGTGACAGTGAATGTGAGAGTCTGGAATCAGAGAGCCTTTCGGAGGTCGAGTTTGCAAGCCCCTCTTCAAGCCCAAGAACTACTACCATGGCCGGACCAGCAAAGACGAGGCGGGAGCAGTTGAAGGAGTGAGTGCATCAATGATGATAAGCGAGTTGAGGCTCCGTGACCCTTAAAAAGCAGAGACCATCGACATGCACGAGACAAAAAACTCAATTCTGCCTTATCCTGACGGGGTTCGATGCAGAAACGACTAGAAAGCTAGGTTTGATCAAAATATATGTCTTTATTCCTGCTTTGAGAAAGGGCTCTCTAAACAATCTTGTTGTGTATTGTTTGGTCTCTTTTTTCAGCGAATAAAATGCACAGAGCCCTTCAAAGCCTGGGCCCAGAAACGCGACTTTTGCAGTCATCTGGTACACTTGTTGGAGCTGTCATCTTCATTAGCCAGTAGTAACCGCGGGAGACACACAATGCCTTTCAGCAAGATTATCTACAAGAATCAAGACGATTTGAAGTACCGGTTAGAAAGCTGCAGAAGCTCGTCGGCTTCGAATATTATTGTGCCAGTGCCGATTAGTTTTGGCTGACCTTGGAAAACGACTTCAACAGTCGAATGCATCTTAAACACTCTTCATCCACTGCAGCCAAATGGAGGACGCTAGGCTCGTGTACTTGAACACCCTTGAAGCTCCCCGAAGTGCCGTGAGCCAGCTTCGCTCCAAGAAACAGGAGTACCTGCAACTTTTGGAACAAGAGCGCCCAGATCTGGAGAACGAGATCGGGCGCGTGAAGGATCTAAAAGAAGAGACCTGGCCTGCAGGAGAGTCAAGTCCTGATGCGGCCAATGAGGTGAGGGGTTTGCTTCTTTATTCCCCGCTTTGACTGCTCGGTAGTTGGACCTTTCACAGGACGTACTATCAAATTCATGTGCCTTAGATTTGGATACTGCAGGTTCTTATTGAAAAGGCTTGGAAAGTTCGTGAAAGAACCAGGTTGCAAGTGACAGAAAAGTAACAGACTGCAGAGGCCGCTTTCTGAAAGAGAACTTTCGGAGGCTATTTTGGTCGTTTCGGTTCCTGCAAACTCGGGACTGTCTTCACGCTTTGATCGTACATCCTATTCCTCTTGGTTGGGGCGGAACCTGATAACATCTCGCATCTGACTTGACAGGGGGGGGCCTGTGAAAGGGGGTACTTCGTGCCTGTACGCAAGCCCGGTATTCCGTACGTCTGATGACGTCTTATCTACTCAGACAGTGCCTGCTACGTTAACAGCCTGGTCTTCTGTTCTTAATACGCCATGTCTTTTATACTGAATAAAATGGTTGCAATTGCAGAACTTAGCTGCAGCAGCTCGCACGGAGGTCCCAAAAGTCTCCTCATTTGAGCGTTGGACTTGGTGATCGGATCCTTTGTAACACTTTACCTGATTACAGAGTGCCAACCTTTGCAGACACAGCCCGAGGAATCGAAAGAGACAGTCGACGAAGATGACACGTACGAAGCGGAGGAAGGGCTGGATGAGGAAGAGAATGAAGTGGAGGAGTGGAATGAGGACGAGAGTGAGGAGGAAGAGGAGGAGAATGTGCCGCCGCCACAGGACATGTCTATAATGGTCAATCTCATCAGCAAGAAGGGCCGCAACGGACGCCCGGGGAAAACAAAGACCGTGCGGGTGAACGAGGGTGATACCATGAGGGCGCTCAAGGAGCAGATCAGGATGACTTATGGCGTCCCACTGTGGCGTCCCAATCCATAAGCAACGCCTCATGGTGGACGGCAGGAAGCTCCAGGAGAAGTACCACCACATCAAGAATCGGTCCATTGTAGACGTGGTATACTCGTAGCTTGAATGAGACAAATATGGCAGGGTTCTGTGCAACGTGACTCAATCTAGCTTGGCAGCTGCCTTCGTCTTTTCTGTAGCTAGCCCGAAGCACGTTCTATTTGCCCCTTCGGCAGATCGGATGATGCACCTGTCATTTCGGATGATGCACCTGTTCGTACATAAGAATTGGTGACTTGATTGAAGGAGCTTTCTTTGATTACTACTCGTGCATTCCAATGCATTATAATGCAGCAGTCTGTGTTGTATTCAAAACAGACTGAATGTCAATTCTAGTGAAAATAGCTTAAATTCGACCGTGATTGATCGACGAACAGTCATACGCGATTCGAGAGGGAGAAGTCTTGTATCAGAGACTATGAACCGTCAAGCATCACTTAGCGCGCCCGTCACTCCAGCATAACGATTGCTCGTTGCAATTAGTCGCGTACGTTCTTAATCTGAGCCGTTGGCTCCTGCTGTTTGCATGTGAATAAATCAAACGTGGCGGCTGCATGATGAGCCTTTCCTCGACGATCGACTTTTGCGGTCATCATCATGATGATTGGAGTCTAGTAGATTGCATTCCCCGATCCCTTAAGAGGTCTACGTACGCGAATTGGTATCCAAGGTGCACGTATGCGCAAGGGAAGTTAGCTAGTGTGCAATCAAGCTTTTCAAAGATATATTATATGCACAGCTTGATTATCATTGATTGACCGGATGCGAACGTCAGCATGGCGTGCCACGTTGCAAATGAATTCTATAAAGTCGGCATAATGGGGTCAGATCTTCAGTCGCAAAAATCATGCCTTACACTATCGACTTAACAGGACGATGTGATCCCAATTGCGACCACAGCCATTGCGTACTGATCATGACAAGGCGCCTGTGCACAGACTGGCCGGTAGCAAAGTGGCCCTCACGAAGTGAACCATACGCACATGCATGACATGCAGGATGCTCAAGCGACAAAACTTACAAGCCCTCAATCTCTGCATTGCGAAACGCAAAACCGTTTCAAGCGATCTGCGAAAGAGCAAGTCGGTGCATGCAAAACGGCCCCCTCCCTCTCCACTTCCCAAAAGCCAGAGGGATGTTTGTTGTCCTAAGCTGAGTTTTGCTCTTGATACACTTTCCTCACTCAGCATCTCTTTAACGATGTCACCCGGTGTCCTCGAGGGCAACTTTTTGCTCAACGCTTCCCGCTAACTCGTCTAGCTCGTCGGGATCCAGATCGTCATCGTCATCAAACATGTCTTCTAATTCCTGTTTCGTGACCGCCCCGCTAGAAAGAGCCGCCGACGGTCCTGCTTCGTCGTCCTTCAATGACTTGGACGCATTACCGTTCGCGCCCGAGTCGCTAGCCTGCGACAACAAACCAACAAAAGAGAGTCAAGAAAAGCCGTACCAGCAGCAAGGTAGCTATTTCTACAACTCTTTGGACAGCACAATGACTGCTAACATGACTGCAGCAATGTATTTGAACTTCCGCGCGCATCCCGCAGGTGACAAATCTGATCCACCTGAAAACTACAACAGAGCAGCCTGGCAGGCTCTTGACAAAGACTGTGTCTGAGCGGGTCAAACCGCTGCTCTGAAAAGCTTCTGTAAAGTCTGCCCGAGCTGTTTTCTTCATTTTGTTTGATGAAAACTCTATGTCTGCAGCAGGGTCCTATTCAACATGAGCCCCCACCTCGTGTGCGGCTTAGTCTGGTACGGGTCGGGTGACAGTCCTAAGCCAGTATCTTGCTTATCCTGTTGCTATCGTCTCGACTTATCAAGCATGGTCGAAAGGACTGACTTGACCGGACGGGCATTCGCTGATCGTCGGTCGGATGGACACATGACCGTGCTCATTCAACGGCCACATTTCTGCCACACTCGCAGACATGCAGCGTCCCCCGCAAAGCCCAAATACCTGAACACTTTCAGCAGCCAAAATTTCAGCAATCTGATCAGTCAATATTTTGCCGGCACGGGGTGTCGATCAACCCTCCAGCTAAACGAGCTTGGTCAGTGGCTGAGGCTCACCTCTTTTGCTTCGGCGTCCGCCCTCTGCTCCTCTTCCTTGCTCCGCTCGTACTCGGCATACGCCCCGTCGTCATCCACGAACCATGAAGCGTCCGAAAGGAACAGTTCTCGCCCACTGCAAAGAGTCATATGCGAAGCTTCTTTAGCAATCAACATGAGGGGTTTGAAAGAGAGAGCCTTGTTTCAATCAAAAGCCTGGAGCTGACTCGGGGATCCCATGTTAGTCTGTGCTTCTTTGGAAAACCCCTCCGCTGACAAGCAGTATGGCCGAAGTGAACCGCTCACCCAAAACGAAGGTGTCTACGAAACAATGAATCGAGCTCACAACGGACTAAAAACAATTCTCTGAGCAGCGCCGAAGGCACCTCTGCGGCTTTACTGGTCTTTAACGGCAATGGTCAGCCTTTCGGCCTTGTAATGAGCAACTTTCCAACTTCTAAGTGGAACACCGGGAAAACAGACTGTACTGTCGTCAAGCAGGTGTCTCTTGTGAACCCCCAGAACGCTGTCGGGCACGTTCGTCTTTCAATCTGCACTGAATTGAAGATTGGTGGTCACAAACAGCATCCTAACTCGCCTGGAAGCGTTGCTAATCAGGAAAGAGCGGCAGGGGAAAAAGGCTTGCCTCAGCCGATCGTTCTTGGCCCTCTCGGCCGTCTTCTCGGCCAGTTCCTGCTCCCGCTTTTCCTGCTTCTTGCGCTTCCACTCCGCAAACAGCTCCGCCGTGAGGGGCGTCGACGAGGCCAGCTTGTGCCGCTGCAAGACGAGGACTGGGTCAGACTCTCATTGTCAACGTGCAGAGCCACGTAGTTTCAGGATCGCGGCCGCTGGGAAAGTCCATTTGATGCATGGCCAAAAACACGCGGGGCCTGCGCCTTTCTTGGTTTCTTGGTGCTCTGGACGTCGGCCAAGCGGAAGTAGCAAGCGTGGCTCTCCAGAAACATATCTCACTCCACCGCAAAACCAGGCTGCCTTTTTCAGCTTCGGCCTGTAAACCTTATCTGACCACTCGCGCTAACCTCGAAGACGTCAGATAGTCCAGGCCTGCAACCTCACAGAATGATGATGTGTTGTTGACAAAAGCCCTAGATTCCTCGATCTCACAACCCCACAGCCTCGCAACCTACAAAGCCACAACCTCACATCCCGAAGCCTCACCTCTGGCTCAATCTCGTCCTCAACCGCCACTCTGTTGCTCTCCTTTTCCAGCAGCGCCTTCATCTGGCTCTTATTTCATCAGACCCTGGCAAAAAAACCAGCCAAACCTCACTCTTCCAGAAACCCATAAATGGTCAACTGCAAACCCCGCATTCCCCTCACCTCTTGCTCAATCTCGTCCTCGACCGCCATCTTGTTGCTCTCCTCTTCCAGCAGCGCCTTCATCTGGCTCTTGAGCACGTACCCGGCCGGCAGCGCGTGCCGGTAGATGCACGCCTTTCCGTTTGGACAACTCCAGAACCACCCGTACTGCTTCTTCTCGACAGCGTCCAAGAAGAACTTGCACACAATCGCCGTCGCATTGTTTTGATTGGAGCTGAACTCGGCCGCCTTGCGCTTCACCACGTCCTCCAGCTTCTCCTGGTCCCAGTCCTCCATCGTCTCTGTAAAAAGTGCACGAAAACCCCTCATTTAATCTGCTTTACTCATCTCTTTTGTCCTGTAATGCTTTCATTGAATTCTCCCTGCAAAAATCTCGACGAAGAACGTCTTGTACCGGATGATTTTTGATGGCAACATTACAAACAGTCTGTGTGATGACTGCGAAATGCACAGAAGTATCCACGTGTCTCAAGCGCTTCCGCGACAAGGCAGCGCATGAATAGTGAAGGCACGAGAGCAACCGACCAGCATTACGGGCTAACATACGTCAGATTTTAAACTTGTTAAAGTGAGCGATTGGAGGACATCCTTTCCACACCATTGGGCCTTGCTTCTGCTGGATAATATCTCATTTGTGCTCCCGACGATCGGCGGCTGGCGGACGGACAGGGCCAAGCAATCAACGCAGTCTATCTCCAAAACACGTTGATTTTGTACTGATGTTAGGGCAGAGCTCCCGGTCTCACCTTCACCGTCCTCCCTTGCATCATGGTAGATATCGATCTTTGCGCTCTTGCGCTCAACCGACAGGTCATGCGAGAACTTGCACTTGAAGCCCTTGGCGCACTGGCCGTGCCGGAAGAACTCGCACACAATTGACTTGGGGTCCACGCCTGCACTCCGAACACGTCTCATTGTCACTTTGTCTTGATGTTACATGAGCCTAGTTGAGTGCACGGGGTGAGGCACAGGGGACTCTCCGGCAAAGGAATGTACTTTGAGTGCCCAGGTTTGGCTTAGTTCAGTATAGAGCAAGGGCATCCAAGTACCGCCCCGCATTGGACGAAATTCCATATAAATAGTTAAAAACCGCACATGCACAACGGGGTGGCGCCTACATGCTGATCCTAACCCAATCAGGTCAGGTCCACGAAACATATAGTGGCGCCAGAGACTGATGCTTCATTGCACATGAAGGACAGGTCGGCGTGCCTCACCTACAGGTACCTTAGGCTGCGTGATGGCGACCTTGAAAAGTTCATTAAGCTCCTTCTCACGCTGAGCCTCAGCCTCCTTCTTTTTCTGCAACAGACAAGTTGGCTACTTCAGGGCCAACCGAGAATTTGCAAGAACCTTAAGTACGATTTCATGTGGATCAACGATTAGCATTAAGAAACCTCTTAAAGTAAAGGATTAGGGTTTACAAGACACGAACAGACTATCACAATCTGCAGCATAACAAATACACCGAATCGATTGGGCACAGTCCTTCAGTATTCAACAGATAAGAAAGGTCGAAGGGTTGTCATTGTTTTCCGCAAGCATGCGAAACCTCTCATGCCACCATTACCAGGTTTCAACCTCTGTCAACAAATCAACTGACTGATTCCAGATTCGACTCCGTCAGCTGTTCAAGGAGCGCAAGATAATTCCTGCCACAGGCCAGGCTGCTGAATAGGATGTGTCCTCCCGAACTCTTGGTCCAGATGCCCGTAACCATGCCGTCACCTTCAACTCTGCAAGTTTACAGTTTGCGCAGCTGCATTTTTGGCTCTTTTCAGACTTCAGCCTGAGATGAGCCAGCAAAGGAGAAACTCCATCCTCAAATGCACACAATCCAGCAACCTACGAAAGAAAGGCTCCGCAGAGCTCACTCTTTGTGCGTCTTTCTCGGCATTCGGGTCTAGTTTCGACTTAGCCACCGCCTGTGCAGAGCTTTGAAGGTTTTTTACGTACTGCTGCACTGCTTTGCTCTTGTTCTTGTTCTTCAGCCCAAACGTCTTGTCCTCCGCAACTTTCTGCTTCTTAGCTACCTCGGCTTTTGTGGCGGCTTTAGCCGCTTTCCCCGACTTGGGAGGCATCTTGCCTGACCCTCCTTCGTATGCCAAGGCAAGGAGCTCCCTGCAATGTCTTCAAAAACCCAGGCCAACCAGCTCTCAAGCCTCGGGCACAGGGGCGCCCCAAATGTTGCTCCCTCCGTCCTAACTAGCCACATCTAGCTCCCTCTCGTCTTGCCTCGAGTCGATCCTTGCTACGCAGTGTTGTTTCTGCAAGTCAATTGCTTTTGGCACGATCATAAGATTTGCCAGCCCCTTATGAGCTGGGCACAAGCTATTCAAGCCCCCGTTCTTTTGTACCTATGTACCATCGATTGAAAAGGATCGACGGCGAGCGTTAAAAAGAGCCTTGTTGACATTGTTTGGGGGGTACTGGTAGAAAAGAAGGTAGGAACGCTCTGCAAAAAATTTACCAGGTGTAAAACCTTCAGATAGGTACTCTCTCTGCATTTCTCTCTCTTCACGGTGTTCACCACGCACCAATTGAATTTCATCTAAGACTAAAGTTCCTCATCATGTTCATGGATATTCACCAGCGGAAGATGGCCGCCACAACATTTTAGAAGGGCAGAAATATTCAAGCGACGCCTCAACCTCCACCAACTGCGTGTCGGTGCCGAGTGGTTTGAAGGGCAAGATGTATCAGCAAAAGCAGTTCTTCAAGAAAACGCGTGGAGGCAAGATCCTGAAAGTAAGCACTCCATCTTGAAGGGCCATCCACTTTCACATCAGCAGGCGGCATGCGTGGAAGCATCATATTATCAGCTCACTGTCGTCAACGGAGAGAAGCGAGGCCGTACCACCATTTTCTGGGGCCTTGAATACTCCCTTTCATTGTTCACATACGATATTGTTGTCGTGCTTCTTGTATTCACTCCATCAAGAGCATAAATCGAGGTGGAGCTTCCCAAACACCAAGAAACGAAGCTCTTTTTAAAACCAGAAGGGTTTTCACAGCATTGATGCTTCATGCTAGTGAACTTGAGCCAAATCCCTCACAACCACCACGCAAAAGGACTCGCTCAATTGACACCCACTTGGAACTGAAGCTTCTCTTTTCACTAGCTCTGCCTCCCAGGTGGTGGTATAATGATGGTCTAAAGATGAACAGCTTGACCACATTTTGATTGCACCACCTTCTATCAAAACACCTCCTTCGATGGGGCGCTGGTGGTCACTTGCGGTGTTCATTAATTGTGATCAATCATTCGCACCCTCTTCTGTTGTAAAACGACACACGTGGCTTACATATTGTTTAGGATCTTTTCTTTGAAGCATTTGTCTTTTGTTGTTTTTTAGTGTTCTTATTCTATGGTTGCAGGTTCACCGTGAGCACTACCTACGGGACGACATTGTGTGTGGCTCGCTCGCGTGCACTACCTGCGCCCATGGGGACAGCACGGTCCTCAGCTCGGAGGCGGCTCAGTATCTGCTGATAGATACAAATGTCGCCCTGCATCAGGTATAGTTGAGCACCGTTTCTTCAGGCGGTCGAGTGACTAGATACTCCAGCCTTTTCTGCCCATGCGGATCCTTGCACTAGGTTCCTTCTTTTGGACTTTTGGCAGTCACGTTCATAGGCTCAGTGCGAGCACCAGCACAGAATCAAAGGTGACTCTCCGCCCTTTTCGCACCTGGGCGTTCCCTCTAGATTAAGACAGTTCTGCACTTGCCTCAAGATGCCAGAAGCAGCTGGGAATCTGATTGATCAGCAAGAATGGCAGGTGAACCCGAGGATTTGAGCAGTGATCAAGAGACACTTGAAAGTCACGGACGGGTAAATCAGTGCCCGTTGGTCATATTCGAGTCACAATTAATCAGAAACTTCACAGCCCGTCAAGATACATCCTGAATGCTCCTGCCCATTGGGGCCATGCTTTGTGTCGCTGACTGAACAGTATGAGGTAGAACAACACCAGGGTTCCAACGGGGAATAAGAAAACAATGAAGATGGAAATCAAAACTGAAGTTGAAAATAGATACTCGAATTGCCCAGAAAAGACGGGTCACGACGTCAGCGGGGGGTGTTTGCAGATGGACCTCCTGGAGAACGCGGCCATCGCTGACGTCATCGTCCCGGAGGTGGTGCTGAGCGAGGTGCAGGCGCGGAACAAGGCGATCCACGGGCGCCTCCGCTTGCTGGTGGCCGACAAGAGCCGGCGCTTTTTTGTCTTCTCAAACGAGCACCACAAGTGAGTGCGTCTCGCCGGTCTTGCGCTGGGTTCTTCTTCTTTTTCGTTCTTGGTAGACCTTACTTTTCCATGCGTCAGTAAAGTCAGTGAAGGGTCAGTTTCTGATTCTGCTTGTGTGCCACTTTGGCTGGGGCGAATACTTAGGTTCTACTTAGGGGGTTCTTCCACCTAGCGGTCGGTCTTCGTTCCCTAAATTCCCATTGGCTGAAACCCCCTATTTCTGCGGTGAACCGGTCTTTAACTGACCGGTCTTCCGAATTTTCAGTGCCACGTCGGCGGTCAAGAAAATGCATTTTCTCTACCGCTGCACTCCAGCGGTAGAGAAAATGCCCCAGTGGTCTTCCGAAGCCATCGGTGGTTTCAGCCAATCAGAAGACGATGCACACCGTGGGGGCTCGGAACCCAATGATTGGGTACCCTGTCTGCACTGGTGCCTCCAGTTTATGAACGAAGACCGACCGGAAGGAAGACCGGAGGCCCCTTCCATCAAGCGGTGGTCGGTCAACAATTTTCTGGAATCCTATTGGCTACCTTCACAGCCCTCCGGTCTTTCTAGCTGGTCTTCGCATTTTCATTTCACGAAGACCGACCGCTAGGTGGAAGAACCCCCTTAGGTGTTACCAATCTATGGGGAGGGAACACCCCAAAGATGTGTTCCTGCGCTTTGCTTGCGACCTTGAAAGGAAGTTGGAGGCTGAGCACTGATTCAGTCAACGCATGGCAAGGGCTTTAGGCAGGTTGTCTCCCACTCTCAGCAAAGTTTTGGATTCGAAGGCTCGTGAATAAGATGTATGCTTCATCTGTGATCCTCTCTACTTGTTTCTTCCATGTCCAAAATTTCTAAAACTGAACAGAAGATGCCTGGAACGCTCCTTTAGTACGCCCTTCTCCACTCGTCTGTTGGAGAGCTTGTTTACTATTGTGACCTTGCGCATCTGCAGAGACACATTCGTCAAAACGGAGAAGGGGGAGATTGTCAATGACCGCAACGATCGCGGTAAGACGAATAGTCTTCTGACCATTTCCTCTCGATTTTCATTCTGATCGTTAAATTCCATACACGCAAGCAGCTATGCTGCCGGAATGTATAGAGACCGAGGATGACTGATTGAGCAAAGTGGGGGTAATCACAATTACGGATCTTGTTGAAGCTGACCGCCACGTTAGTCTGTTCTCGTCCTTGGCAACATCTGAATTGTGCCATAACATCAGTCAAAAGGTTGAATGGCCCACATTTGTGGTCCGCGACATGTATTGTCTTTAACAACGGCCTTGTCTGATTGATCGTGAGGTAGATGATCCCACGAGGTTGAACCCCCGGTTGGGCTTCTATTTTTGATTATCACCTGAAGTTGTTTCCTTTCTTATCGCTGATTGATTCGTGTATCTCTGGAATATGTTGAAAATTCTAGAACTCTCAGTATTCTACGAATCTTGGGAGTCTTCGACATCCTCCGCTCTTCACATTTCGACACCCGCATCTCCGCAGCCATTCGCAGAGCAACCACGTGGTATCAGTCCCACCTGGCCGGGAAGACGCCCGACGTCCTCCTGCTGACGAACGATGCGGACAACGCGCGCAGAGCGCGCGACGAGGGGGCCGCCGCGCAAACGGTGTATGCATACGTCCAATCCCGTACGGATAAACCGGAGCTTTTAGACTTTGTTGCGAGGACGGGGGACACAGGCGGGGAGGCGGCGGGGCCGTCGGCGGAGGGGGACGCAGGGCCGCAGGCAAAGAGGAGGATGCTCTATGCGGAGGTGAGAGGACGCAACATTGTCTTTGCCCGCCCAAAGGGTCTAAGCAGCCCACAACAAGCAGAAATAAGCAAGTAAGTTGAGAAACACCTCTGCTAACCGATTGCAAGGGTTTTTTGTGCAATTTGCATGCGCTTTTCAAGTACAAATTTTGTGACACAAGTCAGTCTGTGCTTGGGCCGAAAAAAAGAGTGCCGCTTTTGACCCTTGGTTCCGTTCGCGCTTTGTCCTCTGCTTCGCGCTGAACGTCTTTTCTCCCTACGATTGAAACCACGCGTGACGTGCACTCCCATTCTCCTTCTTGAACCTTAGCGGTAGGCCTTCTGAGCTTAAGCTTCGTCTAACAGATCCACGATATAGATTTTAAATATCAACTCTGTTCTGTCACCTTCTGCAGCACAAGGGCATGGCGGAGCTGACGGCGGGCCTGCAGAAGGGGCTGTTCCACCAAGGCAAGCTGCGCGTCAACCGCTTCAACTGCTTCGAGGCGTACGTCGGTAGCCAGAGCGTGGGGAAGGAGATCCTCATCCAGGTGCGGCAACGAACAACCTTGCCTCAAAAAACCTCGGAAGCCGCTTCGCATGGAGCTTTCGAAGCTGCGAACCCCTTCGAAGCGGCAAATAAGTCAAGACAGGCGGAGCGCAAAAGCTTCGGAAGCGTGTCGGTACCGTCTATCGATTGACGTCAGCAGATGGACGCGGAAGCTTCAGCTTCGTTGAGTTTTGAGGGTTCTGCCCGTCTGGCCCAAACTCTTTGCAGAAGCGTGTTCTTATGGAATCGGGGTGCCCATGACTAGAATCTGCAGACTGGGGATATGTGAGGTTGAACGGCTGCGACAATATTCTGGCCGTTGTGAAAGACTGCGATCCGCCTGAAGAAACCAGAAGCATACGGATGACCCTTTGATTGGTTGATCATTAGTTCTCCGCTTCGTTAAGGAGACGGCAATTTGCACAGGAAGCAGAAGTGTATGTACTCACTCGAGGCACCGTTTGGGGGACTCCTGTCGTCTAGACAACGTCTCAGCCTGTGTGATGTCCACTGTTAGGGGCGGGAGTCGCAAACAAAAAAAGTCACAAGTCGAAGAGAAGCTGGTTCCGACGACTTCCGAAGAGCGTTGCATAGGGCCACGTCGGCAGCAGCCTACCTCAGAGGATGCATCTGCGAAGCATCAGAACGTAGTAAGACACACGGAAGCTATTCAAGGCCAATCAGAAACGCCTCACTATGAGATACATCAAGTTGGACTTCTGCTGACTTTCTCGGCAGGGCCGCGAGGATCTGAACCGGGCGGTCGACGGGGACGTCGTGGCCGTGGAGCTGCTGCCCCCCGAGCAGTGGAAGGGCCCCGAGGGCGGCATCTTCCGGGAGCACGACGAGGAGGAGGAAGGCGTAGCGGAAAACGCGGAGGAGGGCGCGGGACTGGCTCCGGAGATTGCGGAAGACGCCCCCGGGGCAGCGCTGGAGAATCTGGACATTGGGAAGGAGGGGGGGAGGGTGCCGACCGGGAGGGTAGTTGGGATCATCAAGCGGAACTGGCGAAAGTGAGTTCGAAGTGACCACAGATTGCTTCTGGATTTCCATCGTGAGGCGAAGATTTTGATTGCTTCTCTATTGCTTCTCTATTCTCGATCCTTGATGGCCAAACACTTCGCAAACGTGCCGTGAAGTGCGTCAGTGACCCTCCCTCAGGATTGGCGGTACACTTTTGTCCAGTCGTTCGCAAGTGCCAAACGTCCAGCTGTCGAACTTTGTACTACGTTGCAGTTGAAAAGACGAAGGAAGCGGTCGAGTGACGTCTTCCCACGGACGCTTTCTGTTGCGAGGCTTCCGTTGAGAAAGTCCTTTGCAGGCTAGCAATCCCAAAACGGCGACCCTTTCCGACAGTGGTTAGGGGCTTTTTCGAGCCATCGGGGCTCCGAATAAGTTGTAAACTCTGATTCTTATCTCCGATCTTGAGAGTTCAAACCCTGAAATAAAAGTACTAAAGCGTAACGATTCACCGCGCCTTTTTGCAGCTGTGCGCGCTCCCTCGAGCCAACGAGGGCCCGGAGGGTCTGGCGCTATGGCGCACCCGCTGTTCGTAAGCGTCGCCCGGCGAGTGCCTAAAATTCGCATCCGATAAAAACCTTAACCAATTCTAAACGGCAGTCCCGAAACTACAAGCAACAAACCCTAAAATCTAAAGCACATCTTTCTGCAGCTATGCGGGCTCCCTAGAGCCGATGAAAGGCCCCGGAGGCTCCGGCGCTATGGCGCACCCGTTGTTCGTGAGCGTCGACCGGCGGGTGCCCAAAATCCGCATCCAGACGCGCCAGCTGGCAAACTTGGCGGACAAGCGAATCATAGTGGCAATCGACAAGTGGGACCGGACGTCACGATATCCGGAGGGGCACTACATCAAGACGCTGGGGGATATTGGGGACCGGGCGACGGAAAGCGAGGTGAGAAAACGCGCAGTTAGGATGTCGCACAGTTTTGAAAGATCATCATTTGGTGACGGATCTTGACGTTGATACCGTTCAAATTTTCAATCGACGTTCTGGATTTGCGAAGGAAGGGGAACACCTGCGGCAACAGACACCAACGCGAGAGGAAAGCGGTTGCGAAGGAAGGCTCGCTTCCACGGTTTGGCAACAATCTAGTGGGGCCGTCTGTAACTAGCTGTGGCTTGTCCTCTAAAACAAAGACCAGCGCTCTTTGCTCCGCTTGTCGCTGAAGTCCCACGGTAGCAAAGTCGCTCAGTTCCTTCCTCACGTCGCAATGACGTCCCTTTCCTTCCTGCTGACGTCACCGTTTTCGCCTTTTCCGCAGCTGCTGCTGATGGAGAACGACATCAACACGCGGCCTTTCAGTCAGGCGGTTCTGAACTGCCTGCCCCCCCTCCCCTGGTCCGTCTCGGACGCTGACGTGGCCAAGCCCTGGCGCGCGGACTTGCGCAATCTGCGCGTCTGCAGCGTCGACCCCATCGGTGCGCCGCGCCTAGTTCTTGCGCTGTTGCTTCGATTTTCAAAGATTGACTCCAAAAACTGGGCTTTGAAGTTGGAAACTGGACTTTGAAGTTGGAAACTGAAGTCTTTCATTGTGAAGCTTCTCCCTTCTTCTTATTTGTGATTGGAAGCTGGAAAAGATCGGCCCAGTTTGTGACCGTTCACAGAGGAGGTTCAGAAGTGCGGGGTGAGACTCTGAGATCTTTTGGGCTGTGATACTTCAGTAAAACGCGTTTGACAGCTTACTGGGCGCTTTGAAGATCATTACAGTCTCCTCTTTCTCTTACGTTATTCGACACCTAGGCGACTGTGTAACCTCAGCAGTCGCTCCGACGTTTCTCTGCAAGCTGACGTCATCACGGCCTTCTCTGCAGGCTGCCGCGACATCGACGACGCCCTGCATTGCACCGCCCTCCCCAACGGCAACTTCGAGATTGGAGTCCGTATCCTTGCCTTGCACTGGGCCGTGTATGTTTTCGTACCCTTTTCTGCTGCTCTGCTTCAAAATCCGGATGATCCCTGTCTGTGCCACACACCCACTGGAGATCAAGCGGGTTGATTGAACTCAATGCACTTGCCTGCTGAAGAGGAGCATACGATGTAGAACGGTGAGCAGCTTCTTGCATCTGAGATGAGAACGAGTGACGTCAAGCACAAGTGACGTCAAGAACGAATGACGTCAGAATCGACGTCATGGACTTTTATCTGTACCCCTCCCCAACGCCGCCGAAGATGCCGAGAAAAAATGAAACAAGCTCTGCGTGTCTGCCCTTGACTCTCGCCCCCCGCCAGACATCGCTGACGTCACCAACTTCGTGCACCCCGAGACCCCGCTGGACCTGGAGGCAGCGGACCGCGGCACGTCGGTCTACCTCGTGGAGCGGCGGATCGATATGCTGCCCAAGCCGCTCACCGAAGGTGCGCCGTCGCTCGAGTTCTTGCTTCTGTTTTACATTTCTGTTATTAAAACTTCCGCCTTTGCTATGTTGCATTCATCACTTTCAGATAGGTACATGATAAAGTTACAAAGAGAAAGTCGTGAAGCGGCAGATGGACATACTGCCCAAGCCGCTCGCGGATGGTCCGCCCCCGCTCTAGTTCTTGGCTTTGTCCCTCTTCGTTCCAACAAAGTTCCGCCTTTCCCAAGTTGCTCCTCGATGCGGCGGACTCGACATGTTGCCTCAGCCGCTCGTCTGAGGTCCGCCGCGCGCTAGTCCAACTCGGTATTTCCAGCTCCGTCGTCCCGATTCTTGAAACTCACAGATGATCTCTTCCGCAGACATTTGTTCGTTGCGAGCCGACGTCGACCGACTTGCCTTCTCCGTCATTTGGGTAAGGCCACGCTGCTACCGATTTTTGCAATCTGACCCTTTCTTTCCTACTTGAATGCCCATTCTTCCCTCATATGCTTTTTTGTGTTATACAACAAGGTATCTGCTGTATTCAGACGCCTGCCGGAATTGCCCTTGACCTTATTCATGGTTTGTAAAGCTGCAACGTAAGTTTCAATTCTGCGTTTCTCTCTCAGTAGTTCATTATAGAGCGTTTCTTAGTCATACCTATTTCAGCTCCTAAGGCGAAGTGTTTGAATTCTTTTGAAAGATCTGCAAAGTCTCTCTAGACAAAGCCTAGGTCCCAACTTCCTCTATCTCCAGCGGATGTACTTCCGAGCATAAGCTTGCAGAATCATCTCGTAATGCTTACGAAATCCTCAGTCCCGCGTTCCCAATCCTAATGCAATGGTCCGCCACCAACGTCTTTTGCCGTCTCTTGTGCTTTCAGGAGATGACCCCCTCCGCTGACATCGTCAAGAGCCACTACACGAAAAGCATCATCCGCTCCTCTGCGGCGCTCTCGTATCCGGAAGCCCAGGCCAGGATGGATGACCCGTGAGCGCAACCGTTTTCTCTGCTGTTCATTTTATCCGGGTTGAGACGAACGTGCAGGATTGCGTAGGAACGGCATCCCTGAGTTTTGACTTCGCCCGCGCATCCAAAATCGTAATGCACGAGGTGGTGTTTGCATTAAGCCCGTTTAAAATTCAGTCGAAGCGTATGGGGTATTTGTCGTGTATGATGCAAGGCGGGGGCTCAAGTAAACCAAGTCGGATGGGGCGATTGTAGATGGTTTGATTCTCCGGCCTTCCTCTTCGGGCCTCCAACCCAATGATTATCTTGGCATGCTTGCATGCCTTGCCTAACGGATGCTCGGCCTTGTTTCGGCAGGCACATGTCGGACCCCTTGACGGAGGACCTGAGGAACCTTAACCGCCTAGCCAAGGTGCGCTGCTTTCGATTTGTTACGCTAGCAACCTTCCTGATTCCAGAAGCTTCTCCAATGAAGCCGAGCGCCGATAAGGTGGCTGAGAATCTGTGTGGATGCCTCCAGGGCTGTTGTGATGCTCCATGATGTCCCCAAGTTCCTGTGGCCGTTCCTTCCAACGGTGACAAACGGATCGTCATCTCGGTTGCAGCTTCTGTTGCTACCGGCTCTGATTCGACAAGCTAAGCGTTGATGCTGCTTCGGTCGAACAAAGGCAGCGAACTCTGAAAAACCTGTGCAGATCATGCGCCAACTCCTCCGCTGTTGTGGGGCATCAATGTCTCTTCAGAGTTTCTATCATTGTGCCTCCCGATTGACGATATCGGTCACCCGTCATGATGGTTTCGCTCCTTACTCTTATCTGACGATTTCGCGCACTGAATTGTTCGCTTTGGTCGAACAGAGGCTTGAAAACTTGAGAGTCTCTGCAGATCATGCGCCAACGGCGGACGGAGCGTGGCGCGCTGACCCTGGCGTCCCCGGAAGTAAAGTTTGAGATCGACACGGAGACGCACAACCCGCTGGATGTCGGTGAGTCACCGTCCTCGGTCTTGGCAGCACAGTCGACAGCCTGGCTTGCAATTCCCTAACAAGAATCACTAGAGCCGTAGTAAAAGCGCGACCATGTCTCATTGTGTTGCACCGGGCCTGGTGACTGTTGCGCAATCAGTCTTATGATCGCCAACGTTGTAGATCAGAACCGATACCGTGTTACTCGAGAAAAGAAGAAAGAACTGAAGATCATGAATGAATGAATGCAATTGGCACGGTCCCGAAATGATTATTTGTTGACAGTTGGCCAGGTGCATATCTAGGAAGCCAAGTGAGGCCACAAAGGGTGAGATCCGAAACATATAAAAGTGCTCTATCAGCTGACCTTGGCTAGAGCAAGAAATTGACCAGGTTTGCGTCTTGACCCTAAAAACTCGCTTCCAATTTTCCCGGGTTTCTTCCAAGGGAAATTATAGGCCGGTAAAGAGGGAGGAGGTGGGGGGTTAGAAGTTTTAGCAGGGGCCTGACTTGTCTTTTTCGTCTGACTTTCCACCTCCAAACTGCGATCTCCAAGATACTTGACATTTGCTGCTTTTAGACCAAGCTCGTGCTGAAGTCAGGTTGCTAAGCTAGCCGCAAAGCATCGACAACTCCCGAGGATTCTCAACCTTTGGTCTTTCTTTCAAGCCTTGTCTCGACAGATCCACCTTTTCTCCGCGCAGGAGGAACACTTGTCAAAGGTCGTAACAAACGATGTCTGTGACCTTTTACAGAGGTTGCTTAAGAAGTTTCTGAAAGACCGGAAACGAAAGTGGTCTGCTTCTTGGGCTGCAGGCATGTACCAGATCCGAGAAGCCAACCAGATGATTGAGGAGTACATGCTTCTCGCCAACGTGTCGGTTGCCGAGAAGATCCTCAAGCACTTCCCTAGCTGCTCGCTCCTAAGGTCAGTGCTTCTGATAAAGGTAGCCCAAGTTTAGTGACAGCTTTTCTCTCCAAGTGTTGAGACATATTTGTTTTGTATACGGCTCTCGTAGGGTTAAGAACAAGCCAAACGGCAATATGTCATGACAGGGAAGCTTTGCTAGCGTTCTGGTCTCGGACATTTGGCAGGTGAGTGGGAAAGCTACGGCATAGCGTCTTTCACGTTATCAGCACGTTTTTGGCTTTCCCTTAGCATGTGCTGTTCAATCGTGCTCTTATCTTGAATTTTGGAGCCACAAGTCACCTTCTTACCGTCGCCCAGACATAGCTGAGTTCCCCTGGTGCGTTGATTATCGCCACGTATTCTTGGTCGTGATCAACGGTCTCAGTCCGCGTAAAGGAACGACTGCTTCTCCTCTCAATGGCACCTGCTCCTTCAAAAGCATGCCTACTTCTTCAAGTTCCGCCCTTTTAAGACCCAAAGCGTTGGTTTTCCTGCTGGATGGGAATGCGAATCGCACAACTGCATCGACATTTCCGCAGGCGTCACCCTGTGCCGACGCCCCAGATGTTTGAGCCGCTTCTCCGCACCGCCGCCGCTGTGGGGATTGAGCTCGACGTCGGGAGCTCCAAGGCGCTGGCGGATTCCTTGGACAGGGCGCAGGTGCGCTTTCGGTCAAAGCTGGTATTCTCTCCGGCAAGATCCACTAGAAAATGTTTCAGATTGATCGTGTATCATTATCTTTTTCGATCTGAGTCGACTGCGCTGTAGTTTTTGATTCTGGAGAAAGGCAATTTTGATGAGGGTGGCATAGGACAAGTTTGAGACGAAAAGACTGTTTGTTGAGCGCATCAATGCGATGCCAAATAGCCAATAGCAGAGAGTTGAACAGATTTTTGAGCATGTCTTGTGCAGGGCTCCGACCCGTACTTCAACAAGCTCATCCGCATCCTGGCCACCCGCTGCATGACCCAGGTGAACATGCGTCATGCTTACTCACTAACTAAGAAACTATCTAATTGATTGACAATCTAACTAACTAACCAAGTGGCTAAACAAATAATAGATGAACCAACTCTCTGACTGACTGAATAACATGCTTTTTTGGGGTTGCTGCTTAGTGAAATGTTGCTCGTGTGAGAAACCTGCACCCACCTTTCTGACCGGTGCCAAAGCAAGCTGACCTGCTGTCTGATTACAATCTTGCCATAGAAGTTTCGAATTCTCTCCAATCGTGCGGTTCGCCGGAAGGCCCCTTCAAAAGAGTCCGATCTGAGACCCGCTTTCAGTGGGGCCACGCGTTTTCTCAATTCACAGCTCTTGCCAAGAGCGTTTAGCAATTCGTTGAAACCTGTCCTTGGCATCAGTAGTACAGTCTTGACTTGCTCGGACAAAAAGACGCCGGTCGAAAATTGGGCGGTCAGAAGAACAAGCAGGATGAATGCGAATACTGATGTGATACTCGTGCGCGGTTCCAGGCGGTTTACTTCTGCAGCGGCGAACTCTCGCCGCCCGAGTACCACCACTACGGCCTGGCCTCCCCTCTCTATACGCACTTTACGTCGCCCATCCGAAGATATGCTGGTGAGCACGGCACCATCCATGTGAAATGGTTACAGCTGTTGTACGATAGATTCTGTTTGCCCTGGTTTCCGCCGTCTTTGGCAGTGCAACGAAAAGCGCTTCATCGGGGATTCTCCCGTTGCGTCCGGAGATCAAAGGTGAAAAGGATCGTAAGAACGGGCCGCTCTCCTGCCCAGTTGGGGGTGTTAGCGCAGCCCGTGTACAAGGCTTTGGAGTCGCTCGGCGGCGGTTTGGTGTGCCTTAGACATTCTCTTAGAATCCTTGTCCCGCGAGTTCTCGGGCAGCCAGCACTTCCAGCTACGGGCAGCGCCGGTGATCAAAAACGGCTCGTCTGACCACCACTTCCTTGACGCGCCTCTTGATTGTACCACAAGGCACTTTCGTCTCTTCATTCCCAATTTTGTCCTGGGTCAAATCTTTTCGGACTTCCGCATGGATTGCTTCGTTCGTCTCCGCCTTTCATCGCCCCGGAGCGCGACAATGATCTCTCTCGCGCCCTTCTCGTCAACTTCTCGACAACACCGTATACCACGTAGAAGTAGTAGAAGTAGAAGCTGCTTTGAAGGGGTCCCGGATCGAGAAAGAAAGTCCCGAATGCCAAAGGAGCTTGAGCAAAGAGGGCCCTTCGTCAAAACGCCTTTGACCGACTCGTTGTGTTTGCCCACCGTAGATGTTGTCGTCCACCGGCTGCTTGCGGCCGCGCTGAATTTGACGCCCCTGCCGGAACGGACGCGGGACAAGAAGTCCATGCACGACCTGTCCGACGGTGAGCGCACGCGCATCTCCGCTCGGCTTACGGATGAGACCCGTCTTCTAAATCATTCAAGCTACCTAAAATACTTGGCAAGATTGATTGTCAAAAGTTAGATGGTTTGGTCTCCGAAGCTGTGACACTCAAGAGCTTTCCTTCGGGGTATTGACCGTCTCCCAGCATTGCAGGCCAGAGCGTTTTGTAACACTGGTCATAAACCCTCAGGCCGCATGCCTGGGGAGAACATTTCTGGTGAAGAAAACGACCAATCTGCGTCTGCAGTGTGCTCTCTCCATTACCAGCGTCAAACAGTATCCAAGCTTTTGATCGGGAAGGACTGGCTTCCGGTCATCGAAGGGGTTGGCCTTGAGCGAGAGGCAGACCAGGGTGCGCCGACGTCGTGCTGACGGAAATTGCATCGATCCAAAGGAAGGGAGCGGACAAAGTCGCGCTGACGTCATGCTGACGCATTTCTGTGTGTTCCGCTTGCGCGCAGGCCTCAACTACCGGCATCGGAACGCGCAGATGGCGGGCCGCGCCTCGGTGGAGCTGCACACGCTTATCTTCTTCAAGGACAGGTGCGGACAGCTTTGGACAACTTATGGATATTCCGGATATTTCAAACTGGTCCTTTCTCTACCAAGTTTCGTTCTCTGGGCTGCTGAACATGTCATTAGTGGAAGCCCGATGTCACACGCCCGTTGCGAGAGGCGTAAACCACGTCTCCGACTTAAAGATTGGATTTCAAACGGTTGCGAGCTTGGACATAGGGCTTCTGCCGGGCCGGAACCCGCTCACTTAACCAGGTGGCACTCTCGTCTGTTTCTGCTCAAGCTTGATACCATGTGTTCGAGAGGTGCTGACTATCGCCTGCACTGATGAGTCCCCGTATATTGCTGCCACGTGCAGGGCCGTAGATGCTGAGGCGAGGATCGTCAAGGTCCGCTCGAACGGCTTCATCGTCTTTGTTCCCAAGTGAGTCACTCCACTCGTCAAGAGTCGAGAGCGAGCCCTGTTATTGAAGCACAAGCACAGCCCGGTTTAGTCGTTCGCCACACTGCTGTTCCACTGGTCGGCAAACCCCAACCCAGCAAATCTGGAAGAACCCGCAATCCTGAGCAGCAGTTTGCAATCCATCTTTGTGGTCGCTTTCCGAGAAGAAAGCCTTTTTGATCACTTGAACCGTCACGCAGATTGCGACAGAGGAAGGTAGAGTTCACCGGACTACCCAAATGCTGTGTTGAGCATTAATCAAACGCCGAACCGATCTCTTGTGTTTGCTTGCAGGTATGGCATAGAAGGCCCCGTCTATCTGACCAAGAAGCCGGACAAGGGCGCCGGTCCCGACCCGAACGACGACTTCGTCGTGGATGAGGAGCATCAAACGATCACTTCGAAAGACAAACGGCAAACGTACAAGGTGCTCGATACCGTGACGGTCCACATAGAGGTGCAAGAGCCGCAGCCACACCGGCCCAAGCTCATTCTGACGCTGGCGTCCGATTCCAAAGAACAAGACGGGTTTGCTTAGACTTTCTTGAGATGGTCAGGAAGCTTGGTGCTTGGGCAGTCGGGAAATGTGACTCATGTAATCATGATATGCATGCGGTCAGGTCCTTACATCGCACGCTTTTCTTAATCCCTCAGTTACGTTATCAAGGGAGAGATTCCGATGTTCTGTTGGGGCTCCAGTACATTACAAATATCGGGGTAAGCTACATATGCTGGGACGTTTCCTCGATCTCGACAAAAGCTCGAAGCACGTGTCGATCATCATGTCCGTGTTTGCTTGCACACAATGAATGACGCACCGTGTGCAAGGCTTGGATTGTCTCTAGGTACATTGTTATATATTTGGCAATGATTCAAGAATATATACTAGCCATTGCAATTACCTTGTGCGCGTTGGGTGACTCTCCCGGCAAAAGCAGTGGAGATTGAAACTACCAACACCACATATCTTTTGGATCCCATAATGCGCCGTTAAAATATCCGGATATCTGCATAAAGCTACGACGGTGCATACAATCATGCATGCGTTTCAGATTGACATGCATGCTCGACTAGCTAGCCTGCGGGCCCGTGCGTGCATGGCCGCCCGATCCGATCGAAATACACATAATGTGTGACATCTGGCATCACGCATGATCTGCTATAGTATACATCTTGTCATACTGAGCAACTTTGACGGATTGGCAATTACCAACTCGTTGCCTTATCCCCGCTCATAACGTCAACGGCACACTCAAAGTACATGTCGCTTGACCGCGCGTGTTACACCTACATATTAGCTCCTTCCGAGCAACTTGCTACTAGGTAGATTTCAGTGTTTCTTCATCAAAGAAGCTTCTCTATCCTCTATTACCCGAAGTAGCCTGCCGCTAGACCTCGATCGCCCCGTTTTTCACCCTCATTTTAAGTCTGTTCCAGATCATCTACACGAAGCAGCAGCAATAGAAAGCAATCAGCAGGGAACGACTTGATGCAAGTCACGCTCAACGTTGTACGTGCTTAAATACTCCTCTATCATCTGGACTTGTACCTAATTACCAATACATGCCACACGTACCCCTCAAGCCTAGTGCTTAACTTCGAGAAGCACATAAAAGAAAACTTATGTTGCTGTGCACCTAGTTTTCCTACTAGAATATACATCCATCAAAAATATTACTCTTGAGGGGAAGGCCAAAAGTTGGCGTTCGTCAAAAGGATGCCTGACTGACAAGTGAGTAGTGCCGCGCTCCTTTAAAAGGTTAATTTGGCAGCACCCGCCTCCTTCATCTTTCGCAAATACACAATCGTTCTGACGTCTCGGATCCAAAGACCCAGTACGTGCCTGCAAATCAAAAGGCCGGCAATATTTCAGATTGGGGTCATCTTGACAGTAACGCTTGATCATCACGATTTGCAAGCGTTTCGGTGCAGATTACTACCCTCAAATTTTTGAAGAGTAGCCATTCCGGCCATGGCTCTTGACGTTCTTGTTCGGCCACGCTTGGGTATAGCAGAAGAATTCGCAACCTCATCCGTTCAGCTATTCAAAACCGAGAAAAAGACCCGATTTTTTAGACGCGTCTTGCAAGTCACACGGATTGTTCAAAGTCCTTGACGTTTTGTCGACGAGGTATACCAGGCCCTTTGATAAGCCCTCAAATGACCAGGTGCGCTTCGCTCTCAGATAAGCTTTGGAAGCCCGCACTTTAAGCAAAGTGTACCGAAGAAGACGGAGGAACGACGGCGGCACGCTATATGGATCCACCACATCGCCGTCGGAACTCTCAGATTCGCCCAAATCCTCGAGCTTCATCGCCCTTCATTTTGCTGAATTGAAAGCGGCTGACAAAGCGTCGAACTGGCAAACAGCTGTCCTTGGAACCTGACAGCAAGAGCTACCTGTTTCCTCACAACTTGAAAAGAGCACAATCGGGTGCCTCAGCCTTTGATTCGGTGGCCCGCACTGGGCCTCCAGCTTACCCTTCCGCTGGGACCGCCCAGCACTGCACCCAGCTTCGCTCACTCCTAACCAAGGGAGGACCACAAAAAGGCCCTTCTCTGGCGAGAAGAAGCGATGTTTGAAGACTGCGGCACTGCAACTCGACGAACGGAGCAGACGAACTGCAAGGCTTACCACGGTGAGCGCCGCTTAAACCGGAGGAGGTCCACTCCGGTACATCTCCTTGAGCGAATCCAGGCCCTGATAGCGGTACGCAGCTGCTCTAAGGGACAGCAACTCTTCGGAACCCCGGTCGATCGATCCGCCCGTATCAGAACCCCCGCTCTCGAGCTGCTTGCGTGCCACGGCGCGGCGCTTGAGCTCTAATTCGGCGGCCCATCCCGCTTCCTCGACCGCAGTCGGATGGAGCATATTGATCAAATTGCCGTCGGTTCCGCGCCACTCAACGAGGAGGTCTTCGTTGGCAATCAGTGCCTCATGGCCGAGGTAGCGGGCGGCCTCGTTCTTGCGGCTGATAATCTTGGAGAACTCCTCCCAGGTAACGTACAGCGAGAATACAAGAGTGAGCGCGTAGAGGAGGAGCCCAATGATTGCGGTGGCGGCGGAGCCACGGACGGCCACGAAGGCGTGCGTCTCCGCGAGCAGAGTGCCAGAGTAGTTGCCGGCCTGGTATTGACGCGTGCTTACAGTCGTGAACATGCGCTCTGCGTTGTGGTTAACGAGCGACTTGTAGACGAGCCCAAAGTTGGGGACGTTGAAAGTGGTGACCGCAAGAGCTGTGATGGTGCACGCAGCCACGCGCGCAAAACCGCTTGAGACGCGCTGCCGGCGATAGAAACTAGAGCGGGCGATAAAGTGCGAGACGACGATGCCAGAAGACGCGAGCGCGATCTCGAGCGCGACAACGGAAGCCGCACTGGCGGCAACTGCATCTAGATGGATCTTCACGTCCGTAGAGGATACGAGGAAGAGGCGGTCAGCATCGAAGTCGAAGGGGATCTGTAAAAGAGAGCAGGCAGGTTAGCAACAATACGTATTCAGAAGTGGAGCACAGCCGTCGAAACGAAAGGGCAAGCGAAAGACTCTTTGGACCATCTGCGCACTTGCTGCATGAGGTCACAGCCAGACAGACGCTGCATTGTTTTCAACATCTGAAGCCTAGATTTGAATCAGAGTAAGGATGCAGAAATGAAGGTCTGACATGAGTATGACAGATTTTGTTCAAGCCAATGGGGACGCCTCTAGCCAGGGCACCCCTTCTCAGATCAACCTGGCTGTCCTGCTCTCTTGACTGCACGGTGGAAGCTCACTCTTGCAATGCAATTGGTTTTCTCAGAAGGGCGCATGACAAAGACAGGATAGTATCTAAACCACTTCTACTTGACAGCACTAAGGAGAGATCTTGGCATGGCTGGCGAGGCCGTCTCCAAGTCTGATAGAGTACCTTTCCAGCTTTACAGTGTACTTCAAAATGCAGAAATCTGTTGTATCATGAATTATGATGCCTCTACATTTCCTGGTCAAAGTGGCGGTCTAACTTGGCCCAAGACCAGCTCACCTGCTGTAAGATGGTTTCAACATCAAGGTGGTAATCTCTATAGCAGATACTGGATAGCTTGGTCAAGTTTGCCTCGGTGACCAACTCTGTTGGGTCAAGCCATAACGCCGTAACCGCCGCCTCGTTCCGTTGAGACGCATCACCAAAGTACAGCTGCGAGCAGGCGTCCTCTCCAAGATCTCGTTTAGTGACGGTAAAACTCGAGATTGTTGCCAAGCACGCCGCCGACGAATTAAAAACCAGCAGCTGGTCAAGAAGAGTCGTGTGGGCTTTGCTGGCATCCTTGATGTCATTCGTCTGCCCAGAGGCAAATGACCCATACTCGGCAAATGCGTTCGGGAGACACCTAGTATTATTTGATTGAGTCAGGTTGACGATAGTCTTGGGAATGATTGGCTCAGAGAAGGATAAGACTGGAGATGTTGCGATGGCTGCTCCCCAATATGCCGCTGCTGTGAGCGCCTCCTCGAATGATAGAAACGGGCACTCCACACCAGTAGGAAAAGACAACCGCAGGGTGAAGGGAACTGTACCCGGTCACCCGGGTCGTCTGACAAGCACCAGAATATGTGGTCCAGAAAATACAGGATCAATTGTGTAAAACAATGCAATTGATCCATCGCACATACTGTGGTGAACACTGTAGCGGGCCATCCCCACAAATCCTGATTGGAAGCTTGTTGCCACTAGTACAAAAGCACCAGCATACTGGACGCAGGCAAACTGAGGTATGCCCTCAAACTCTCCGATAGACCCCACAACGGTTTGCGGGTGGGCTGAGCTGCAAGGCCTGGGCGCCATGATAACCTTGTAAAACAACTCAGATCCATATGTTTTGCTTGCATACCGACGCTCAACAACGTCCGCTTGATCAAGTTCAAAAGTGCGTTGGCAGCCGACTGGTTTGCATTGATGAGCCAACCCGTGTTGCCAATCCCCTCCTTTGCCGTAACCAGCACTCCCCTAGGCTCCGAGTCCCGGACTCGCGAGTTGCCAATCATTACCCGCTCCAAGCTCACACAGTTCGACTCGTCCGACACGCAACGCAACAGCTTGTAATAGACATCCACGGCCACTCTGCCTCCCAGGCCGTTGCTGACATAGGCACCCCTTATGGGTGATGTCAGCGCAGCGGCGGCAATAGGACTGATGTCATCGGGCAGCCCATTGACGAGGTTGTACGCATTTGTGTCAAACACGTTGCGTCCTGTCAGCAAGGAGTAGTACTTGATGTCCCTTCCCAGGCGGCTGAGATAATAAGTGTTAAAGTCGTGGGTCATAGTTGGAGGGGCGGATACAAGTTGCTGGCTCAACACTCCCCCTGCTGTCCAAAAACAGACAAGGAACAGGAGCTGCGGCGTGCGCCCGAAGGACGTGCTAGGGACCCCCATGGTGCGCCTCGTGGATGACAAACTGGCCGCAGCGCCTAAGATTCGTCGAACTGGAAGTTGAAGGAAGAGAAAAGGCCTTCAGAAAGCTGCTACTAATGCAACTTTGAAGGGTTGTCAAACTGATACCTAGTCCTTGGCAGCGGCTTGATGTTAGGCCTTATCATAAGCGGAAAACATTGGCAAGAAGAGAAAAGCGGCGAGAGCAGCTGTGCCCACTGCCAACTGCGGCATAGATATACGGTACACCGTCCAGTCTGGTGTCGGTGACTGTTAAATGCTCTTCGTCATATATGTGCACATAGTTGTCCAGCGCTAGCCGTAAGTTGTCGACACCGGAGGGAGTGCTCTGCATGATTGGCTGCCAGTTCGTACCACGTGGATGGAGAAAGGTTGTTGTACACCGTACGGTATTGCCAACTCCCAATGTGGTTATCAACAGCTATAAAGCCATCTGGCATGACCGATGTCAAGCTGTAAAAGACCGTGGCTTGCTTTTTCAAGATCGCGTAAAACTCTTGCCTGTTGGCAAAACCATTGATGAGCTAACCGATGAGGATTTTGCGGCGCTTGCTGACGCTTGGAATAGAAAACAAACACCACTGCCTGTATGGCAGCATCATAGAGTTCGGCCCCGCCGTGGCCGTCCCCAGCCTCCTGTGGCTCCAAGCACCCATGCTCGAACTGTTGCGGCGCAACACCTTCGAGCTAGCCCGCTAGGTTCGGCTTCACCTCGAGCTTCAAACTTGGACCCTTCTGTCAGTGCCCGTCGCAATAAACGAAATCGGCTCCCCGATCTCAATCTCCCTGCACTTGCACCCGCAGCAAAACGGTCTGGCCCCACACGGCGACCTTCCTCCCAAGAGGATTTTGTCATGCCTGCTTCCTCCGCTTCGCTTGATAGTCAGGCTCTGTTATCAACAGAGTCATTGCAGGCCTTGCCTGCTTCGACTTCACCCTTCATCAACCTCGTGGATGCTCGTGCTTTAGCGCCTGCATCCAGGGTTTCTCTTTACAATCCTCCACAGCAACAACAGCATTCTCCACCTCCTCCACGACCTGCTCACAAACGCTTGAGGACGATGCCACCTCAATCACTGCTCGACCTCAATCAGACTCCCTCCGACTCGGAATCCGAAGGCGAACCTCTCATCGATCCTCGACACGTCAGGAAACGGAGAAAATCGTAACGTCCCCGCTTAGACTCTTTAGTCTCTGAATCATCTTACACATCGCTCCGCTTTTGCGGTATGCCAGTCCGCAGACTCCTTCTGATGAGCTGCGTACGGCCAGATTGTACATCACAAAAAAAAGCCAACTCCCAATGTGGGGCTTGTCTCCCAAGATTCAGAAGCCCCGGGTAACTCAACTAAACACCCTAACCCAAACATTACACGCTCCTCACCCACACCCACCCTAACCACCAAACCAACCCTACCCGTCCCCCGGGCCGCTAAACCTTGGGAGACAAGCCCCTTACGAGATCGATCGACACTGGCCGAGTTGTCACAATCGGGTTGTCCACATGGTTCCCATAAATGCCGTGCCACCGTGGCGCAAAACCCACGCGGTGACCCTCAGTTGGGCGGGCCGCTGTTGACATCCGCTGCGGCCGGCTACTATAGGCTACAGGCGCGGGCCGCCTTCCGTTCGATGAGGCTTGAAGAGGCTTGCACACTGACACGCGCGCCAGCGGTCACTGCTTGACTCGGACTGCTATGCTGCTGGCTCGTCAGCTCGGTGGCCGCCGCTCCGCCGCGCCGCTGGCCGCGCCGATATCCCGATAATATATTTTCAGCTCCTTATCAGCTTCTTCTTTGCTGTCCCTTAGCACCTGCTTTGCACAATAGGTGCACAATTAATGGTCTCGCTTCGACTCGTTCTTGCAACCTTGCACGAGCCGTCGAGCTCTGGCTGGCCGCCTTTCCCTCATGACCAACCGCTGGGACAACGAGTCAGAAATGAGTACACCCTTTCGCTTTCTTCCTTTCTCTCATGCATGCTTGCTTGAACATGCTTTGACATGCTTCCGCTTGCACATCTTTGAGTATCATGGCATGATGCTTGCAGAGTGACCTCAGATGCTTTGGGGGGGGGCTTGGTACGACTGGCCCGAGCATGATGTTGGATATAGGGACATAGCTACTTTGTGGCAGCATAACACTAAGTGCCCCTGAGTGCCTGAGACCCATTGAGCTAGTGTTCCATTTGTTGAGTGGCCCGGGTATAGGCAACTCATGTAGAAAACGTACAAGTGATCGGCTGGGACCGCCGAAAAAGTGTGGGTCCCAACATGGTTATAAACATGCATGGTTAACATAAAAACACGAAAAACATGTTTAAGCTGAGAGTTCACGGCACATATGTCTGCTTGCAACCTTTATAGGCCGGTGTTTGTGCGTGCGTGACACAACATCAATAAGAAGTTCAATGGCCCCGGAGCTGGGGGCAATACTTTTATTTCCATCATGTCAGTAGCATGCATCCATAGGATTCGAGGGCCGAGTAGATCGGAAACCGGCAATTGAGATAGGATTGAAAGTAGGGTGTCCGGGCCGTTCTCGACACAAGCTGGCATGGGACACAATACCCCACGTCACCGGCAGTGCCAGCGCATGCTTCGATCGACCTGACGGTTTCTTACAAACCGTGATCGATCCGGATTCTGCATCACAAGCTGCCTTTGTTGGAAGTTCTCATTAACCTGCTTGCTACGTGTTGAGGAACTCCTTAATGCATCCTAAGTTTCCGCTGGTGTTGCGTCCTCAGCAGATTGGTCAATGGCAAAGTGATAGCCTGAGAATTCAAATGCGGTTTGCTTGCCCAGTATTCCCTTGATCAAATCATGCCACCAAGTCTCCTCCTCTCTTATTTGAGCTCAAACCCGTGAGCCTAGGGTCCGGGCCTCAAGGATTTGCATGTAATCAGAATCCCACGGTGCTTCGACATATCGGTCTGAATTTATAAGGGCGGATGCTTCTTCGTTTCGTGCGAAAAGCCCACACTTGCTCAGACATCTCCGCTCTTCTATTGCTTCGAATTGGTAGGAATGATTAACTGCCGAGATCCTCTCCCTCTTGTCCTTCCTTGGGCTTGTAGACACTGAACTCTCCAAACTCCCGCTTTCCGCTGCACAAGAGCATGGCCTTCAAATGATTGGCACTCTACGCAAGCGTTTGTCATTGACCAGAACAACAGTCAAGTCGACCTTACTGTTGAGTGCTTTTTACGCTTCAATCCAAGGGCATCGGTGAAGCACATTGACCTGGGTGGTCGAGTAAACCAACTTACCCCTTCTCGTCCTCTTAGCGAGAGTATCTGACTGTCTCTTCTGAATACCGCCCAACACATACCACATGGTGCAGGCGCCGAACGTGAAACAACCATAGAACGTCATTCTGTTCATGATCCCGGAGACGCATTCATGGAAGTCAGCTGTGTGGGGGAGTGATCTCCGAACGAGCGACAGGAAACAAGAAAAGGCGAACAGTACCAGAGATCGCAACAAGCAGACATCCGTAAAACGGGCGACCTGGCACGATAACAAAGAAAGCGAAAGAGAGAGGTGGAAAACAAGAACGAGAAGAAAGCGGCGACAACACACCTGTGCTTAACATCCCAGGCAGGGGGCAGATACGTCGGCCGCAGCGCCTCCACGAAGCACGCGCGCCACTCCTGGACAAACTCCCGCAACGTATCCTCCCCCCCCGTCGCCTCCAAAATCTCCACCACCCGCCTTCCGTGCTGTCCGTGCCCCAGCACCGCCTCCGCCCGTCTCGCTTTCTCCCCCGCCCCTAGTTCGAGACCGCCCCCCGACAGCTCCGCGCGCATCCGCTGCCGCTGCCGCCGGCTCATGATGCCGTTCCGCCGGGAGTGCGGGAGTCCGTCCGCTCCGTCGCCGGCGGAATCCGCTCTATTTGGGTCCGTTTCCGCCTCATTGTGTCCTGCTTCATCCTCTTCCCTTCCTGCCCGATCCGTTCCCGCCGTTGCGTCCTCTTCCGTTTGTGACCGTTCCGCTCCACCCCCCTCGCTTCCGTTCTCCACGTCTCCAGGGCAGATCGCCCCATTCCGTCCCGTTTCCCGTCCGTTTCCTTCCGCCAAGTCCTCAGCAAACTCCGCTCCATTTCCTTCCGTTCCGTTCGCCTCGTCACCAGCGGAATGCTCTCTGGCCCCGTTCGCAGCCCCTTCCCTTCTTGCTTCCTCCCCGCTTCTCTGGCCTTCACCATCCTCACCCTCTTCTCCAATGATGTCAGCACAAGCCCCCATTTCCGCTCCTTCTACACCAGATCCCACGCCCTCGGTGTTTTTCAGCGAGTCCTTCGAACCGTTCCGCTGGACACTTTCCGCCGCTTCTTGTTCTTCTTCCGACGGCTCCGTTTCTGAGCGGCCGGAAGGAGCGTCCAGTCGCGAGCCCTTCTTCTTGTAGACCCGCCGCTGGCCCTTGGGCCCCATACCAATTAGCCGCGCCTCCATTAGATCTTGATGAGTTAGCGACTCCTTGCCGTAGTAGTCTTTCATAATCTGCACGAGAAGTAGCTAGAAATCAGAGATCAGAGAGATCAGAGATGAAGGACTAGAGGCAAAAACACTACATTCGATGTCAGCAAAGTCGTTGAAATCTACCCTGAGTTCAAAGGTCTTTGCAATAGGAAAAGGCAGTCTTTAAACCGCGCGCTGAAGTCTTCCATCAACTTGACAACTCGGCATTGCCTATGAACTTGAGCATACCCAAAGTTTTTAAAATCAAGGACATACTTTCCGGTCCAGCCATCAACATTCCAGGACTCATCTCCGTAAACGAACGTCTTCGGAGGTGCTCTCCCACCTGCTCTAGTTCTGCCACCCTCTCCTTGGGCATCACGCTCCCGTGCATGATCAGCGCAGTCGCCGCCCGCCGGAGCCCGTCAGGATCGACCCCTTCCGTTCCGCTCCCGGCCTCTTCCGCCGTTCCGCTCCCCTGGACCTTGGCCGGAATAAGGGGAACGCCGAACTTCCGCGCCACTAGTTTCTTGTGGCGCTCCGTGGCCTTATGCGCGACCTCGTGACAGTCGACGCAGAGGAGCACGATGTCGTGACTACGGTGGCTCTTGAGATGCTCCGGAAAGTGCTGCAAAAAGTGAGTTGAAGACAGGTTAGCGACGAAGATAAACGGGAACCCCACTGTTAAAAAGTTTATATGTGATACACGAAGAATAGACGTACAGCAGCACGATGTCGTGCGAATGATGGCTCTGAGGTGCTCACAAAATAGCTTCCAAGAAGGGTTAGTCAAGATGAGCAGAAAGTGGTAAGTCTTGGTGAAAGGTGTTGAAGAGAGACAGGGAAGACAGTGCCGTGCGAACGATAGCTCTTGAGGTGCTCCGGAAAGTGCAGTATTGCAAGGACTTTATAAACTAGAAGAAGAGTTTGATGCTCTGAGCAGGATCCAATGACTACTTGGGAAAGCAATTTGTCAAGTGCCCAGTGACGTGACTGCACAGCGCTGCAGCGCAACAGCTGCTAATTTTAGGATTTCAGAAACTTGAGAAGAAGATGAAACGAAACCCTCCGCAGAAGCAGCGAAGCATCCAAGATAAATTGACCGAAGAAACGCAACGCAGCCAAACTTGAGGTCGCTTTCTTACTTGGCGGTAGCACGACGGAACGAGGCGGAAGCGCAGGTAGTGGCTGGTCTCGCCACAGGCCACGCAGCGGTTCGACTTGGAGCTGATGTAGAACTCGTTGTTCTCGTCTTCTGGGCGACCCTTAGGCTCGAAGCGCAGTGTTATGGAGGGCGGGTTGTCGCCGCAAAACTCGGCCAGGCCTTTTTGGACGTACCAATCGAGCTTCTTCCTGAAAGGGAACGACGAAGAACAGCCTTGTTAGGCTTCTAGCTTTCTGACTTTCCGAAAAAGAAATGTCACAAAACAGTGTTTTCAAAGTGCCTCTTTCTGGATGATTTAGTTGCTTCCAGATTGTGCCTCAGCCGTCTCTCAGACGATTCGTTCACTGGGGCTTTTCGTCATGGAAGTTGCCGTCGTGGAAGTTGAGTCATAAAGTGCAATTCTAGTCAACGCTGATAAATCAGCGGTTCTTGACCCTTTTATCGTAGGAGTATGCGGAAGGCAGACTCTTCAACTTTCAACAGTAGTTCTCGCTCATCCATACAGGCAATAGTGCATTTCGTGTTACCATTCCATCCAGCCATTCCCCCAAACGAAAAAGCATACTCTGGCTCATCCAAAGCTTCCGGTGCGATAGCACCGTCGATTCCGGGTCTAAAAAGGGGCGACCGGGCCTACCTGTCGCAGTAGCACAGCAGTCGCCCGTCCCCCGCGTAGATCCTGCAGTTCTCGTACACCGTCTTCTTGCACGCAAACTTGCTCACAAAGCGCGCCCGCGCCGCAGCCGGGTCCCGGTGCTGCTTCGCCGGGTGCACCTTCTTCGTCAGGCTTTCGTCATCCACGCGCGCCCAACCGCTAGGTTCGTGGCCGCTCCGGCGGCCTTTCGCGTAGCCGGAATTACCCCCCGGGGGGATCCCCCGGGTACCTTCGCTGGCCGGATGCTCCCCCCCGGAAACGCTTACTTCGTCGTCGAAGAAATTGTAAAGTTGGGCGGCAGGGGAGGTTGAGAAACGGGCGATGATCTCGCAAACGGCGGCGGCATTCCGTTCGAGAACTAGGGACGGCGAGGTGGTCACTTCCAAGAAGGGGTGCGGCGCGGGCTTGCTCGCGGCGCGGCGGTCGGCCCTCCGGACCGTTTCGAAGAGGTCGGAGGGCGTTTTTGGGCACGTAAGCGCAACCGCAACTAGAGCGGCGTCCGTCAGAACCGCTCTCAAACTCTCGTCCTCGGCCCGGGCCGTTCTGTCGCGCCAGTCGTAGAGCGCGCGAACGCACTCCCGGAAACGGAGCCCCTCCTCGGGATTTTGCGCGCGCGCGTGCTGCGCGCCGACGGGCGTGCTGTAGTGGCGGGAGATGAGGGACGACGCCGAGGAAGAGCCGGGGGGCTCCTTTTCGTACAGCTGTAAGCAGAGCCCGTTCGAGCGGCCCAGCACCTGGGTCAGCTTCTCTAGGCGAATCGCACGGGGCTTGTCAATGAGGTTGGTCTTGTCGGCCGTCCTGCTGATGTCATCGCCCGCTTTGCTGATGTCAGACATCGTTTCGCCAACGCGCACTTCAGCAGCCCTCTCGCCTACGTCAGCCTCTGCGCCTAGACCGCCTACTGGCCCTTCCAAAGGCGTCTCCTCGTCCGAAGTTGCGGTTTCCTCCTCGGAACCTCTAGCCGTTCTTGTTTCTACCTCAACCACCGAGCCCCTCGCCGACTCTCTAGCCTTCCCCTCAAGCAATTCCGCCCGCAGACGCTCCGCTATGTACACCAGATAATGCGCGTCCGTCCTCGCGTATTCCAACAGTTCCGGGGGGAGCGGCCGGCGGCGCCAGTCGGACCGCTGGAACCTCTTATCGGACGTCACCCCACAGTAGCACTGTAACAGGAAGGCTAGAGATTTCTGGGGCTTGTCGAGCGCAATTGCGGCCCGGTACGTGTCGAAGACGTTGACGGTGTAGATGTGGAAGTCCCGCTGGAGCCACACAATGTCGTTGTCGGAGCCATGGAAGACTTTGGTGATGCGGGGCGAGGAAAACGGCGTGCGCAGCAGGTGCATGACGTCATGGAGGGCGAGCGTGTCAACAACGTAGTCGCAAGTTCGGGTGGAGATCTGCAGGAGCGCTAGAAGCTTGAAAATGGCTGCGCTAAATTCAACTTTGGTTGTTCCAGCAAATTGGCCACAAGTCTTTTTGGGAGTGGATGAAGCTCCGTGGGAGAAGTAGAAGAGGTCCAGAGATAGGACGTGGTTCGTTGAGTTCTGAAGGAATCTTTTAAAAGCTAAACGAACAAGGGATGGGGTTTGACGATGAAGCTGCAGAAGAGAGTGCACACCTACGGCGCAATCTGGAGGGTTGGTTGTAACCAAATACCCAATACGTCATTTTTCCAACATTCATACGCACTTCGTCAAGTGCCTTCTTTTCAAACAAAAGACTGCAGGTTGCCGCAGATATCCTGGCGGTTGCAACGCCCTCACAAGAAGGGGCGGTAAAAGGCGAGACTTGTACTTCAAGTTTGATATGGGTGGCGCTGAGCAATGTTTGGCCTTGAGCTTGACATCTGCAAGGGTCGCGACTTGTCAAGTAATCTAGGGAATGAACTGGAGACGAACCTGGGGCTTGGTATTATCAAAGAGGGGTCATCTCTACTGCCCCTACAGAACTACGTTAGAGTCAGCCAAGACGACTTTATTCGGAGACGGGGTCTGACCACCTCCTCACCTCCAAGCGGGATACGTGCACTGCCAGTTATTTACCTAGCTTGAGAACCGCGACATTTTTGTAACGCTCAGGAATCGGGCTCAAAACGCCGATTGGCGGCTGGGCGGTGGTCAACAAGCAGCAAACGAGATGAAACGGGAAAAAGGCCACAAACGAAAAACACGGTGTCATCGAACTTTGAAACGCTATGCAATGTCTTGGCCACAGATCGATTGATGTTGCGGCTAAGCAGCCTGTCTGGCTTCATTGTCCTGTTTTAGTCGTAGAATATTGTGCTAGGCAGTTGGCACTGTCAACGCCACCGCAGATCCGACTAACTTCTCGCTAAGAAGAAAGATGAAACTGAGAAGCGCCCTATTTTGGTCAACTTTGGTCAGTCAATTGGCAGAGCGTTTTCAATTCCCTTCTTGCCAATATCCAAACCTCCACCCCTCACCCCTCAACTTTGTCGCAGCATACTCCACAGACTCAATTGTAAACCCAGTGTTAACCATGGTTTAACCTCACCTGCAGCAGTGCGGTGTACCCCAGGAACGAGTGCTGGCTGTGCTGCTCGGTGTCCACTCCAAACTCAGACACCTTCAAAAGCTCCGCAGCTAGTTGCTCCAGCTGATCTCTGCTCTGTACCCAGACGTACTCCACTTCCTCCAAGGAAGGCGGCTCTTTGACATGTTCGGCGGAGGCGGCTGCCAATAGCAGCTTGGAGGGGTTGTCGAGAAGAGCGCGAATCTCGGGGCCGTAGGGGTGGGGCTCCGAGGGATCTGGGGGGAAGGGAGCTTGCAAGTGAGTGCAAAGCTTGAAGAACCGGTGGTGGGGTTTCTTAGTCCGGCCCAAGTGAGGTGAATCCAGAATTCAGTTCAATACAAACACTCAAGGAATGGCCTAACAAGATGTTGGGGCACCTTTTACAATGAACTCTAGGCCGCCAACTGACCACGCTGAGGAGTGAGATTGAACAGCGCGAGTAGATGTCTAGAAAGGCTACCCAAATGAAGCCCATGCAACACAATCACAGCCAAGCCCTTGCTTCACAATCAGCCATTCACAGAATGACCTCTCAGACGAACTCAAAGAGCAACACAGGCACCGTGTGCATCAGTCAGTCTGAGGTGGTGCACGGATCAAGAAATGTAAAACAATCACCGGCCACTTATGTCCAAGACAGTAGTTCCTATTCAGCCAATCAGCAGTATACCCTCAAACCAACTCAAAAAGGCAACTGAGAACCTTGTGTATCGGCGATCCTAGTGCACGCGCAAAGAATCTGAAGCCAATCAGCTGCCACAAGTTCTGTTCGAGACAGTGCTTCCTGTTCAGCCAATCAAAGGTATACCACCCAAGAAAGCAACACGAGAAGCTTGTACATCAGCCAATCTTGAGTGGGGCGCACATCAAGAATCTCAAAGGGATCACCGCCCACCTTGGCCTGGCCTCCTAAGGTGCACAAAGGGCCCCAGCTGGTTGTCCGCCAGCATCACCTTCCAATTGTTCTGCGGCTTTTCCAAAAACATCTTCCTTTTCCTTTTCCTTGAGCCAGTTCCTGAGTTTTCCCGTTGCTTGTAAGTCTGCCTCCAATGAAAGTAGAGAAGGGCGCCTGCCGCCACTGCGGCAAGGCCTGCCACTACGATCGCCGTGCGGGCCGTATTAAACTGCGGGGCGCTGCTCACGGAAGATGCCATCAAGTGCAGCCCAGAGAAACACTGCTCTATGGTTTCCGGCGGCGAGTGGGGAAAGGATCCACTCCGTCAGAGTTGTTCAGCTCAACTACCGGCTACAGCAGCTCTGGAAGAGGCGCCCCCAGCTCACAATCCACTGATCGAAGTCTGAAGCTGCAGACTGCAGGGTCCAGGTGCATGCAGTGATTAACACTAGAACCGTAAGTAAATGCTCACTTTAGTGAGCATCTGCACTGCAAGCTTCGGACATCATTTCTGTGTTGGTTTTTTGACTTGTTGGTGCAAAACAAGTTATGGCATTGCAAAACATCATGTTTTGGACTAAAACCGCCCTTGAAACTGAAGAAAATCGAAAACGACCTTCAATGGTGAAGTCAATATAGAAGATTAGTCGGACAAATATAGTGTCATTTTTACCAGGAGAATTAAGTGCTCACTTTTAGTGAGCACTTGTGGTTTTGTTGTTTTGGGGGGTCATATGAAGAAATTTCTCAAACCCACTTGGTACATGGTCAACCCAGACCCTATGGGTCATAACTACCCCCTCAACGGGTTAGGTTAAGTTATTAACCCAAGATCTACAAACCACATTTGTCAATTCTGACCCTTTTGAAAAGTAGGGACTTGGGTACACAAATTGTGCTGAATTGAGTTGGAAAGCGTAGTCTGATGGTCTTTGAGGGTTGGTTTGGCTCTTACCAAGTTTCAAACCCAAACTCTTTGAAAACCCACATTAAGCAGCAGCTACTAACCAGCTTATTTGATCTGGATAAAACTGGTGGAATTGCATGCATCCAAGATCCCCCAACATGTCGAAGTTCTGTAGAAGTGGATTTCTGGGGTCTTTAGGGTGCCTTGGACACACAAACGTCAAAAAATGTCAAGGAAAGTCTGTTCACCTAGTCAAAATCGGATTGCTTTGCTCTTGAACACTGTTTCAGGAATAAGGGAGTCTATAGGATAAATGGTTCCGAAAATTGCGGGGATCATCCCCATTTTTCGTGTACCGGGTCCCTTATAGGTACATAAGTCCGCTTATGCCTTGAAAACTTTCCATCATATATGTTGACCATAATAGGCGGTGACTTTCAAAAAGTGCTCACTAAAGTGAGCATGCTCACTAAAGTAAGCACTTACGGTTCTAGTGTTAAGACATGTCACCAGTAGATGCGGGACCGGGTAGCTGAACCGGGCTTCCTTTTGTGGCAAAAGGTAACGCAAGTTGCAACCGTTCCGAGCGGCAACGGCCGTCGCCAGAAGCGGGTGTGACGGTTCTGGCTGTGCCTGCCGGTTTTTGGGTTTAGCTGGGGAACAATTCAACAACCCTTATACCCGGGCTACAACCCCGGGTGGACTTGCTCATGCAGCACTCGAAGGTGCACGCAACTCATGCCAAATGAACACTGCAGGTGAAGGCCAGGTTGTCAGGCGAACTACCTAGAACGTTTTCCAATCTACTTGTCAATCCTTGCTTTTCTCCATTCTGACGCTTTCTCATTCGAAGGTTTGCTCATTCACGAATCCACACCATTGATGAGGTGCATTGCGAGCTCACAAGTGCTGTGATGTGCTGGTCTGCATCCTGCCGAAATTCCAGTTCATAAAGCCGCCTGCGTATACAGCTGATGGCTTGAAGTACAAGACAGATGGACGGGCACAGAAAGCAGGGGTGCAGCAGCTGGGCCGCCTTTCCGCCCGATGCCAACCTTGACGGGGTCCCCCAAATGCACGAGCTCTATCCAGGCCTTTGCAGCCACTTTAATGCTGTGATTGATTGGGCTGTGCGGGAGAGGCAAGAGAGAGAAGCGAGAGAAGCGCCGGCAGGTCTTGTAATTGGCAACAAGAAAACAAGTTGGTGGTCAGATTGCTTCGGGCGCCTTCAAAGTTAGAACAAATACAACCTACCCATCGTCCGCTTAGCTCCGATGCCCAACTTGTGCTTGGGCGGCATGGATGTTTCTATGTTTCCTTCTCATATCCTTGCAGACACAACCCTCCTCTTTACAGGATGGTCCCTAAAAAGTTCAGAAACGGCTGAACGAGCACTTCAAGGTCACACGTTTATGTCATGTGTGCCTTCGACTTGAGTACGAACCTTGATCCGTCAGCACATGGCATGCATGCTGGCGCCATTTCAGCGTCGTAATTGCAAGACATTCACACGCGCGTTCGTTCATGGTGCCCGGCTAATCGTGAAATGCAACCTCAATACACATTCTGGTGCAATTCGCTTGCACCTCCTGCACTCGCCCATGCATGTAAGCTCAACAGCATGTAAATTACTTGGTTCGGTGGGAACCCGTTGCATGTACGTACCACTTAAGTGTGTCGGTATACCTCTTCCAGCTCCGACTCAACTACATTCCCGACGCTGAGCTTTTGGAAGTATTTTTTGACCGATATTAGTGCAGAAAAGGCGCCTTTTGACCCATGGAGTCTTTCGTACTATAGACGTGATGCAAGTAGAGGGGGAACTGATGTATGTAACCATATTTTCTTGGGGTGCCCAGATGATGCATGCAGTTGAGTGAAGAATGCAGCGAACCGGTCAAGATTTAGTGTGGTGCGCAGCGCATACCTTCTGCATGTTCTTCACGTTGACTGCCAAATCCGAACCGCCCATTGATCGACGACAATCCGTTCGACTCAGAGGGCATGATCTGGTCATCTCGCATGCTACCAATACCAGGCAAGTAAGGTCACCCTCGGCGCTTGATGCAATCTACCATCTAGGTCCGGTTGACAAGGCCTCCGCGATGGAAGACCGAGTCGCCTAACATGTACAAGTATCGAACCTCGTGTATAATCCAGTGTCCAATTCAGAAGAGGTCATCATATGCGACGATGCTTCGGCCCCCTGCCGGTCCCCTCCCTTGCCTCTCTGCTTCTGTCTTCTGCTTTGCCAGAACGGCCGCGGCGGTGGCAGCGGCCACTTCGGCCGCCTTGCTGAGCGCATCCCTCTTGTCAATAATCCCCGCTTGAGGGTCAACGACGAAACCACCGACGCCGATCTTCCAGGCGGGCATGGCGCCCTGAGCCAACGACATGTACGGCTTGCGCCCCAGAATGTCGATGCTGTCCGCTGACTGAAGGGCCGTCTCCGCATCTGGTCGCGATCTGCATTGCAAAATTACAGGGCTGGAGTTTGACTCAAAGGGAACAAAGATCCTGTTTCCAGGGAGGGGGCGAGACTTGCGCGTCGGGAGACAAGAGGCGGACGAGATGAAGAATCGAAGAAGGCAAGGCTGCTAAGAGCAAGCACAGGCTACTGCTTGGCTGCTGACTGCCAACGTTCCTGACAACAAGCGCAGTTCCTGATCTCTAAGTAATGTGGGTCAGCAATCTCTCCATCGTGTCCTGCGAAGCTCAGCAAGTCTCTCTTGTCGAACATGTTCCATCATTAGCAGTCCAAAGTCTTGTTCGAGAGACGTCGGACAGCCAAACGGAAGACGACTTACAACCACCTTCGGTTCCTTTCACTTCCAGAAACGACAATGACCTGCGCACCGCGCCCTTTCGACTTGACTAAGATTGAAGGAAAACCAGAGGGACAATTGGTGACTCCAGTAGGCAACAGCCCTCCCATTGTACGGCCAGAGTACGCTTCTCATCCATATTCACTCTCACCTGAACGTAACGAACCCGTAGCACTGGCCCGTGATCATCTTGGCTTCCTTGACGTCTCCAAACCGCTCAAACGTCCTCCGCAAGTCCCACTTGCTCGTGTGCGCCTCAATGTCCCCCACATACAGCGTCGCCCTCTGGTCTTCTTCACTCGGGGTCCGAGGGGGCTGGTACCTCGCTCTTCGCCGGTCGGGCTCGAAACGGGGACTGCCCCTCCCTTCCCGTGCGCCCATTCGAAACTTCGTTTCAGCGGGGGATAGAGGCAGGTCTCCACTTTTCCGCCGCTTGCGACCCCTCTCATCGTCCTCCGCTGGGCTCGAACTGCGGGGATCCCTCTCAGCGCCGGACCTCTCCCGTTTCCCCCGGCGCCAGTCGGAACTCTCCGCTCCTCCACGCACCGACCTATTGTTTCGCTCTCTCCGCGTGTTTGTCGCAGGATCATCCCGCCGGCTCACCTCGCCCCGGTTGCTCTCATTGCGCTCCCTGTCAATCACACCCGCTTCGTGCATATCACTTTCACATGACGTCCCCCCATCTTGGCCTCTTTCTTTGGTGCCTTCTTCACTTACTATGTTCGCTGTAGCCGTGTCGCCGTCCACTCTGTTCATGAACTCACCGGAAATTTCCGCAGTGTCTCGATCAGACACCTCTCCATTCCTGCGTGCATTCACACCTTCTAATTCCAGTGCCCCCTCTGTCTCTCTCCCCAGAGCTGGAATTTTAAGACTTTCGGGGTTTGGTTCTCCCGTTGCAGCCGGTTTCCTTACACCACCCATTTGAGTGTCGCTCTCCTGACCGCAAACTTCCGAGGCGTTCTCTGTCTGCAAATGAAAAATGGGACTCAGGCTGATAAGCAGAAGGCTTACCACCACCTCCATCGAACGCTTCCTTTCAGCTGACCGCTTTTGGAGGTGTTTCTTTTCAAGACCAAAACCACAGAGCTCCGACCATGTAGATATCCACTGATATACCTTTGATACACTGGTTTGGCATTATGGTTGTTACACCTGAAGGTAGTTCTAAATGACCCTCATGAACGAACTATTGATCAAGGGTGCACATCTCTGAATGCAATTATCAAAGCGTGAGCGCTGACGGCGCTGATCCGCACCAACAAGCGCTCAAGTTGTAGAAAAAGGTGGTTAAACAGGCTACGAGCTTCTACGCACTTCCTGCTTACTCAGACTTTCACATAGTATTGCCACATTACTGCCGACCATTACCACGACAAAGAACTACTGTTTGAGCAGCCACTAAACCACCTCCAGGAATAGAAGCAAAGCTGTAATCCTCACCACTTCACCATCATCAAAGCCTTTTGACACAAAAACTGAGACGCAATTGACCAAGAAGCAACTTTGACTTGGAGAGAGACTGGACAAAGGCAATGCGCTCACCGGAAGCTTCTCGTCTTCTGAAGCGGAATGCTTGCTTGGCCCGGAAGGCCTCTCAGCCAGAGTGCCCATCTCAAAACTTCTGTGATTCCCTAGCCCTGTCGGTTGGAACACACTGCTCTTGTGAAACAAATCCCTTTCCGCGGCCCGCCCCGCCCTAATCAGCGCTCTGATAGCATGGTCACATCTGAGCTTTGGAAAAAGTTTGGGAATTGCGCCCAAACAAATTCACGGTACCGAGAATGCCTTCCCGGTCACATCTACCAAGTTTTGGAAGTTCGGTAGCGAGGAGGGAACATTGAAAGCTCCCGTGATATCCGGGATAGTAATCATCGGATTATAGTACCAGTCTACGCACCGGTCTTTTCGGAAGCGCTAGCTACCGAAACCTCGGTACCGAACTTTTGCGGAGTCCCAGCGTTTAGGGTCGGGTGTGTTTCTCGGTACCGAACATCGATAAAATCGAGAGCTTGGTACCGAGAAAGCTCCAAATTTCACCGTCGGGACTCCAAAACGCGTAGATGTGACCATGCTATTAGTTTGAGTCTCCTTGTCCAAACCAATACTCCAAACCAATGCAGGGACCACATGCAGCAGGGGCCGGTTCCTGGAAACAAATAACAGAATGCGCTCAAACAATGTGGAACCTAGCGCAACAAGATTCTAGGCGTCAACTTTCCTTCTCCAGAAGCGCGCGATGCCTGTACAAAAATCGCGCCGATCGATGCTGACAGCTGGCTCCTTGCAGTGTGCACTACAGACTCATTAAAACAAAGCAGGTTGCCGTGGCTGCTGCTGAGCTGCGAGGAAGCTGTGTTCCCCAATTCCGTGACATTTGTTCAGTGTTTTCAAAGGGAAAGCCACTTCAAAGTGGACAGCTTTGGCGCACTTCCACAGAGTCCAACTTCCAGTTCAAACTTTGCTTCCTGCTTCTTTTGAAGTGATTCATCCGGTCAATTGCAGTAATAAGCGCCGCCATGTCTGCCCCTCAGCGCACCAACGATCACGCCCCCTACCCGACCGGGGTCTCAAGCGCCGGTTTGCCCAACAGCAATCCCACCTTTGGTATTCCGGTCGCCGCCCCTTATGTTGCGGGAGACTCCACCAGAGTGAGCGGGGCCCCCGCCCCACCTCCTGGGACGGGAGCTCAGTCCGCCACCTGGCAGCAGCCTGCGGCGCCAGCTGGCGAGACATTCCACAGCAATGTTGCGGCCGGAGGAGCGCCGCCCGCAGCGGGGGGGCAGAGTGCGTACGTGCAAACGCAGCCGGTGAAAGGGAGTGAGTGCACCGCCCCTGCTCTTATAGCTGCTTGCTTGGATGTGAAACGGAATGTGGAAAGGGCTATTTCTCACCCGCTTCTGATCAGATAGATGCCAATAAATGGTCAAGATGACCATCCTATGTGGTCATTGATCTGATTCTTGCATGCAAATGGAGATTTACAGGCATGGTGGTTGGCGCTGAGTTTCAAGACCTTGCTGGTGGAAGGAAATTGCATCTAGAGTGCTGGGCTTCATCAGTGATCTTTGAAATGTTTGTCCTTTAGTTGCACTCAACAATCCAATATGAGGGGTTCTGGAAAGTTTAGTCATGCTTTTTAAGTCCAGATGCCATTTCACTGCTTGTTGTTCAGGGACAGCCCCATCGGTTTCTCTGACACTGGCGCCTCTTTTACTTTCTGGCGCAGACTTGTTTGACAAATTCGTCACCCACAGCAAGATTGCCCTCAACCAGGCAGAGGACGTAGCGCGAAAAGCAGCAGGACACGGTGAGGCGTTCAAATGGGACAAAGCTTTTCCTTGTCCCTTGACCAGGTCAGGCTAGAAAGTTCGGGGCAGTGCACACAGGCTGCGGTTGCAAGCAGTTTGTTAAAAGAGTAACTGACGTGGATATCGAGGCCAATTGACGGGCAGTGCCTAGCTGTAGATTCATTTACGAAGGTGTCGTCTTTTCACAGATGTTCCCTAAACAAAATGGTCTGATAGTTTGTCAAGAAGTGCACTATAGAGAAGCTGATTAGGAGTAAGCTATCTGTTGCAGTCATGGCCTGCTTCATGATCCAGAGACTGAGTGGCAATTTTAGATCTGCACTTTTGAATTGTTGGTTTGGTACCTTGAAAGTCTTTGTAAATAATATCCAACAGCTCTTAGTTGTCAGAAGCTGCAAAGCTAGCTTTTCGTAAGTTCATTCTTGAGGAGATTGACTACAGGAAATATGATCGTTTTTGTGGCTGTTGCAAACATGTTTGCAATTGCTAACCAATTGCGCGGAAAGCCAGCATCTGAGCCCAATGAAGAGACGCGACTGTTGGCGCCACGTGCGATGCGACTGTTGGCGCCATGCCCCGACTCAAGACCTGACTCAAAAGCTTCTGCAACTGGGATCAGACCTTTTCATTGTCATTCTCATTTCGCTACAGTCAGCGCCGGGGGCACAACCGGCAGTTCGCTGTCCACTGTGTGGGGCAAGCTCGAGTCGGGCGCCAAGCAGCTGATGAAGGGCGGCCAAGAGCCCTTCTGGCGCGACATCTTCCACCCGGCCCCGAGCGAGACCCTCCTGGGAGGTGCGCTATGGTCTGTTTCCTTTTAAGGTTGTGCGACAACGACGAAATGCATTTTGGTCTCTGTTCCTGCTACAAACGCTTGCTGTGCGAGGGATACTTTTGCTTTTTGTTCGACTGCGTGCTGTGCAAAATAAGGAGTGTGCTTGCGTCGCCACTGTCAAACGCCGCTAGTGAATCGAAGTTTCAGGTGAAGGCGCTGTATCCGACAAATGAGCACATGTCGCGGGCTGATAAAAGAGCGGCTCGTGGCGGAAGCTCTGGCCTGTACTTGGAGGCTACGTCCCCCATGCAAGGGCGAAACCTGTGTGCCACAGGACGACCCGTATTAGAAATGGAGGAAAGGACTTCATCATTCTGTTTCACCACATACCCGGCTAGAAAACTGAGAGGCATATTGGCCTGTAAAATACCTTCGTATCCTCGTCCCTTACTATTTGGGACAAGTAACTAGCTCCGGAGAGTCTCTGTCGCGTCACCTTGGCCCGGACTTTGAAAGGCCCTACTCTGACCTACAGACCCGTAATCGTGTGTCTTGTTTTTTGCTGCAGTCTATGCGACCCACTTCTCCACTGAGAGGGGCCCTGTGGCGGGGAACCTGTTCCTCAGCAGCGAAAACGCAGCCTTCTGCTCCGATAGGGCCCTGGAGTACCAGGCAGCACCGGGCGCCGTTCAGAAGGCATACTACAAGGTAAGAACCAGACTCGCGTCACCTGCAGAGTCCTATTTGGATTTTCTATTTTGATTTCCGAAAAATTTCGAACTTGTCCTTGTTCTAGTCCTTGTGGGAGTTGATGGACTCTCGATTGTCCCCGAGTCACGATAAAAAGCAGACTCCGGGCTGTTGGATGCCACAAAGCGCACCACTCTGATGGGTACCATTCTCATCTAGACTTCGTTGCAGAACAGGTCCAGAAACATTCTCGAATATCTTAGCTCTTGCGTTCATTCGTCGATCTGTTTTCGACTTGAGATTGGTCGTGCGCGCACTTCCAGTCGTCAACATTAAGCAGACCTTCCTCGGCTGTGGGAGACAAAAGTCACGTGCCCTTAAATCGAGTATCAGCCTTAAGGAAACAATCCTGTAGTCGTACCCAACTGTTTTACGTCATCTCGTTCTCGCAGCTGAATGTGCCGCTCGACAAGACTGCGAAACCTTTTTCGCTGCCCAACATGAACTCGGCCGCTCTTACTTGCTGACGCTAAAACCAGCGCGTTGCGCCATCGTACTGCGTCTTCCTTACGTTATCTGCTCTCCGCAGCATCATCCTGTTGCTCGACCATATCACGAAGTTGGAGACGCTGCTACCACGACACGTCTGCTCTTCCACATGCTCGTAGAGAAAAAGCAGAATTTTACTGCATCGTATAGAAGAATGTCTCCTTACGTCATCTTATCCCGCAGCTGAACCTACCGCTCGACAAGCTTGCGAGCATGTTTCGCTTGCCCAACAGAACCACATCCGCTCTTCCACTTGCTCGGACACCAAAAGCAGCTCGTTACGTCATCGTACTCCAGCCTTTTCTCACGTTCTTTTTTTCTTATTTGCAGCTGATCCTGCCGCTCGACAAGATTGCGAATGTGGAGACGCTGCCCAATCCGCAGCGCCCCAAGGATCAGTACGTCAAAATCTCAACCACCGACAATCACGAGGTAAGGCGGCTCTCTTTTCGAAGTACACACGCTTTCTCTCCTAACTAAAACTGCACCCTTCTTATTCTCGGCGGAGGCTGCTTCTTGAAAAGCCGACTATAAGAATCACGAAATACACCTTGATTCTTTCTTTGGACGAGTCTCAGTGAAGCGTGCAGTGTTCATTATTCAGCAAGATCAAAGATCTGTTTGCAACCACTGGCCGCTGACAGACAACCTCAATTTCCGCTTCCATCAATACGGGAGTTGCAGATCAACGCCCGCATATTTTGTATCCTTGCCTGTCTTTATTTGCCACGTTGGCAGCTCTCGCCATTCATCGCTGTTGTGTTCCGATGCCCTTGTCGTGTGGCCTCCTCCGACAAAGTTTTTTGTTGCGGGTGTCGCAAGACAAAGCAGAATTTGAACTTGTGGACGCACTAGGTTTGGGATTTCCGAAAAGCGTTTGGGATTGAGTAGGCTGGAAATATTTGATACTTAATGTCGAAAAGGTTTCTTTTTTGGGCTTATGAATTGCTCATTCGTGAAAGGTGTAACATTTTGGATTAGGCAGATGCTTCTTCCTCCCATTCTTTTGCCGGAGGGAAATACACCCGGCGGTGCTACCCTTTACTGAGATCAATAAAGTGCGGCTCGAATCAATGTCCGGCTAATGCATCTCTACCTGTGCATTTTGTCAGCGTCCTTCGGGGACTGTCAAAACGACATTGACGGTCTACTCTTGCTCTTCCCACCGACTTAAAGGTCGGGGGCGTCTCGTAAAATGCGTAAATGATAGTGGCCGAAGCTACAAAAAGCTGCACAATCGTTGCGAGTTTTAAGGGTCTGCCCTTCCTCACGTCCGGCCCCCTTTTCTAGAAGCCCAACCATTCTGCTCCGTTCCGTTGCAGTTCTGGTTCCTGGCGTTCTTCGACCTGACCAGGGCGGTGGAGGCAGTCCAGGTGGCGGTCACATCGGCACGCAGCCGGCAATACACGTCGGGGTCGTCGGGCATGCCTAGCACGGGGACAACCGCGACCGGAGTTCCCGCGAGCAGCGTTCCGCCGACAAGCCACGTGTAACGATGACAATTTTGGTATCTGCTTCCTTCATCGTCAAACCTGTATATTACGCATGTGCTGAAGAGCTTGTCGGAGGGGTGGCCTTACGAAGTGGTCGTGGAGAGCTGCTTCGAAGCTCAAGGGGCCACTGGCTAGCCCCTGAGGGCAAGTTACATAGGGCGAATTACATAGACACATGCACTTTCTTAGTACGCCCTACTGGAGCGTATTCCCATGCATAATCATTTTGACAAAGGTCATCGTGTAATACAACATCTGGTGTCAGTTGCCATGGGCATCCGGCCCTATGCCAACTTGGGCAGCACGACGTGATTTTCGAAGTTAAGACGGTCAGGGCCAATTGTACGAGAATGTACTGGCTTTACCAGATTATTGAAACTGCAAGCTCGGTGTCCTAGCTCTGGCGTCGAGGACTCCATGCCGTCTACTATCCATTGAGACATCGTGCAAATAATAGTGCCAGCGCATATGATGCAATATTGCAATGCGATTTGTAAATGGCATGCATGTAGATGTTGACATGTCAACTAGCCTGCCGGCAGCTTGTACATGCTACTCAACGATTTTATAGAATCCATGTTGCGCGATAATTCGACCGATCGACCACTACATATATAGGTTATTGGCGGGATATCAGTGAGGCACTCCGGCGTACCATGAGCATGTATCATTGCATGCATATATGCAATCTTTAGTATACGGACAACTCATTCAAACTCGAGTCCCCGCATGTGCGTCGACGAGCTATAGGTTACTGACTGCAACTTCCCATTTATCAACGCCCTTAGCCTCATGCAGCCAATGATTGAGCTGGCACGATCTCTGGCCGAACCGGAATGGGTGTTTTTAATTGACTCTACGTAGCCGTGCTTGCCGCATGCTAAGTTCGGCTGTAAGTCATGTTCAGGAAAATGCAAATAACCTTAAAAGTTCAATGATGCTAACGACTTTTATTAGCTAGCACATGTGCGAGATGCGTGAATTGGATATATGATGAGTCTATGGACGGCCTAAGCTGGCGCTGCCTTATGTAGAAACCGGAATGATTGCCCTGCCTGAGAATGGCAAGGCCTAAGTGACACATAATTGCAAGTTAAGTGTGTACCGGCATCAGAAGTTCCACCCACAGAACTACCGAAGCCTGGCCGTACAGTCAGATTAGTCCAAATTAAGTTACGAGCTACATGAAATGTATAGGTCAGACGTGCACCGTCTGGTTCCCACTACACTTGACGACCAAGCAATCAGATTCCAGCTAGACTGCGGTTAACCTGCCATGAAGCCCACAATCTGTAGGCTTCTAAGTCTTTTATGATCGACTCACTACATTAATTGTACATGTCTACTAATGACCTGGTCGCCACATCCTGCAATCTACCATGTTACGTTAACAATCAGTTCATTGTGGAAAGTTATGGTGCCAATTAGACAATCAAATCTTAATACCAACGACGAGCATATGTTGCCCCGAATCAATGCCCTAAGAGCAAGCAGACGGTGTGCTTGTATCAAACCTTGCATGTACAACGCATTTTTTCGGACGAAGCATTACGTATGTTTAAAGAAAGAAAGGGCTTCCCAAATGCTTCGTCTTCTTTCGACGAACCATTCCCATGTTTTCCCAAACGCTTCCGATCTTCCGATGCTTATCTGCTGCACAACGGATGGAAATCCAGGCCTCTCCCCCGGCGCATTTGTTCGTAAGACCGCAGGCCGCCGAACACGGCCGTCGTACCCGTTCCAGCAGCAACTAGAACGGTGAGAATTATCACAATGATCGAGCTTCTGCCCGACTTCCGTACGAATCGCCCGACGACTGTGACTCCAATCGTGGAGGCAACAAACGCAATCGGCGCAAACACCAGGGCGTAGCTGTGGTTCAGCAGGTTGTGGAAGGAGAGCGACAGCGCAATCGCGGAGCTGCTGAAGAGGATCATCAGGACCGCGGTTGAGACAGTGACCTGGAAGTACGAAAAAATGACAAGGACTTTCCGTTGCTAGATTGGGTTTCTACTCAAACAGAGCTTGAAGGCCGGATATGCGTTCGGGGTTGCAGTTGCGGTTTCGAACGATTGCTAACAGAATCGAGATCGAAAAGCGGGTCCCTTCAACGGCCGTGCCAACGACCAGAGGCATGATGAAGAGAGACTCCGCCTCCGGGAACTCACTGGAAGTGCCAACAGCTAAAAGCCAGATCTTCTTGCACTACCACGCTGAAACTTTAACCGAGTGAAAAGATTGAGGCTGACACCTGTCCATGCCGCAAGGGCGTCTCGCCACCGATTGACACAACGTGCTCCCGGATCAAGACAGGCGAAACTACGCAACACACCAGCACGCAATATCAAAAATTACCGTTGAGGGGACGGTCGTGGGAGGGTGAACTGGGGACTAGTTCTGCACTTTCACATGACCTCAAAGAAACGGCTGTCATGCTCTTCGCTGACCGGAATGGCCCGAGGATCGCCCGAAGCTTCCACCGGCCGATCCAAAGCTCGCTTTGGCCACGTCATGGGGCAGTAAGTACCGGCCGTCCCCGAGTTCACGCTCAAGCTAACACAACGCACGGAGCTCAGGTAGCTTCTCACCGAGCAACGGATTCCAGGATCAGAGCCGGGATGGGACGAAGCTCACCTGCGAATGCACCCGTAGATGCAAGAGCGCCAGGTTAACATAAAAGGGAGGGATTCCGGTCGCTCCGAGCGGAACGGGTGGAATGGACTCACCTGCGGATGCACCCCCAGGTGCAGGAGCCACGGGTTGAAGAAGATGGCGCCACCCACTCCGAGAAGGCCCGCACCCACGCCCGCGGTCGCAATCACGCCCGCCACTTGCGCAAGGACAGTAAAAGGTCGCCGGATGCCTGCAATAAAAGACGGAATAATCGGCTACCGGTTAAGGAAACCCTTTCTATCACCTCAGAGTACATCACGAGCTGCTCGATATCGCTTGGCGCGCTGCGACGAAAACTTGAATCGATCTGATGGACATTGAGCCCAGTGAACGAGATGAAAAGACCGTGAGAGGGGCGCATACCGGTAACCAGGGCTTTACGACGGGTGCGGGTACATAGCGTAGATATCTGGGTTAGATCTCGTGTAGTCGAGCTCAGCGTTCGCTGAGCTTATTGTTCATCAAATCGAGAGATATGTGACAAGGTGAGATATATATTACAAACCAAGATATATCTGACAAGTCGAGATATATGTTTCCAAAGCCTCACCTCCGCTGAGGCTCCCGTGCGATAAAATAACCCGCATCTCGGGGTCCAGGTCCTCGTCGTTCCGTCGCGCTTTCCGCACTTGGTGCGCAATCTGCCAGCCCCCCACGAGCAGCAGAACCGCGACTTGGGCCCCCCAAACTGTCATGTATTCCCACGTGCAGCGAGGGTAGGCGCTTTTCTGCGCCTGGCTGACCAGAAACAAAACCCAGAGGACCAGGAGCGCCGCAAACTTCCGGAAGGGGATGCGCTGCGCGAGCGTCTTGGTGCCACGTGGCACGTTTTCCAAAACGGGGGTCACGTGGCACTCCACGATTGGTCTCCCATTGGTCAATGTTTTGACGGAGTCGTTGCGTTCTAGAGTTATGTCGTCCCCTGCGGTCGTGACGGTGACGACATCTGGAGGGTCTAGCAAGGGTTGCCGCAAACCGTCGGCGGTCAGTGCGGACTCGGCCGAATCTGTGACGGTGCGCTTGAGCGTTGCTTGCTCCAGGTCCCATTGCTGACGAGCCTTTCTGGCGGTGCTCCGGATGACAAATATGAGGACGAATACCAAAACGGCGGTTTGTAGCCATTCCGGGATGAGGATGTTGAATAACACGCCTGCGCGAGTCGAAGGAAGCGGCTGTCAGCCTAGACCGTCCAGACTCAAGCATCATCGTGGCTGCGTAAACCAGCTTTGTTTAGTCTGGACCGTCAATGAAAGGGCTATCGATCCGGGCGTCCGAGCAGGAAAATTGACGACGTTTTGCACAAAGATTTTCGCACGTTTCAAAATCTGGAAAATTGAACACCCCAGGACGAAGACAACATGTCTGAGCTGGCTGAGAAGAGGTACGACTTTCTTACTGGCCTATCTAGACTAGAGAACCAAGACTTCTAAGAAACAGGCTGTGCTGTCGGAATTCCAATTGACTCGCATTCTTAGACCACAGCCAGGTTGACTCGCTGAAGGAGACTTCACTTTCATATTGACCATCTTAATCTGAATACGCGGAGCTTACTGCGTCAAATCAACACTCGATCACTTTAGGTAGAGACCTACAAACCGGCCAGTCTGGACCCTTTTAAGTCCAGAACACGCCCTCACTCCGGGTCGTTCGTTTGGAAGCCAGGTCGTTACTCGAGATAGAGCTTCTCAACAGATACTGCTAACGGAGAAAAATGATGGCATGTCATCTAAACGGATGTTGATTGCGGCCAATACCCGGCCTCAATCAGGAAGCTTCGCACCATTATGCCGATGAACCATTCCGTCCAACGGATGCACCGTCAACGATAAGCGGCACGAAAAGCCGCGCGGCGATCTGAGTGTATAGCAACGACTTTCCAAACTACTTAAAGAGCCGGAGCATCAAAATAAGCGCAAGAAGACACTCTTGGTATTGAGAAGTCGTGACACCGTCGGAATTGACAAAGATCCCACAAAATGGTTGACAGGAGAATGGGTCTTCCGGAAGCCTCACCAAAGTTAACCCCCAACAATAGTGCTGGTAGGAACGTGAGTGCAAGGTCGAAGTCGAGCAGCGTCCGGTCGCAATCTCTGGGGCTCTTTTTGTGCAGTCCATAAAACGTGCTGGCCAAAGCGCCACTCGACACGATGGTGAGCGACAGTGCTGAGGCCATCTTGAGATTGAAGCCGAGAAGGACATCTATACGATCGGAGGGAAGGGCTGGTTCGGAAGAGGGAAGAAGAATATGGTCTGTATCAAAGGCACAAGATTGCTTCGCATAAGATCATGCGTAATGGTCCATTTCATATCCATTTTTTTGCAGATGGATAAATGTACAGTTTGGAAAATGCTGTCTACATCCTAGGATGCAAATTGCTGGTTCCTGATTTGACAACGAAGCAATGCAGCGGAAAAAGGGTGCCAGGGGTAAGGGCCTCGCGAAGATCTTACTGAAAACAGGAATGTAGAAAGGACCTCCTCCAACCCCGGCGGCATTTGCCAGAAGTCCGCACTGTTCAAAGGAGAAGAGAATGCGTTTATAAAGTCGTACGCTACATACTTCAGTGGCTTTGCAGGGACGTTGGGTTCAACCACAAGCACCAGCGATGCACTTTCTTCATGTTTATGTCGTTTTGAAACCAGGCATGGGACCTTTTAGCGAGCAGGTATTGTGCCCCTTCGAGTGAAGGTTCGCAAACACTCGAAGAAGATCATGTGCCACCTACTCCAGCCACTTCAAGAGAGAAACAAGTGGCACATCTCTTACCCCAAAAGTCAGAACCAAAGCGATCCCTGTCCGGATGTTGAGCTCAAACCGGGCGTCGACAGGGGTGTCAGGAGGGAGCGAGTTTGCAACACTGCTGAGCTGTTCCCACCTGCAATCAGATCAGGTACCTTGGCTGATCAGCCCCATCAGGTTAATATACTGGCAAGCGGATTCAGCAATTGTTGGAGGGATGAGTCATCTTTGGCCTGAGGTTTCACGTGCGCAATGAAAATGTTTCAAAGATCTTGCACAAAAATGGTGTCTGTCATGCAATCAAGGTGAAGGGCGCTCTTCTCATTGAATCCCATCATACTGACTACAAACTTTTTTGTTATAGAGTGAATTCCCTTGCCGATTCAGGAACTTCTGTGAGCGAGGTTTGATGGGACAAGGGGTGGTGCGATCACGAAGAAGTGCCTAAGAAGTCAGTTTACCAAACAAACTCATTCCTGGTTCTATCAGACAAGCAATTGACCCAGACATCCCACATTTCAAGCCAGTCAGCTTCAGCCCATGCATTTGCCTGGACTAGCATACCCAGCTCTTTATGTACATCCTACGCACAGTTTTGTCCTGGGTTGTCCAGAACTTCCAGAGCTTGGAGGAAAGCACACAACAGTAAAACTTTAATAAAAGCCGAAAAAAGCAGTTCAAGAGAGTTTCAGGAAGATCAGGTGATTGGAAGGACACATCCCAGGAGTGGGGCTGTTGCTGGTTTGCTAAGAAAGGAAGCATCCAGCATCTGCACTCACAGTGATTCTCCGCCCAAGCCCCAAACATTGGCTGGAACAGTGTCAGGCCAAATGCTGCTTCCATTATGGAAAGTTGCCATTGCGCCCCGCCAATTAGACGCCCATGCGTCACTGGGAAACTTGTAGAAACATCTCACAAAGTGAGCGCTGCCGAGCAACAAAGAATCTTTTGAACGAAGTTGAGGTAGCTATGTAGACTCAGACTCAGAGCTCTGCTAACTTAGGTCTGAACCATCTGCTTGAGCTGGGGAGCGAGCTGGACATCATCCTGCAGTGGCATTTGTTTGTTAGCGCTGCTTTCCTGTCAAGGTCTGGGTCATGTCACTACTGACCACACCTTTTCAACCCCTTGGGCCCTGACCAGCACCTAGCCTTACCGGGGTAGGTACACGGTACACTAAGACATTACGGTATTCCTTTCTTGCATGTGCGATTTCTTGACGTGGCAGCTTGACAGCCTTTTGAAAGCCTCAGCAAGTATATCGCACGGCTCAAAAGCGTTCCTGTAAACTGGGTTGATATACTCAAAAACCTAACCGATCGGAAGTTGGGGTACCGGCGGCGGTATGCAATCAGGCCCACCTGGTTTCAGGTTCGGGTTTGAAAATTAGGGTTATTGGACCTCGCTCCTTCCTCAACTCTACGGCCTGCAAATGGGATGTCTCCGCCAGCCTCAGGTCTCATGCCTTCAGCAGAGGACTGGGACTCGGAGGGGCAGAGGCGCACCGCAGAAAGGTTTGCACAGCGGCCATGGCGACAACTTTTTGAGTAGACAACACCGAAGATCGTCAAACCCTTGACTAGAGACAACACGCAGACAATCTTGCTCGTTCGCTGCCTTGAGACGTGAGCGCCGCTAGATTAAAGTGCAAAAGTTGGCATGTGGACCACACCGTCCGGCGCCGCCAAGTTTAATGAGTTGAAAAGCTTGAGGGCATAAGTAAAGATGCAGGCTTTGGCCTGCTCCACCTCTGGCGCTATCCCCAGCATTGTTGGCATTGCTTCTGGAGGCCTGTCCCTTCCCGATGGCCAGTGTCGGGCGCATTGGGGCGCGCGCTCCCAAAACTCTGATCGCATGCAGGGCGTTAGGGTTTGGAAGACGTCCCCCGGCAGGGGTGTCGGAGTTCAGTCCCCAGTAAAATCCGGAAGCCTGCAAAACAGGGGCTTTGGATTTGAACCTTTTAGGAACGCGCCACCGCAAGTGTTGCGAAAGCAAGGAGCTAGATTCGTGAGGAAATGGAAGGCTCCCAACGCTTCAAGACTAGATGAAGATCCAGACTGGGAGCGGAAGTCGTCGAACGGTTCCGCCTCATCTAGTTCCAATGGAAGCGTCGCGAAGTCGGTGGTTCAAGAACCAAAGCCCTTTGTTGCGCGAGATGGGACTCCCAAGCCCGGCATTGTCGTCGTATCATCCCCTGGGGAGAGGCTATCCCCTCAGGACAGCGGGTTTGCGTCCCAACTCTCATCAGACACTCGCCCCAAAAGCTCATCTAGGGCGCCAGATTATGAGCAGCCGAGTCAATCAGGAAATGGCACCGGCGCCAGCTCAGCGGAGCGCTCGAATGGGGTTGGGGAGATTGCGTTTGCAAGCGGGCCGATCAGCGAACAGATCACGGACGCGCCATCTTGTCCGATGCCGAATTTTGCGACGACGGCCACGCGGGTCACGCTGCTGCAGCCGGTGCCACTCCTCCCGAGCAGTGCTCAGAAGCCCGGTGTGAATAAGCGCCCGCTGCTAATTTATGTTCCGGGGATGGACGGCACAGGGCAGGGCATCCGGCCGCAGATTGAGGGGCTGTACACTGACGGGTGAGTGGAACACATTGGTGCTGACTGTAAGGGCTCAGAAGCATCGCTGATTGAAGCTTTGTCCTGTCCTCAATGATAGACACTTACTTTCGATGATTGAAGTTTGCGTTCTTGCCCGTGTTCCTTCTCTGCTGTCTCAAGATTCGCCTCCATTTTTCTCGAAGAGCTGTCTCATATTAGAAAAAATCGCCTCATTGAAAGCTTTCATAGAACCGCTGTTACACCAGTCCAGGCACCCAAAGGCCTGAGCTTTGCCCCGAGTTTGGTAGAAACTTCATCTCAGCGTTCTTTCCACAATATTGCCGCATCGATAATTACAGTATGTGATTAGAAAGCTTGTTCAACGTCCTACAGGTACGACATCCGATGCGTATACATCCCAAGCAATGATAGGTCCACATGGGGCGAGCTGGTCGACTCCCTTGTCCCACTCATTGAACAGGCCGCCACGCTTGCGGTTTCCGACTTGACCTCCGCGGCTTCACTGGCCCCCCTTTTGCAGTATGCACATGGGGCGAAAGACAAGGACGTTGACGAGGTGAGTCCAGGGCCTTTCCACGTTGCGCAATTGGGGGGTATCCTTTCTTGATGCCGTCAGATACTCATCTGGTCCGTTCATGCTTGACTGGTGGATGCTGCTTGGTTCTCAAATGCATTCAAGCCCTATTCTACTTTGTTGAAGGTGCTTCAGCTTTCCTGCAATTTTCGAAACGTCTACACTGGAAGTCTTTCAGTGCAAACAGAGTGGCTGACCATTTCGGGTCTCCCGGCTTTACCTCGGACAAAGTCATTCTGTTCCTGGCACAATCACACGACCTCCCCGCTCTAAAAGGACTCACCTCGGACCTTTACACCCAAAGTCGACGTCTCCCTTCACAAGCAACTTATGCACTTCCACAAGTCGCTTGCAATCTCGTTTCTTTGCACCCTCTCAACGAAGGTCGACTGAGCAGAGGAGAATTTGGTGGTGATACTCATCACCTGGTGTGATACAAAGTATTCCCATTTTAAGCATCAATCGCGCGCATTTACAGGTTGCTCGAATTTCCTGAAACTTTTCTCCAGCCATAACAAGCCTTTTCAATGCAGGCCCCCCCCCTTCCCACTCGCCACGTCACCCTCCTTGCCGAGTCCTTTGGCACGTGCCTGGCCCTTCGGGTGGCTGCCCGCGCTCCTTCCCTCATCTCGCGCCTAGTTCTGCTGAACCCGGCCACGAACTTCGATAAGAACAACTGGCTCGTCAGCCTGGCGGCTGCGACGGGGCTCTTGGCAGCATTCCCCGGGCCTCTCTATTCTTTCGCTCAGGTATGCTTCCGCTCAGGTATTCCTCTGCAAAGGACGTGTTTTTGATTCTTCGGAAGGACTTATCTCTTTGCTCCTTGGAAGGACGTCGTTTTTCCACGCGCGCTTGAGTACGTCTGTTCCATAGCTGCCTTTGCACAAATCGGGATTTTACAAAGTCGCAGAACTTTCGGTCAACCATTCCACTCTGTTATTGAATGGTACGTGAAGAAGTGTCAAGTTGCTTGTATCTGCGGCCTACATTGTGATTGATAATCGAGTGACGTCAAGCTCGAAATAAAACCTCGTCACTTTCCTCGCCTCAGGACGTCATGCTGCCACTGCTGGTAAAGCGCAACCGCGTGTCGGCTGACGCCAACAAGGACTTGCTGTCGCCCATTGATTACGTGCCCGCCGCATGCGCTGCGTGGCGCCTGCATATGCTTAACGAGGGAACGCCCTCAACGGAGGAGCTCGCGAACTTGAAGCAGCCTGTTATGCTGGTAAGAGATCATGCTGGAGAAAGAAATGCTGTATCTTGAGTACAAGTGAGTTCTTTTCTGATTTCTTTTGCTGGATCATCTTGGGGGCTCCGTGTCTATTAGTCTCCGGTAGCCTTCAACATCCGAAATGTCCGTTGATTCATTCTGCGTGCGTGTTCTCAAGCAGTTGACGAGGTGCGGCAATTGTGTCACCGTGAAAGCCCCCATGAACGGAGAGCAACGGCCAATCTGTCGACGGCTGTCAAGCTGACACGTTTCATGTATGCGGGCAGTTTGCCGGAGCCAAGGACCGTGTTCTGCCGTCGATGAATGAGGCGGCGCGTCTCCAGACCCAGCTTCCGAATGCGTGGAGGGTCATCCTCCCAGAAAGGTAGATCAATGCCCTAGACATTTGAATGAGCCTTTGCTCACTGCCCTGAAGCTCCTCTACTTCTTGTTCTAGGCAACGATGAAAGCGTTTCTTCGAGTGCTTGCAAATGCCAGCAAATTATGCGCGTATTAGAAGTGCATTTCAGGGGCGGATGGGTTTACACAGCCTGATGAGAAATGCGGAACGGAAAGAATATGTTCTGAGAATCAAAGGAGCATGTGCCTGTCAGGTTGGACGGCCCTTGTACCCCCTGTTCCTCCGTGTTCAGCTGCGAATTTCACGGCAAAATTTGAAGTCTTGATGTCGACTTCCTACAGTGGCCACACCGCTCTCCTGGAAGACCACATCAACATTGCGTCCTTGATGCGCAAGAACGGCTTCTCGCCCCCCCGCGCCGTGAGTCCTGAGAGAACTTCCGGGGGAACGCCCCGACTTGAATCCCCGGCCAATGGACCCTCCCCCCCGGATCTGACCGACCTCGCAGCCCGCGACCCGGTTAACCCCGGGGTGGTTGCCGTTAACCCGGGGGTAAGCGGTGCGGCCAACTCCGAGAACCCGCGGGTTAGAGACGCGGTCGGCTCCGCAGCCGAAGTCCCCGCTGCTCGTGTGAGGGACGCCCATGTCAATGCTGACGTCAGCAGAAGTGACGTCAGCGGCCTAAGCTACGACTCCCCGGTCCCCCGGCGGCGGCGGGCGGCCGTGCCGGACGAGGTATACGACGAGATGGGGCGGTTATTAGAGCCTTGGCGCATAGTGACGTCACCGCTCGTCAGCGGGGCTGAGAATCTGCCGGACCCGAGCGCGGAGCCGCGGCGGCCAATTTTGTTTGTCGGGAATCACACCATTTTTGGGTTGTACGACTCGCCGCTCCTAGTTCACGAGTTGTTCATGCGGGGCTTCCGGTGCCGGGGGCTCGCGCATCCGGGGCACTGGCGCAGCGGAGCGGGGCAGCTTTTTGAGAGGTGCGTCTTTTTGCTACTCTAGAAGGTCAATTGGTTGCGAAGAAAACTGAGGCTTTTTAAAGCAGAGCTCACTGAATCGCGGATTCTCAAGAGTTGTTCCGAGAATGATTCTAACTCAGCGGGAGGGCTTGTCTCTGCTCTTTTGACAACTTTCATTGGTTGGTGATGGCTCATGGCTCAAGAGTTTGCTTCCCTTCAGATTAGGTACGATATACAAAGCGACTATTCCGATAAACGGGAGCACGAAGTAATAAGAGAATTACTTCGTGCTTCAGCAGAGAGCTCGGTGACTTTTCGGCTAATCAATCTTGCTTGCAATCAACGCCGCTAGACCTTATGCTGCGCGCTTTCCTGGTCAGGTATGGCAACGTGAAGGCGACGCCGTTTGCTGCGTACAAGCTGTTGAAGGAGGGCGAGGACGTGCTGCTCTTCCCGGGAGGCGCTCGGGAAGTCGTTAAGCGCAAGGTGGGGTTAGGCTCAATCTGACCGGTCGATGTTTCGGAAAGATGTGGCCAATATGAGTCACTTTGCATGTCTTAGGTAGCATTTGAGCAATTTTTTTCAGGCCAATTGAAGGCCCATCTCGCGGCGAGGAGAGGGGCTCAGCTATTCCACCATGGAAGGTCTCTCGGTCTAGGTAGGATCGACACTTCGAGGTTGGATGCGGTACTTCGAGGATTTTTGGATCCAGCCTTAGATGGAAGTGGCAGCAACCCTGTACTAAGACGTGCATTATGCCGCATGTATCGCTGTGGCCCGATTTTGTACGAAACGTTAAGCAAGCTGTCAGAAATTCAACTCTTCACAAAGAATCCTTGTGTTTTTAAGAATGCTACGTCCATGTATCCGCGCTGGCGGTTTTGTATTACGCACCAAAACACTCGTATGTTGGATCCAGAGAGTGCGTTGTTCAAGATTTCCAGGCATCAGACGAGTTCTCTATCAAAGACAGCCGTCCATTTTTGTCCCCTTTTTGTTTGGGCTCCTTGTGCACAACAGTGCGTCCTCGTTCAATGTTTTTGTGCCTACTTCAAAACAACGTCACTTCGTAAAATCTACATGGCTCGCATTTGCAAAACGTTGTGCTTCATTGAATTCACGCGGCTGGAAGGATTTGAAGCGAAGTTTAAATTTCAACGCCCCGAATTTGCATCCGCAGGGGGAGGAGTATCAGCTGCAGTGGCGGGAGAAGGCCGACTTCGTGCGCATGGCCAGCAGACTAGGCGCTATCATAGTTCCCTTTGGGGCGCTCGGGGGAGACGACGCGTAAGTCGCACTCGTACACCTATATCACGCGTTTCCGATTGTCGACATCTGAAAGGGTTTCTGCTTGATACCAAGAGGTCATTCGAACCAATACGTCACAAAACCCCTTTGCCTGGCTGTTTGTACCTTTCTTCGGATGCGATCTTGCGACGTGCTATGCTCAGAACCAGCGCAGTTGGATCGCGTCGAAACTTTACGAGAAGTGCTCAGTTCCGTTGCTGACGTCAAATCGCCCCGTCACGCTGTCCTTCGTTGCCACGTGGCAGGTACAAGATCTTATGGGACGGTCGGGACATTCTCAGCTCCCCGGTGGGCCCGTTCGTCGAGGAGCTGTACAAATCGGTCGGGTTGGAGGCGGACCTCGTATATCCGGTCACCCGGTTGCCATTCCTGGGGCTGCCGATACCTAGGTGGGCATGCGGATACAGTCTGCCTTTGTCTGCGTTCTCTCTTGTCTACCGTCTCGCTTGATTTTCCAGTCCTCGTTGTTTCCCCCACTTCTTCTGCTCCACGATATGTGAATGTGAGTGCATCGACATAACGTGGAGTAGGGTATGAGAAGGACTGGGGCTTGAGACGCTAAATTTTCAGACGGACTGGGTTGTTCCTGCGTAAGTAGTTGAAGCGAAGAACTAATATCTGTCCATCTTCGTCCTCTTTTGATAGCTCTTTCTTCCTCACGGCTCACGGCGCTCCCCCCTGTCTCCTGCACCAAGACCATCCTCTCCCTGGGGACTTTCTACCCATTGCGTGGTTCCCCCGGGCCCTTTCTTTCAGTTCTATTCCATATCCGCTAACGAACGCATCTCCGTCCTCTTCTGCTCATGCTCTCGCTAACGTCTCCTGCATAGTCACGCCGTCGTAAGGTTCGAAAAATACGGGAAGTCCTCCCCTGGGATTCTTTACTGAGCGTGGCTCCACCCGGCCCTTTTGCAGTCCTATCCCCATCCCCGCCATCGAACGCATCTACTTCCACTTCGCGCCGGCAGTTGACACCAGCCAGTACGCGTGCGATCTGTCGGACGCCGACGCATGTCAGGATTTGTACGGTGAGCGTGCGCCCCCGTCCGAGCGCCTCTACCTTGAGTATTCTGCGACGGACTATCTTGAAAGGCTCTGATCGATTCCGGTGCGAGTGTTCGGTGCTCGCTCTGGCCAGGTGTTTGTTTCTCGAACAAACTATGAATCAGGTTTGGTGTCACACCTCATGAAGAACGCCCGAATAGTTCATACATTACTTAGCATTGCTGCATGCTGGTTATTTTTGAGAAGGAAACAAGCATGTAGCATATGTTTGGTCGGGCATTACAGCGCTTCATGCCCGCATTACCTTTCTGCAGGCACGACAATCACCGGTGCATCAACCCTCTTGATTGTGCTTCTTGCTTTCAATAAAAGGCACCTGTCGCGGTTGTTTCGGTCGCCCAAGCGTTTCTTCTGCTTTTTGCATCTGAGCAGACGTACGACCAAACATCGCTGTTGCTTGCACGCTGTGCAGGGTTGGTGAGGCGGTCGGTGGAAGAGAGCATCGCCCACCTCAAAGAAGTGCGAGCAAGGGACCCGGTACGTTCAGTTTTTGTCCTCGATTCTGCTCGTGTGTATCGCATTGATAGAGCAGCCCGTCTGTTCCGCTTGCTGTAACTGTCGCTCCTATCCAAAGTTTGGCCCCACGTCTCCTCGAGTTTCTTGCAATCTGGATCGAAACGTGGCACGCAAGTAAATTCCAACTCTGAAGCTCGGCTTCTTGAATCACAAGCTTGCCAAAATCGTAGAAGCGTGAGTTTTGAACCAGCTAGTGCCAACTCCATTGCCGGGTACCAAGAAACACTGGATTGAATTTGAATCTGACGGCAGTTTGTTTGTTTGCAGGAGCGCATGTTCCCTGCTCGGATGTTGGCGAAGGCGTCGCGTTTGCTTCCAGAGTTCAGCCCGCGAGAATAAGGAAGGTTTAGCGGCTGTTATTTTACCATGTTGACATGTTGGGAACCGGTCATAACGAGTTGATTGTGCACAAAGACAAGCGCAATGCCACTATCTTTTTGCCGATTTTGCACTGCGGAATAATCAGATGTTGACGTTGGACTCTAAGAGAATCGGAATTACAGCATCGAGTGCTTAAATTTCGGCCTCTTGTTTCCCGCACGCTGTCAAACCACATCTTGTCGAAGCAGAGTTGATTATTGTGAACACTGATGAGTTTCACGGTCAGCCCGGCCCTTTCCCTAAAACCGTTTCAAGTTTGCACGTGATGTTGCATCAATGGGCATCAACGTGCATGACAGATTGGGAAGTTGCACTCTACGAAGGCACACCCGATGTGATATGAGGTGTACATTGTTTACCCCTATCATTCTAACGAGCAAACCTCTTCGTGCAATTCATGTCAGCTAGGTATACTAGACAATTTCGTCATACGTTTCTGGCAGGCACTACAGCTATAGGCATCTTTGTTCAAATCAAACTTGACGTTGTTGCCTGAAGGTTTCACCGTAGCTCTACATATGGTCTTTTTTCAAAACCCGGCTACGTCGTACATGACATAATACATGTATCCAATTCTCATGCAAACGAAGAAGCTTTTGAGCTGAAGTGCAGTTACTACGACGGTATCTAGGGAGCTGACTGAAGTTGTCTCGCTGTTCGTTTCCGTTTACTCTGCTCGTACCCTGCAGCCAAACCCCAACCAAACGTCATTGAAAGCAAGAGCCCGAATATAGCGGATCTTGACTAAGTGACATCATGGCGGGATCATGGCATCTATCGAATCGCAAACGCACTGAAGAAGACATGACCCAGGGAGAGCCGCACCATTTTCGATCTGGCAAATGACGTACCGTATACCAGAAAGAAAGCTCTATTTGTGCGCGAGCTCTTGCAATCGGGCCAGATTACATTACCACTTGGCACTTACGTAATACCAGGTAGTCCCAGCCGGCATCAGCCGATGTGGGTCATGTCAGGCGAACCGGTCACTTCAGTACCCCGGGGGGGTTCGAACTTTGCGGCGCTGATCCAGGACATCCTCCTGCATACAAACCTAGGTTCCGACAGTCACCACTGTACCTGCATTAAAATTTACACGTTACCGGTTTAATTTATCCATAATATGCTCAGCGTCAGAACCGGGGCCCGGGGATCGACCTTGGTTATCGTCTTTATGCTGTTTAAACCCTTCTTCCTTGGTGGCAGAGTGACTGCAATGATCAGGGTTGGGCCTTGGCCCCTTCTTCTTGCTGGCGCCGCCAACCTGGCAGTCGATGGTTGCTGCTAGGTATTGCGCTACATTCCTAGGTATTGCGACTTGCAGGGTGGTTGAAAGGCTTTGACTTTCGACAGGCTTCTGCTGCAGCTTCTTTGTCAGCTTCCATCTTATGAGGGCACTCCAGGTCCCAAATGCTCTGTGCCCATCCTTGTAACCTTGGGGAGCCACTCGGTGGCGTCGAAGCGCTCGAGCATCTTTCAGATCGGTCTGATGGCAGATGATCGTCTCACTTGTCACCCAGTGGTGTAGTTCATGACGGAGAATGGCAAATTGCTTTGCGTGCTTTGCTCGGTCTGATAAGGAGGAGGCTCCCGAGGACGATCGGAGTGCACCGGGGAGACAGCATGGAGCGCCGGCCCGTAAGGTGTTGCCAGGTGAGGCACTTGTGAACCTCAGGCAACGTGCGAGTCTCGTTCATGTAGCCATCAAAGAGCATGAGCCATGGATCTCAGAGCTTTTGCTTCCTGTTCTTGATTGATGAGGGGCTGGAGATCAATGTTTGCAAGCCTCTTGTGCGGTACTGGACAAGATACCCAGCTGATCAGATGCTGTACTTATATGATTTGGGCGGCATCCACTTTTCGGGTTGTTTGTAGCTAGCTAACAAGAGTGAGCTTGGGTGGTTGCTGCTCGGGCTTGTGATACAGCTGCTGCTTGTGGTTGGTGCTTAGGTGTCACCAATCTCAATGTGGACATCACTCTTGTTTGCTGAACAACGGCGTCGTACTCTTCAATTTTGCATCATAGAAGCACAACTTTAGGTTTGCTTAAAGTGAATCGTTCCAGCACCCAGCTCTAGGGTTTCTCAGCTCGACAATCGTGACACACCGAGAGCAACAAAAGAAGTTAGGTTCAATTTGCGTTGTCTTGATACAGCTTCCTATGAGGAAGGGATGTTATGCTGCCAGTGCCTTTCAGTGGTTGCAATAGATGGCCTTCAGCTGCTTGTTAGCAAGTTGAAAGCAATCTGGAAGCAATGCGGCAATGTCGCATCATTGGGAGTTGTGCTCCAAGTTCCTTTTTGAAGCTTTGAGCTCATTTGTGAGGTTTCTCAATCAATCTGACACCATTGAACCTGGACACTTTTTGATTGCTCCACTCCTGTTAAACAAGCCTTCAATGTTGGCCTTTATTGGCATCAAAAAGATTCCGGTTAAGCTGAAGCACAAGCCGCTTCCTTTATGCTCGTATTGTCGTTTGTGAATCTCCATAGTCTCAGAAGACCAGCATCAATGTCCGCATAGCCCCAAGCTTTATTTCCCACTGCATACGCGGTCTCCATATCTTTCTGTCGGTGTAAGCAGTGTACTTATGCTGGTCTGCTAGTGAGTAAGCATAAAACTGCAAAGCTTCTGTAAGATTGTCTCCCTTTTTCTGTTATCACAGGTATATCTGTTGCCAATGTGTCCGATCTCTGCCCAATGTTCGTGGCTTAAATGTTCGTCAATGTTCATCAACATCTCTCCCAAAATGCTCGGCTCTCCATTCAGATCCTCAACACCGAAGATTTTCCCCGGTCTACAGTACACCACTGCACTAGTCATGTTTGCTTTTATCCTCCTCGACATTTTTGATTAAGTAGTTTCCACCTTTTGTGCTCAATCTTTCTCCCCCTCATTCTCACTACTTGCTTTCCACAATGCAGAGCACGAGATGCTCGTCCCATCCAACGGCCCTATTATCGGCACTCCCGCGCACCCCAACGCCCGCCTCGGCCGCCTCCCCTCCAAAGAGCCCGAGGAGCACTTTGCGTCCCACCCAGAAAAGTCGCCGGCGCAGATTTTCACCTTCCGGGAACTGCAAGCAGCCACTCGGGACTTCCGGCCTCAGAACCTGCTCGGGGAGGGCGGGTTTGGCAGGGTTTACAAGGGCCGGTTAGAGCGGACGGGGCAGATTGTGGCCGTGAAGCAGCTGGATAGGACGGGCCTGCAGGGCAATGCGGAGTTCCGAGTGGAGGTGTCGATGCTCAGTCTGCTGCACCATGAGAACCTGGTGAACCTGATCGGATACTGTGCGGATGGGGATCAGCGGCTGCTGGTGTATGAGTTCATGCCGCTGGGGTGCCTGGAGGATCATCTGCATGGTGAGGCTTTGGAGCTTGAGGGTGTTCGGAAGCAGATTGCTGGGTCTCAGGGTTAAGAGTGAGCCTAATCTCAAGGCTTGAGCAACCTGGGCGTGGCGATAGGTGCTGATTGCCGACCAGGCGCTTGCCAATGATCCAGCATAAAGGGGCCTGTAATGTGTTCAAGCGTAAGGAGGGCGCTGCCAGACATGTTGGAGGACTTTGCATTTTGATCGGCTACAATGTGGCTGTTGATCGGCGCTCCTCGGCTCTGTATTAGCTGGTTTGTTTTCTTCATTGCTCTCTAGAATAGGGGGTCCTGCAAGATGGTGGTTCAGCTAGAGCCTGGACCGCGTGTCTGTATAGTAGCAGGGAGCCTTGCTTATGTCTACTACGAGGGTGTGGATTAGTGTCTTTCATTCTGGGCCAAGAGTCGCAGAACTTTTCTACTCTTTCTGCGGTGTTCAGCAAGGCAGCTCTGGAGGCAGCAATGTGCATGAGGTTTGTTCCAAACCTCAATTGGAAACGTTCGATGTTTGCAGGTCTGCGTTCCTGTAAACTTTTGATACTTTGCCAACTGTCGCCTTCAATGGCCCATACGGGGTTTGAGTAGGGCCCATACGGAGTTTGAGTAGGCATTTGTGACTATCTCCAGCAGCACCTCAGTTGCTCAAGTTCACGTGGCTCGTGATATTGCGTCCTCAGTTGATAACCCTCGCAGTCAATTAATGCTAGCCAAACCCTGATCTACACAACTCCCATCAAATGTACGTGTCCATGTTTTGGACACTTCTCTGAGCGCACAGTGGACCCCCTGTCACAGACCCTTGCTGCATCCTCAAACAGCTTTGGGTGTAGGGCTTTAGGCTAGTACTCCAAAAGATTGCGGTGTATCGACACCTCCTCCAAGGTGGACTCCGGCCCTTTTGTCCTCAAGAAGAAAGTCACGATTGGAGAGCCTCTGCGGGACCTATTCAGCCAGTGCTCCGTGGCATAGTTAGCCACTGCTCTGCGGACATAGTCAGCCAGTGCACATCTGGTGTCCTTTGAGACGATTCTAAGAAGATGTTCCATACATTCAGTTGAACCATCTGGCAATACAGATTAGACAACTTTGAAATCTCACCTCTTTACCCCACTCCCCGCAGACGTCCCCCCCGAGCGCGAGCCCCTCGACTGGTACACCCGCATGCGAGTTGCGTATGGCGCCGCCAAGGGCCTCGAGTACCTGCACGACAAGGCGGACCCCCCCGTCATTTACCGCGACTTCAAATCGTCCAACATTCTGCTCGATGTCGGGTTCCATCCGAAGCTCTCCGACTTCGGTCTCGCGAAGCTCGGGCCGACGGGGGACAAGACGCATGTGTCGACGAGGGTCATGGGAACATACGGTTACTGCGCGCCGGAGTATGCGATGACGGGGCAGCTGACGACCAAGAGTGACGTGTACAGCTTCGGCGTGGTGCTGCTGGAGCTGATCACGGGACGGCGCGCGATTGACAGCTCGCGGCCGCGGCAGAGCAACCTGGTGGCCTGGGTAAGTCTAGAGTGCAATAACAGGACTTGTGGGGTTTGAAGAGACATTTTGCACGGACTTCATGGGAACAGGATTCGAACATGGTCATGTCATTGATTGTTCTGTGAAAGCTGCTGTTGTTGACGCCCTCAGATCAACAACTGGAGTCGAAAGTTATTTTGCCACAAAAATGGCGTCAGTAGATAAAATGGATCTGATCCTGCTTTGCAAGTACGTCGAGTGGCCGTCCAGGAATGGGACATGTATGTACATGCTTCCTTGAATTGTGCTGCTGATCACAGACGTTCTCCTTCAGCGGTTGCTTCTTGTTGAAGATCGGAAGGTTTAGCTGAGTTGGAGACAAGCCTCCTTTTTGCCAGAACATGGCTTTTGCAGGAGGTCAAAAGTTACAATCTATGTGGTTGATTGAGTTTTTCTGGTGTAGTAGTCAGTTTCCTGAGAGCGTCCTCTGCTCTTGCAGGCGCGCCCCCTGTTCAAGGACCGGCGCACATTCCCAAGCATGGCAGACCCGTTGCTGCAGGGCCGCTACCCGATGCGAGCGCTCTACCAGGCTATGGCAGTAGCCGCCATGTGTCTGCAGGAAACCGCCACCCTGCGGCCCCAGATCGGTGACGTGGTTATGGCCCTTAACCATCTCGCTAACCAACGCCAGGAGCCCGGGGAACCCGGACGACGGACCTCGCGGGAGATCCCACGGGCTGGACCCCGGGGGATGACCACTCCGGAACGACGCGGGGGCGAGGAGAGAAATGGAGACAGGTTGAGGGGGGGGTACGAAAACGTGCGGCAAGCGGGGGGGCGGAGGCGAGAGGACGAGAACTGTGGGGGGAGGAACTGGGAGCGCGAGAAGGGCATCTACTTCCGGGGGGGTCAAGAGGGCCGGCAGGAGACCCCCCGGCGGCGGGACGACGAGTTTGGGAATGGGGGCGAGCGGAGCGAGTCGAGCCACAGCCGGAAGCCGAGCGGCGACGGCAGCGAGTCGTACCGGTCTGAGGACACGTTTGAAGCGGAACGGGGGGGTGTGAAGGCCGCCGAGCAAGACCCCCTGGGAGACGGAGACAGCGCCCGGGCGAGCCCCCAAGTCGAGCGGTTCGTTCCCGCCCCCCTCCAGCAGGAGTACGCGTACCCCCCCAGCACGAGAGAGCACCCCGCGTTTGCGGGGACGGCGAAGAGCGCGATCCTGGAGCGGATGTCGTCATGGGAGGCGCGGCGGGGGAGGGGGGGCCCGGCAGGGACGTTGAGGCACAGGGTGCTGGACCGCACTCAAGACAGGGAGGCGGCGGCGCGGCAGGCGCGAGTTGTGGAGATCCCGGAGAGAGGTGCGGGTGGGGAGGGGTCGATCGCTGCTGAGAGTCCGCGGGAAATGCCCCTGGGGTGGGACCTGCAGAGCGAGGCAACGACGCTGTCAGCGGAGGACCGGGGCCAGGCCGTCTTCGACCTCGAAGTGCCGGAGGCGTCGTTGCAGGAAACGTTTGGGGTTGCGGCGCCGGGCCGGATTGAGATGGGATACGGGTTTGGACAGGATGAGCCGGGGAGGGGGCCCGGCGCCGCGGCCGGGCAGCAAGACGCTTTTGGCAGCGTGGTGTACCCAGAGGTGCCAGACCGGGGGTACCACGACTTCGGTAGGCTAAGCATCGACGAGCGAGCAAGCGCTCTTGAGCCTCCGTTGGTGGGGGCAGGGGCCGCAACAGAGTTGCCTCTCTCCAACGGCGGGGCCAACGCTTTCCCTTCGGAGACCGCTGCGGAACCCTTTGAGCCGGCTGTGGCGCAGCAAAAAGTGGCAGATTTGGGTGGGGGGGAGAAGGAGCCAACGGATCAAGCGGGCGGAAGCTCCGAAGCTCCGGCCGAGAAGCCCGTCGGGTTTCTGGCGATTCCCAGCTTCAAGGCCAGGCAGGAACAGGCGCTCGACGCTGCGGGGCGGGTCGCATTTCTCTGGCAGCAGCAGCAGCAGCAGTCGCCCCCGCCCGTGCGGCCAACTCCCGCAAACCCGTTCGACTTGTCCGAAGAAAGTCCGCAGCCCAGCAGGGCGCGGAGCCCAGTCACGGTCGAGAGTCCGCGAATCGTCCACATGGTCGAGAGTCCGCGAATCGTCCACATGGTCGAGAGTCCGCGAATCGTCCACACGGTCGAGAGTCCGCGAATCGTCCAGAGCGTCCGGAGTCGGCCGCGGACGCCAGAGCGGCTTATGCGGTTGGACATGCCCCGGGACTCTCTAGAACGCGTTGACTTCGTGGCGGAGCCGGGTGCAAGTGGGGAGCCGTCGAGGTTGGAAGAGTACGCATGGGCCCAGCCGCAGGATCCGAGCAATGGACGACGCCCGGGATCGTTTGGTGTCGGGGGAATGGGATAGCCGCCAGCCGCCCGTGTCCAAGTGGATGAGCCCCCTGGCATTGGGCTGCCGGGACCTTCCCTTGTATCTCTTGCAAGGAAGACTAACCGCAAGCTGAGCCCGAGGGAAAGGTCTCCTCAAAACGGGTACCTGTATGACAGCTTTGACGGCACTCGCGGTCCACGGTAGTGCCCGGCCATTAGCTAATCAATGAGTAGAGGAAAATTTGCGCGACAGATATTTCTGCCTTTGAACAGAGTGTCGGACTCTTTGATTTCTGTGGTAGTTAACGCTTGCGAAGAAAGATTGACCAGCTATGCGACAAAGGTCTTGCGGCTGGAAGGCTGGATCAACCATGTTCTACGATGCCATACTTCGAAATGGTGTGGAGGCGGGAGTTTTGTTAGCTTTGATCATAGGGTCCCCCAAGGTTGACGGTGTCTAAATAAAACATTGTGGTAAGCTTAATACATACTCATTGAGGGCCAACTTGAACAGAAGTTGCTTTAATATATCTATTCATGTCTCACGTATAGAAACTGGGCATAAATACAGGCTTGTACAAATTCACCATCAGTTGTGCCAAAGCTTTATTACACGCATCAGTTCAAAGTCATGCCAAACAAAGACGTGCAAGCCATATATTGCATATCATTGCGGCTTGCAAAATATTCCGGATAAAGTCGCCAAGTCTTATACCAATTGCGTACGTTTCTTTTCCGAACCCCATTCTTAGACTGAGTCAACGGCCGCAACATTTGCATTGCTTATTTCCACAGCTCCCGGGCTTGGATGATGGCCGGCGCATGGAGGGGGCCATGTGCAATTTCAAAATCGAAGTGTGCTATGCATGGGTATGACCGGACATGGTACGTATGGTATACCAATCAGCGCTAGGTAGAAGGCAGAATTATGCGGGGACCGTCCTATAGTGCTACTACTAGCCAGTGGCTATAACTTTACCTAATTCAACACCCAACTTATAAGAAGTGACCATACATCGTGGTAGTTGAGAATCGTCGATCATACTCATTTCTTATCGGACGGCAATTAGTATTGCGTTTGGAAACGGGACCTCAGCTTCTCGCAAGACGTGGCATTTACATTTGCGGCCCACGTGCCGTCCACAAGCTCAAGAAGAGATTTTATCCGTCGAGATCTTTTTGTTCAAAATCAAAGCCTGAGCTCAAAAGAAGGAACACTGTCGTCATGCAGGATGCCTGGTGCCACGGTGCACAGCTGAGGCTGTGGGGTGTTTGGCTGTGTTTGCGGCAAACACAGCCAAACACAGGCAAACTTTGCTTGTCCAAGACTTGGACTGAGAGTCAGAGTCAGAGTCAGAGACACAGGAAGTACCTACCTTTTTTAGGTATTTTCAGGATCCATCATCCCAAAGGCAAACTCTAGTACGCTCTCAAACGTCTCTGGAGCGAAAATGGCGCAAGCAATGGCCACTGTCTCTCAGTTGGCACGGATCCCCTGCATTGCTGTGCAGAAGTTGAATACAAGCACCACATCTTCTTCTTTGCATGCGGTTCCCCTGCGCTCAACCCATGTACCATCTCCTTCTACCACTTTGTCCTTCTCTTCTTCCATCAGATCTTTCCCCGCTTCCAGAGGCTTCAAGAAGCAAAGTTCTTCAAACAGAAAGCCCGTTGCCGTTGCTCAGGCCACAGATTCGTCTAGGAGCGAAGCAGCACCCTCAGCCGCGAACGCTGAGTTGGATGGCCTCTTTGAGGGCTTATCATCGACCGATAAGATGATTCTATCTTTGGCGGCCGCCATCACTCCAATGCTGCTAGCAGAGGTATAACGCTTACCCTGCTTTTATCGCCTATTAGGTTGGGTGGCCTTGCAGAGCCTGAAGTGACAATCACTTATTCTCAGGGAATCAGGCGTTGTTGCAAGTCAGTACCAAGGTGTTCGAGATTTGGCGCAGATCAATCCGTACCATGCAAATAGAGCATTTTGACTAGCAGATTCGTAGGACTTTGATTTACCATGCACATGAACATCAGTACGTCACCAAAGCAACAAGTTGTGTGACTAGGTTGTGGCATGTTCGTAGGGGTCCCACGATGCAGAACAAAAGTAAGATGCAAATGTAGTTTTGGCTTAGAGGCCTGTCGTAGTAACAGGAGGCCTAATGTGCATCGTTCTCTATGCTTCAAGTATTGCTACGGTACAGTGCAATGCTGTCATCTTAGCGTTGCAGAATGTGGCTCCAAAGTCTCTAGACAATTTTTTACAGGCCTTGGGAGTCTGAAAGATTGACACCATCATGGCCAGGGAAAAAACGCTTTGGTAAACTTTCTTTGTCCATCTCTTAGTTTTTTCTGCTTTTCTCTGACTGCCTACTTCTATCTATGCCTGGCTTCTGACAAATCTTTCTTCTCCTCTCCAGGATGCATCTGCCGACATTCTGAAGGGCCGTATTGCCTCGCTGACGCATCCCGTGGTTATGTTCCTGTTGCTGGCCACCACATTGTGGACCGGTTACCTGGGGTGGCAGTGGCGGCGAGTGCGCACAATCCAGGATGACATCAGCGAGTTGAAGAAGCAGCTGCCACCCAAGGGGGAGGACGGGAAGGTCCCAGCGTCCCCTGTAGATGCGCAGATTGCCGCCCTGACTGAGGTGAGTGTCCGGCAGTGTTTGCTCAGCTAGACTTCAAGATATGATCAATGTGAGGCAAGGGCAATGGCGCAATTGCCCTTGTCAAAACTCAGTGCGTGATGAGACCTCAGGAAAAGCTTTAAGACAACGGGGCCTTGGCGGGGCTCCCCAGTGATGAGAACGCTTTCACTTATCCCTGAATCTGGCCATCTTGTGTTGGCATGCTCCTTCAGCCTTCTTCTCTGTGTTGCATTGTTTTGGTATCAGGATCTTGCGCAGTGCAGTGGTTGGTGGAGTCTTTTCAAAACCTCGTCAAAACATATCGCTGCAATTGTGTCCTCTACCTGCAAGGCTATTTGAATTCTTTTCACTCTGTCCTTCTTGCTGACAGGGGTTGTGATCATGGTAAGCTGTCGAGAATCAAACTTCATAGAAGGTCATAGAAGTTGCCGAGTGAGTCGTTCAAAGCATCGCGTGTCTCCAGGGAAATTCCTGTGTGAGTCCTTCTTGTAGAGTGTGTCCTTAGAGCCTTATGTCAAGTTGAATTCGTTCAGTGGATCGTGGGCCTGACAAGTGAAATGCATCCAGACGAAGCAGGTATTTCATCAAGCTCCGGGGTGAACACTTATAGCAATTCGCCTTGCTTTTGCAGACTAGGAAAGAGTTGCTGAAGGGGGGCTTCCGGGACCGTCACTTCAACGTGTCGTCCCTTCTTCTGGGCGGCGGCACCACCTTTGCCATTGCTGGGGCGTATAACACATTCCTGAGGACGGGCAAGCTGTTCCCAGGGCCCCATCTTTATGCAGGAGCAGGTAAGAGAACAAAGTTCCGCCTCTTCAGTGGCTTGACTGGTCGGCTGAAGAGTCTCAAGGAGGTCTACCACAAAGTGATGTTGCTTGGCGGTTTTGATTGGAGCATCTTCTACTCGCTGTTGGTCTTGAGAGCTCTTACATCGAAAACACTCTACGGACCCGTTTCCAAGGTAAGACCACAGAACCCACATAACAAGTTCATGTCACACGAGCTTGGAATATCTGACTCGATTCTGGAAAAGAAAACAGCCGTTTGCTACCTTCTGGAGCTGACGTTGCTTCGTTCGTTGCGAAAAGTGTTCGTTTAGCGCACCCGTTGGTCGAAGGAAGGTGTCACAAAGCAGTCGCATTTTGCACTAAACTTAGGTGCGTTGGCAGGCCCTCAATGAGATTTTCTGAAAGTGGGCGTTGGCCATGCATCGAAACAGCGGATAGCGCTATGCAAAGTCTTCCAAAAATTGCCGTCCAAGATTAGACCGTGAAATTGTGACATAGTCGGTGGTAGCGCTGATATAGGCAAGTTCCGACGCCCACTTCTTATTGTCGGTGCTTTCTCGTTTGCAGTCATTGTCATTCTGTGGGCACTGGCAGCGGCACTGGTTCCGGCTATGCAGAAAGGAAACGACACTGCAAGAAGCGTCCACATTGGGCTGAACGCAGTCAACGTCGGCCTCTTCCTGTGGCAAGTGCCAACCGGTCTTGAGATCGTTTGGAAAGTTTTGGAGTTCACGACCTTCCCGTAAGGCTGCCTGCTGAACACTAGGTTGAGTTGTGCAAGAAAGTTTTGAGTGTTGAGTTGACGAATTCTAATCGATGGTTTAACATGGAAGATCGTGACCGAGATTCAATCAAAGACTTTGACTCAGTCGGAACCTTAAATAAAGCTCGACTTGATTTTATCTAACTATCACATCACCGGAGAGCAAAGATGCTAACTGAATGTAAAGCGGCCTGCAAATTAGGGGACCGGTGCGCATGCTGCACGAGAAGGCCCATGGCATATCATCGCGTGTATAAGTAATGCAATCGCACACACATTGAGTCGAGCACATGATGGACATCAACGTGGTGCAGTGTGAGATATTATATCACATGTGCACTTTGCAAATAGTCAACCGTACCTGGTTAACATATGATCACATGCACGGAACTGGCCGGCAACATACAACATGCATGTGCGCGGCTGAGCAGGTTTTACCTGCAATACCGCCATCATGCACGGCTGCCACCCGTGGTGGTCAGCTGCGCGGCTACATGTGTGCACAAGCTACCTATGGTGGGTCTCGACGGTATCGACCGCGCGACGGTCGGGTCTCAAATTTGTATGACCGGTGTCACGCGTCGCGACACATTTTGTACGCAGTACTAACGATCGTACTCGGCCGTACTAGAGAATCGGGTCCGAATTCATGAATCGAGCTTTTCCTGACACGTCGATCAAACGGGCAATTACGTACTACCCGGAGGTACGGTACCGTCGCGCGAGACTCGAGTCTGCGCGGCCGACAAATTTAAATTTCATGGTCTTGGTCGGAACTTCCGACTTGTACCGTGCACGAGTACCGCGGTACCCAGACTGAAAGAAGAGTGCAGAGATTTGATATAGGAGTGTAAGAGAAGGCGCTCTTCAAAATCCAACAATGGCGGCCAACTTTGCGCCTCCTATGCTGCTATTTGAGATTTGTCCTGAACAAAACATGATGTTGGAGCTTCAAAGGACAGCTAATGACGGTCCCCCAACATTTTTTTTAGCTTGTCAAAGGTTTCTGCATGTTGCATAAGCCGCATCTTAGTGTGGCATTTTCATGCTCCCGTCAAAGTGTAAAATAATACACTTGTTTACAACTTCATGACACTCACTTACGGCCGAGCAAAAATTCCTGAGTACTCGAACCGTACATGTTTCGGAAGTCCGACTCAGCGTAACGTGAACCGCCGGTATCACTGACAGAATTTGATACCGGGTCCCACAATTTCGTTGCGGTTCGAGTCGGAGTCGACTCGGCCGGAACCCACCGTAGGTAGCTTGTGTGCGCGCGCGGGGCCGGATCGAATCTATCAAGAGTCAAAATTATCCACAGGTGCATGTAGGCCCAGTCCCATGCGCAGCCATCATGTTTCATGGGGTCTTCAGGCTGGGTACTTTCGACTACACGCCAAGTCTATATGTAAGTGATATATATGCAGCTATCATGTGGAACTTGTAACAATGCAGTCGGGCGGCTTTAACCATGATCAGCGCGCCTAGGCTATCATACATGGGGTATATAACATGGAGAGACTTTTTACAGCGTATCCACTGACAGACCCGCGATCGAGGAGCTCTTCTTGATAATCAGATTCCAATCTAAAAATTAACTTGTAGTGCACAAATCTCGCACGCTGGCAATTCCCTATTGGTTGAATACCGTGTTTTGCTGACCAACTAGCCAAGCAGATTGAAAACTCGTCATGAACAGACTACAGCGATTTGGCAACGGCTGGGACTTATCCACAATCATCGTCCAGAAGCAGGAGGGGGCTTATCTCTGCCTTCTATTGAGTCGTTGGCATGTCCTCATCTTCGTCAGCATCATCGAATCTGTGTGGATCGCTGGCAACCTGCGGTGAACAGAGGAATACATTGAGCGAAAAATTTCATGGAGCAGTCTTCTTGAGAAGAAGTGACAAGTTCGAGCCTGACCAGGATCTTGGACGTACAAAGGGACCCCGACGGACCAATTACATCAGGAATGGGTCATCAATACTTGCTGGAGTTGGCAGATTTGCAACCCAGCTTGCCCCGTCTATCCAAGGGAACCCAACAAGGGTACTGCAAGAACACCAGACTCGCATTTCGATTCGAACCTAGGTAGTCAGATGATTCGAAAGATTTGACCAACCCGTGCATCCAACCCTCACAGGTTTGATGTTTAAGCATTCCAAACTCAACCAGCTTTCTGAGAAGCGGTCCAGATGATAACCTGGGCGCTCACCTCATCCCCCTGTTGCGGTGCTTGGAGCAGGCTGTCAAAGTGATCTAGCGCGGCCGCTCTGGACTCATCACCCCGCACCTCATCCTCATCATAAAAGAACTCCCCTTCCTCATCCTCGTCCTCTGCCTCTGGATCCGGATTCAGCTCCGCGCACTCGCTCATGACTGAGAACAGGTGGTCCAGCACGCTAGCGTCCTCAGGTATCAAGCGCATCTCAGAAACTGAGGAGAGGTCAGTGATGCCGCCTTCCGAATGCCCGTCTACATCCTCCTCGCTGTCTTCTTCCTTTTCTACTCCGCTATCAATCTGCAGTGATAGCAGGCTCGTCATGACAGAATTACGACACTGACAGTTTCCGCCCGGGAAACGATTATTATTCTTTGGTGATTGAAACAGTCAAAGCACCTCGAAAAGTGTGTGCTTAGGGAGGACCTCGACTGCTCAGATGCCTTATCACCCAATCTGAACTCCAACATTCAGGGATTGCGCCAGATTTCGCACCACCACATACTATCCAGGGAGAGTGGTGGCTTACTTGTGTGTATATACAGGGGCGAGGATACGCCTCTGGATTTCTGGATATTGCATGTAGGATCAGGGAAGGAAAGTCCACCGCATAATTCCGCCCCTGATCGCTTTGACTGAACCATATGAGGCGCCTGGACAGGAAAGCCAATGCTTGTTCAGCATCTGGTTAGAAGCAGCCTAGTCACACCTCGCATGAAGAGCCCTGCAAGAGCAAGGGCCAGAATGGTGCAAAAAGACCCCCAGCGGAAAGCGAGCATTGAGAACATATGCACCACCCAGATCAAGTAGCTGAATGGAATGATGGTGTGGTATCCTTGGGAAGTATCACGACACACTAGAAGCATCTTCCAAAGATCCTCCAAAGATGCTCCAGGTAATGCTGAGGCTTTGAAAAAATACCTGGTGGTGATATGTAAGGTGCCAATCTCCTCTTGCCGCCCCTCCCCAAGAGCGATGGCCACATTTGGCTGTGAGTATCGAAGCTCTTCTCCATTGTCTGTGTCCAGCGGAGGACCCCCATCAGGTGCCCGCTGCGATAATTGGTGAAGGCCCACGGCCATTTGGAAGCACAGCGAATGTCTATTTGTTAGTTTCTGCGTCTCTGCAGATTGAAATGGGCCTGGTGCCACCTCCTTTTCATGCAATGGCGATTCTGCCAAAACCTTGGTTTGGATTCGGAATGCGAACTCCTCTTGGATCACTTTCCCTGCTGCCTGTCGCCAGTCACGCCACCCTAGGACTCGGAGGAGCAAGACTCAAGGGTCTAGTTCTAAAATATCATCGCCCACTGTTGAGCGGACTTGTGCGTTTTTTAGAAACGGGACTCTCACCTGCAGCAGCAACGTTCTCTCATGAAGGACGAGACCGGTCCTGCTGGGTCCTGCTCACCCCAGCTGAGAGCTCACCCTGTGCTCACCACACTGATTTTTCACACTGCCAGTGGAGGCCAGACTTAGCCGCAGCGCTGCGCGTAGCGCCGTAGCCGCTGTAGCTCGGATTGGTACAGGGGAAGAGATTGAGCTGGGTGTCTGTGAAGGACGATTGATAGACTGTCACCAAGGCAAGAGTTCACATCGGCGCTGTAGGCGCCGCGCAGGCCCCACAGGCCCTTTTCAGCATGGCGGCAAAAGTGACCATCGATGCTAAGACAATTCAGAGCGTGACTTTGTACACCTGGTTACCATGGTTCCTCCGGTTGGACGTCTGGCCCTTTGTGTCTTTCTACCTCGCCTGGGCGGGTTTCCTTGTTCCCAGACTCGACAGGACCGGTAGTTTTGTCTGCCTGATGTTGATTATCGTCGTCCACATCCTGACTGAGCTGTTCACATACTGGTCCATCAACTTCAAGGCCCTCGCGCTTTGTGCAAGAGTGAAGGAGATCAGGAAGGCGGAGGTTGTCAAGGTGGTCCCAAAGAAGTTCAGCGGTCACACGGAGATTGTTCCGTTGAAAAGGAAGCGGCTGGGGGGGTATGGCGGCGAAGAGGAGATCAGTTTCCAGTACAGGTAAATAGGAGGATGAGATTGGAACCGCAGACAATCAGCCAGTCCGCTCTGACTTGGGAACATTGTTTGTTGGCAGAGGTGGTCACTCACAGCAGCATTGATATGTTGGTGGTACTATGGCAGGATCCTGATTCATGTGCTTTGTTACCTTTCAATTGACCCATTGATTCTCAACTTTGCTCAAAGGATATACTGATTGCACTCAGATCTACGTTCCTTCTAGCCGGCTTTCCCTTTCAAAGTCGCCCTCGCCGCTGTGTTGTCCTTACAAGGTCACTTTCTGATTTCTACCACTGAAGTGATTCACATGAAGCAATTTCAATCAAGGCGCTGGGCAACCTGTCTCCTCACAAGCGCATCGGCCACGAACCGGCATACTTATATCATGATCCTGCCTCTCCTGCTGCAGGAAGCAGCGATTCATCTACAGCCGTTCCGAGGCCATCTTCCGCAAGCTCGACTTCCCAACGAAGTGGATGTTCAAAGAGTACCTGAGGACGCAAGGCCACGAGACGGAAGCAAAAGCAAAGGCGGCGTTTGACAAATGGGGACGGAACGCCTTCGAGTTCCCGGCCCCCAATTTCCTGAGCCTATACAAGGAGCAGTGCATGGAGCCATTCTTTGTGTTCCAGGTATGACCTTGGGGGGTTCTGTGTTCCAGAATTCAATCACCTGAGCCCTTCCAGACGGTTTATTGCGTCGTCAAGCATTTGAAAAAGCCTGTTGTTGCATACTTTTCCCATAATCGCTCGGAGAGCACAAAAGGAGTCTGCACACTGCTATTATGTTGACAGCAGCAACCGCATGCTGGTGGCAGACATGATACATCATCGTGATTGCAAAGAGCATGCCCTTACTGCAAGTTTATGCGTCGATTCTGGAGAACACTGTCCAAGAAAGCTCTGCCCCCAAGCAGTCAGTACTGATAGGTTACAACATGTGACCATGTCAGATCATCAAGTTGGAAGGGCAATTGTCGCCCCCGCAATTTAAGTTCACAACTCTCTGTGAGAGATCTGGAAAATAGATGAGGATAGAGGAACTCTTTTTGAGATATACAAGTCACTGCGCAGGTGTTTTGTGTGGCGCTCTGGTGCATGGACGAGTACTGGTACTACAGCATCTTCACGCTGTTCATGCTGCTCCTCTTTGAGGGCACCGTCGTCTCGAGCCGCCTGCGCACGCTGCAGGAGCTGCGCCGCGTTAGAGTCGACTCACAAGGCCTCATGGTCTTCAGGTCAGTGCTTGGAGGCTGCGCTGTTGGCCACCTCTCGCTTTGATGAGAACACGTAAGTTAGGTCCTGCGTTGCTGGTGTCAATCTATGATTTTAGGGCCTTCTTTTCAAGTTTTAGGTCAGTCCTCCGAGGTTGCTGTGCTGGCCACCTTCCAGGTTGATCGGAACTTCGCATTGTTGATTCCTTGCCTCGTTAAAAACTGTTCACAATCCCTTGGGTCCTTCTTGTTGGTTCTACCCTCGGCACATCGTGGCTTACATAGAGATTACAGTCGGTATCGAGGCAGTGGGGCCTCGTTGGTGACTCAGGCGAGTTCGTCACCTTGGTTCTCGGCGTCTTTCCCATGCTGGTCGGCGGCTTTCCATCCGACCTTTACGCCTCTATGTAGGTTGCAAACCATTACGCACTTGTGTAAGTCGCAAACCGCATTTGTAGTGTACCAAGCTGATTACTCTTCTTCTCCTGCACCCCCCTTCAACCACCCCCTCCTGTATTGACACCGACACACGTGCAGGGCGCACCGATGGATCCGTCTCCAGGGCGACCAGCTCGTCCCTGGCGACTTGGTGTCAATCGGCCGCCCCACAGGCCCGGGCGCCGAGGAGCGCACCGTTCCCGGGGACCTTCTACTTCTGGCCGGCACGGCGATCGCGAACGAGGCGCTGCTGACCGGCGAAAGCACACCCCAGTGGAAGACGCCGATTCTCGACGAGGATCCGAAACAGCAGCTGAGCATACGGAGAGATAAAGTGCATGTGCTGTTCGGCGGAACGAAGGTTTTGCAGCACACGGGTGACAAGTCGGCACCCGTGCGGACGCCGGACGGGGGGTGCCTCGCAGTAGTGCTGCGGACGGGGTTCGACACGAGCCAGGGGAAGCTCATGCGGACCATCCTGTTCTCGCAGGTAGGGGCCGAGAAACTTTTGTTGGATTCTCGAAGAGAAAAACTTGGTGGCTTCTTCTTGAAGGAGAGAGTTGCGAAGCTGTTCACACCGAGGCATTGACCTTTATCTTTGCCCAATTAGTCTGCAGATTTGAACGTGATCTGCCATTCCTGATGATGGCGGAATCTTGTCAATGGGACATTGTCCTGAATTGACTAAGGATTGTGTTGACGGGTGCAACTACAAGTAGTAAAACAGAGTGAACGATGTGTTGACGGATGCTCTTGTGAAGACAATTTCATGAGCGAAACTCTTCACCTACCTACCATTCCCGTCTTTCACCCGCAACTGTGTTTCCCTTTCACTCCAGGAGCGCGTGTCGGCCAACAACTGGGAGAGCGGCCTCTTCATCCTCTTCCTCGTCTTCTTCGCGCTCGCGGCCGCGTACTACGTCCTCATCAAGGGCCTCGAAGACCCCAACCGCAGCCGCTACAAGCTGCTCCTCAACTGCTCGCTCATCATTACGTCAGTCATCCCCCCGGAACTCCCGATGGAGCTCAGCATCGCGGTGAACACGTCGCTCATCGCGCTCGCGCGCCGCGGGATCTTCTGCACGGAGCCGTTCCGGATTCCGTTCGGCGGAAAGGTCGACGTGTGCTGCTTCGACAAGACGGGGACGCTTACCAGCGATGATATGGAGTTTCTGGGCGTGACGGGGCTGGACGGGAAGCAGGAAACCGGGGAGGCGAATGGAGGGCCCGGGGGCAGGTGAGAAGACGTGTCGATGATCTGGTGGTTTCGTAAGGCTGACTTCAAAGGTTGCTGGATTCGTCTAGCGGAAGTTTTGATTTGGTATAGGAGCGGATCCGTCTGCGACGGCCTGCCACTTCCGCTCTCTATCCATGCTGCACCCGATGTATTTCGGATACGGTCCTCGAACTTGGTCGGCCTCGATTCAGCTGCTAGTGTGCCTTTTGGTTGCCCGACTGTCCCGTCGTAGGCTATCAGCCTCCAAGCTGGGATGGGAAACGTCGAAGGAGCGGGCAAAGTTGCAAATCCCTTTGCACTTGGACTCACTTGTTCCTTCTTTCGAAGCATGGCGCAGTGCCCTGACGTTCATTCAAGATCCGATACCTCTCTTCGAACCGCTCTTCGCCACGTCCCCTCAATTCCTCTCCTGACAGCTTGCCTGTCCCCTGCAGCTGCTCCGAGGAGCTTATTTCCGACCCGGCGACCCTCCCCGAGCTGTCCGTCTTCACCCTTGCCGCGTGCCACTCGCTCGTCTTCGTCGACGGGAAGCAGGTGAGGGTAGTCTCTAGATTATTGTGGTAAGCCCAGGTCTGCATGGAAAACCTGCCCGAGAGGGGTAATTTGAAGGTTTAGGTCGGGTATGGGTGCAGAGCACGTAAACGTTGCTTTGGGTTTGTATTTGCATTGCTAGTTCTATTTCCCATGATTAGTCCGTCTACTCATTGTGAGTATCATCACAACACGTATGGTACTCAGTAGAAGCAAGAAGCTCATACTAAGTGTGAATTGATGCAGGTGGGGGATCCCCTTGAGCAAGCAGCGCTGAAGGGCGTCGGTTGGAGCTACACGCAGGACGAGCGCGCGCTGGCCAAGACTGGGAAGGGCCCGCAGCGGGGCGCGCAGATTGTACACCGGTTCCATTTTGCGAGCCACCTAAAGCGCATGTCGGTGCTCGCGAAGCTGCTGGAGGTGCCGCGGGAGCTGGCCGAGGGCTACTTTGTGCTGGTCAAGGTGAGGGCGGATAAAGGCATGCTGATGATCGGAGGGGGGGTGGGGGGCATTCCGCGTTGTTTGATGCGAGGTGGTATGCCGAGGGCTTCTTCTGCTCGTCGAAACGCGGAAGGATTGTCATTGTGCTGGGCAAGGTGACGGGGCAAAGATGGAGGGTTTCGCTTTGATCGATGCGGGACTTTAGGACCGAAGCCTACTTTGAGCTGGTAAACTCGTAGGCGGACCGGGCCAACATTCGCCAATCTGATGTTATCGGTTTCGTCACAATATGCGATCAGAACCTACGATCTCCCCCTGTTCGCTGTCAGGAGTAAAGCATTGGTACCTTCCCGAATCAGTGGGCTATGTTCGGTCACTGCGGATTATTCCGTATGCTCTTGTTCGTCAAAAGAATGGCGGACCAGCCTACTCGGTTCTTCTCCCCGGAAAAGACGTGTTTTTGGTAACAAAATGGTCGAGTGCCTTCTTCTCCTCCAATCAATTCGCAGCATCCTGCTCACAATCCAAAGAAAATGTGTCCTAACCCTCTTTCCAAACCGTCTTGCAGGGCGCCCCCGAGACCATCCAGGAACGCCTGGCCCACGTGCCCGCCGGCTACGAGGCCGCGTACAAGCGCTTCACGCGGCAGGGCTCGCGCGTTCTGACGCTCGCGTACAAGCACCTCCCCGACATGCCCGTCGGCGACCTCCGCTCGCTCGAGCGCGACGCCGCAGAATCTGACCTCACGTTCGCAGGGTTCGCTGTCTTCGCGTGCCCGCTGCGGAACGATTCCGCAGATGCGCTGTTGAGCCTGAAGAACTCGAGCCACGAGCTGGTGATGATCACGGGGGATCAAGCGCTCACGGCGTGCCACGTGGCAGCCCAGGTGCACATCGTAGACCGGCCGGTGCTGATCCTGACGGAGCGGAAGACGGGGGGTTGGGAGTGGTTGTCGCCGGATGAGGCGACTGCGGTGGAGTACGAGAAGGAAGGCGTGGAGGAGATTGCGTGCGAGTATGACCTCTGTGTGGCGGGCAAGGGGATCGAGATGCTGCAGCAAACAGGTGAGAATAGAGGGAAACCCTTACATAAGAGTCGTAAAGAATTGGAAGCTTTGCTCAGCACCCTTTCACCCTTTCAGTACCCCTTCACCCCACATGTTGTTCGGGAGCCGCAATGCGATGTTAGTGCCCGATTTCATTGCAGTCATTCAATTTTGCATCAAACCAGGGTCTTTCAAGATCCTCGTTGACTCTTCAACCGTTTCTTATACTGTTATTGCAGGACTTGATCGCAGCAACAGAGGCTATTCGTCGCATTGACCTGTCGGAATATTGCCAGGTTGCAGTTGGATTCCTTGTATCAGAACTCTGGATGACTTAAACGGCAGTTCAACACCTGCGCACGTTTTCCCCTTCAGGCGCCCTCCCGAGCGTCATTCCCCGGACCCAGGTCTTCGCCCGGGTCGCCCCCGAGCAAAAGGAGCTTATTCTCACCACGCTCAAGGAGTCCGGGCGCACCGCGCTGATGTGCGGGGACGGCACAAACGACGTGGGTGCGCTGAAACAGGCCCACGTGGGGGTGGCGCTCTTGAATGCGCCGATGCCAAAGAAGAAGGAGAAGAAAGAGGAGCCGGCGAGAACGGAGAGTGGGGCGTTGGCGGGGCCGTCGGAAGGGCCAGAGAAGAAGAGCCGAAAGAAAGAGATTGTGCCGGTGGGTCTGGGATGAGAAGACATTGCAAAGGGTCAACCCGGCTTGATTGGATCGTTACTGCTTGACATTGATTTGAACAGCTGAAGAGGCGCAGTGCGGATGCAGCATTTCGTGGCCGCACACACTTTCATAGCTCGCATTTTGTGATTCCCAGATCATCATTTCAGAGATCAAGTTGCGCAAGCATTGCGTTCCGTGGAGAGTGGCTTCGCTCGAAATTTTGCTTAATCAAAGAGGGTCAGACATTTCTCGGGAAAGCCAAACCAAAAAGTTCCTCCGTATAACAGCCTTATTGTGAGTTCTTCTGTGAACGTTGGCTTTCCTTGGACTTGCGTTTTGGGAGCCCCGGAGGTTCAAGTCGTGAGGATGCCAAGTCAAAAGGATCTCCGTGCAGCGACCAACCAAGTTCCATTCCGCTTGCAGTCGACCGGTCCCGACGCCCCCGGCAAGGAACTTACCCCGAGCGCCGCCCGCCTCAAGGCCCGGCAAGAGAAGTCGAAAAGCGGCAGCAGAATCTACAAGAGCAGATTTCGAATTGCTAAGGAGTTCCTGCTTTCTCGGCATGACATCTCAACCAGATTCCTCCCCGGTGCAGTCAACCGTTCCCGACGCCCTCGGCAAGGAACTCACCCCGAGCGCCGCGCGGCTCAAGGCCCGGGAAGAGAAGCTCGCAAAGCAGCAGCAGCATCTACAAGAATTGTTAAAGATCCCGTACTTTTTCTCGGCATGACATCTCAACCAAAGTTTTTCCCGGTGCAGTCAACCGGTCCCGACGGCCGCGGCAAGGAGCTCTCCCCGAGCGCCGCCCGGCTCAAGGCCCGCCAAGACAAACTTGCAAAGCAGCAGCAGCATCTACAGGAGCAGCTGGCGAAGCTGAAAGAGGAAGGGGAGCCCAATATGGTGCGCCTGGGGGACGCGTCCATGGCGGCCGCGTTCACGGCCAAGCACGCGAGCGTCATGCCCACGACCGACATCATCCGGCAGGGGCGATGCACGCTTGTCACCACGCTGCAGGTGCACGGACGGCTAGTGTTTCTATTTATCTGGTTTGATTTATACGTTCTGCATGTGATGTTCGCTCGACGTGGTTCTTGTGACGTGGGTTCTTGTGCTCTGTCCGTCCGCGGAGAGAGACTGGAGAGAATGGACGAAGATTGGATTCAAAGAGAAAGTGGACGTATTTTCACATACACGGATCCGGGAAGCGCCTTGCGAGATTTGAAGAATTTTGGCACACGTAAGCTGCCGTCAGCTTTCTTTCAAATTCTATCCAGGTTGGTTCTGGGCCGCAAGTGTTTTGCTACACGTTGAGAAGATTTCTGCTTGTCCAAGGTTTCACTCTCGCTCGGAGGGGGGACCAGTCCCGAGAATGGTTCTTTCGCACTCGTTTCAAACCCAAGATGTCAAAATTTGATCCCCAAATTCATAGAATTCGAACTCTTCGTGCGCAGATGTTCAAGATCCTGGGCCTCAACTGCCTGGCAACGGCTTACGTGCTGAGCGTGATGTACCTGGACGGCGTGAAGCTGGGCGACGTGCAGGCGACGATCGGGGGCATGTTCACCGCGGCCTTCTTCATGTTCCTCTCCAACGCCAAGCCCCTCGAGACGCTCTCGCGCGAGCGGCCGCACCCCAACATCTTCTCGCTGTGAGTTTCTTCTTCTCCTGTAATAGATCTCGCTTTGCTTTTTTCCTCTTACGGTATCGAGCGTGAAGAAGGTGCTTTCACAAGTGTTAGAACAAGTCTTACCTGCGCGGTTTGGGGGCACCGCCTCTTTCCGGTAGGAGCGTTGCCTATTTTCGGTTTCCTCTCCAAACCCCTCCGCATGCCTTTGACAGAGCGCCCACACCCCAACATCTTCTTACTGTGAGGACCTCCCCTGTGCCCAATTTAGGACGTCTTGGGTCGCGTGCTTTGAACAAGGCATTCTTGTGCCTGCAGGGACGCCAATGCTACAGAATCGTTCTGAGAAGTTTTGCTTTTTTCCTTCCCTTTCCCATTTGCGTGTGCTGACGCCGCTCGATCTTGCGTTCCTCTAGGGACGCCATTCTGTCGTTGCTGGGCATCACGTTCAGTCTCTGTCTTCATTCATGCACTGTGTGCTGACGTGAATTTTTCTCTATGCTGACGTCACTGGACATCGTTTTACCTCCAGGTACGTCATCCTGTCGTTGCTGGGCCAGTTCGCCATCCACATCACGTTCCTGATCACGGCCGTGCGCGGCGCGGCCGCCTACATGCCGGAGCAGTGCATCGAGCCGGACTCTAGCTTCAGCCCCAACCTAGTTAACACCGTCTCCTACATGGTCAACATGATGATCCAGGTACTGCCCATATGGACGTCATTATTCTCTGGCCGTAAGGCCGGCATGTTGGTCTGTGTCATCATACCCTGTCTCTGACGTCAGGATGGCCGTTGACTTCAGCCTCCCTAGTTTTTCGCGCCAGCATTTTAAGCCTGACGTCAGCATACGCGGTCCCTGGTGTCAGCTTGACATGGAACACCAGCTCGGATCTGGTCAGCGAAACGGTCAGGTCGTACCACCAGAGACTGACCCTTTGCTGTCAGCTCAAATGTCGGGCCTCTGAACTAGGCGGCCGATCGTTCCTTGACAGTCGGTCACAAACCATTCGGTTTGAAAGCTTTGCTGTTGGGCCGCGTCTACTTTGCAAATTCTCTTGCGAACTATTTCCAATCTGTCTGTTCCGCCCTGTGGTTGGTTGAGGTCTCAACGTTTCTCTTACGCTAGAACCATTTTCTTTTACCACCCTGGTTTGGAAACCTGGTTGGGTCGGTTGGGATATTGAATGAATGGCTGATGTTGACGTCACTCTTTTTCAATTCCAGGTGGCAACTTTTGCGGTGAACTACGTGGGCCACCCGTTCAACGCGAGCATCACCGAGAACAAGCCCTTCTACTACGCGCTCCTTTCGGCCGGCGTCTTCTTCTGGGTGGTGAGCGCGTTTGCCTTTGCTGGAGCGACGCTGGCTTGTGACTTGCGATGTCGCTTGGAGATTGAGGTGTCACCAGGGATGTTGAACGAGATCAAAATGGACACAACGTTTAGTAAGGGCGGTTCGAGAATCGTTCGAGACCAGCGAGTAATGTCAAAAAACCTTGCTGGTGGTCGTTCTTGGCAGAAATAGCCGCCACTTATCTGTGGCGGAGTGCTCAGTGATAGAAAGTACCTAAGGTTACGTGGTCTTGGCAGGCCGGGATGGTCCCTGGCAGCTCGTCCGTGAGGGTCTTTACGACTCCTTCGTGACATGGGTTTAGTATGGTACCGATAACCAACTTTGTTGACTCTCGAGCTTCTTCATTGCTCGGGTATCCCTCCACCCGGCAGCGGTCCGGACAAACTCTCTGTTTGTCTTATCCTTGATCGTTCTCTATTCGCGTTGCAGCTCACGTCGGACACCATTCGGCCCCTGAACGACTACATGGAGCTCGTGCCCTTGCCCCGGGACTTCGGCAACACGCTGCTCCTCATGTCCGCCTTGGACTTTGCGCTCGCCTATTTTTTGGAGAGGGTGCTTCGCAAGCTGCTCCCAGCAAAGATACCGAGCAGCCACAAGGGTCAGTCAAGTAAAGCGGATAAAAACCTGCTCGAAGCGAAGAAAGTCAATTAGCCCACGATTATTCATCTTTAAGGCGCCTGGCCCATGATCGGTCTTGGTGCTGGCAATCGTTGCACAAGTCTATTCCGGATGCGAGTCACAAGTGGAAACAAGGCTTCTGAGGTTGAGAATCATAATCGTGCAGGCCAAAACCTGTACATGTACCATTCTTGCAATTTAATGAACACCGTATCTGCTCGGGCAAATAAATTCCTTGACGATCAACTAAGTTCGTACATTCTACGAGATGCATGGCCGGGCAGCTTGATATTCGTTTATATTCTACATGAGTGTTGGAATCAAGTCTGCCAAGGCAGAGGTCTTGTTGGAACTCAAAATTAGTCTCATTCGTCTATATAGTAAAGATTACGGGCATATTCGAGTAAAAGCGCAGTTTTGTGGTCAATACAAGTTGAGTGACCACGAGAGGATTTGCTTATAACACTGCACACCAATGTGCCTCATATATGCATGCCAGCAATAGCGGTTTGCGTGAAACCTGTCACGAAGTGATTTAATTAAAGCGAGTGCATGCAGAAGGCTCACTTGCCGACACAGCGTGCGGAATCGCAAGCGCGCACGTGCCAGCTGTGCACGATCAGTGACGTCACCACCTCCCCGCCGCAAACCCTGAACCTCGCTCGAGTCAGGATCGACGGTCTGCCCTGCGGCGGCCGGCCGCCTAGAGCGTGCGCCTAGCTCTTGACACCAGCTCCGAATCGCATTTATAAGCTGAGCTGAGCTTAGCTTTATATTGAGGCTTACCTGCTGAGCGAATAAAGGCCTGGCCGGAGTGGCTCCGTACCTGCTGAGCGAATAAAGGCCTCCCGGAGTGGCTCCGTACACAGTCATCTTAGAAATTCCCATAATCGCGGCAGATATATATCCTGCCGCATTTTGAACAGAAGAATGTTGACGAGAAGTTGAGCAGTCCTCTCGCTCGTGCAGAACAACGCCCTTGAAGTTGGGCATCGTCAATTCAGGAGCGATTCAACTCTCTGTGCCTTTCTTTTTTGTTGGACCGTGGACTCAAGTGAGTTTTGGTTTTGAGAGCTAGCCTAAGCCCCATGGCTTCTTCATCTGGGATGGCCGCCCCTTCGTCGAGCCAGAGTGCAGAGCGGAAAGCGACGCCATCTGGCATTGAGACTCGAGAGGAGTTGTCTGGCTCTGAGAAGCTGCAGAAGGTAGGGTTTCTGCACCTGAAGACGAGGGTTTTGATCTGCAAGATGGAGCCGCTTGTCCTCTTGAGATAAAAATGATGGTCCAGGGGGGTCCTTTCTTGCAGGTAGTCTGTTTGAGATTGATGTTCTACTTTCACAAGTGCACACTCGCTTGCTTATCTCATTATGGTCTACAGCGTCTTGATGTTGACTGAATGACTCTCAAAAGACGCAGGGTTGCATGTTCTCACCGTGTTCCTTGCGTCAAGCTGGCATTGTACGTTTTACAGTACATACGGTCTTTCATTGCATACAGTGATTCTTGCCGGCTGCTTTGCCAGGTTGTTGCTTAGGCCAGGGTTGTCTTCCATCAGCATGTGTGCACATGTAGACTATCGTCATGAAACGTATGAGGAAAAGTGGTAAAAGGCTGATAGGCTTCAGTAGTTCGTCTTGTGCCTAAAACCCTGTTTTCCGCAGCACGTACCATACCCTGAGATGAAATTGCATCAGATTATGTTGCTTGGATTGGTTACTTCGTATGGGCAGCCTGTCTACAGTCACGTCTGGCATAAGGCTAATCTGCTAATTGGGAGAAGGGGCTGCCAACTCATCCGGCGAATTGCTGTCAGTGTACCATCTCGGCAGCGGAAGGTTCTTCTTGGTGACGTGTCCAGTCGTGGACACAAGTAATGACCAAGTGGCGTTTAAGTCGGGACTCCCACCACTTTGTTGATCTTTCGATCGTGTCTTTTTTCTGCCTTTTGGAGTTGTTGAGTGGCTGAAAGTATCAAGCACACCACAAATTCCTGTTGCAGGCCAGCATCTTCTTGTCGGATAAGAGGTCCGAGTACTTGAGAGAGTTGAAGGCACTGGTTGCGGATCCTGGGAATCGTGACTCGGACGAGAAGGTTACGGTAGGTCACTTGTCGATGGAGGCACGATCAAGCAGAAGCTGCTGCTTGAGGAACGCGCAGTGTTGTTCGAGGGACGTTCTGGATCTCGGGGGGGTAGGTTCTGTCTATTTTTTGTCTTGCCAGACGAATAAAGAAGGGAGCTTGTCTGTCCACTGTTTTTACGGGAAGGAGCGGCACTTGCTTTTCTAAGACTATTTGGAGAATAAAACTTGATTCTCCATGTTCATGTGCAGCACTTCTACAGGCTGATTGAGGAGCTGGCGTGGGTGGACCAGGATCAGGCATTTGACATCTACATGCAGTGGTGTCTGCAGAATCCAAATATCCGTCAGCAGAAGCTTGTGAGCGCCTCCTAAACTCGACGCTTCTGTGCACCTACTGGTATAGTCTCACTCCTCGGATAGCATCATATGCTGAAGACTGCCAAGCTTTAATGCCTATGATTGTGCTTGGTCTGCTGCCGCTTGATCGCTCTGGCGCTTGGAGGCTAGTCCCGTAGCACTTTACGCAATCCCCTTCTTCTCATTTCGTCTTGGCTAGGTCATATTTACGCCATGTAACGCTTTTTTGATCAGCCGCCTGTGGAGAAACTCAAGCACAACTTCGGCGAGGTGGCGGAACGTGTGCGGAGAAGGAACCAACCGCTTGAGTGGTCTGAGCGAATGGTGAGTTGATACCTAGAGGAGCCCTACTATTTCAGGCGGCTCCTTATGCACTGGCAGTTTGTTTGCATCCTTGGTAGAGAGGCAGACCTTTCGACTTTGGAAAATTGTTTACTGTGGGTGCATTTAACCTGAACATCTCTTGACACGGTTTACTGTGGGCGCATGTAACCTGAACATCTCTTGACACGGTAATGAAAGCAAGCTGCCAAGGTTTCCTGGAGCAACTTCCTGAAATGCATTCGTTTGCGGATATGCTTGCAGTTTGCCCTGACACCCAAGTCAGTACTCTTCCCCGGGTGCTGCTAGCTGTCTGGGCTCATCACACATCATCGTATGTCACGGGACTGAGGGACGTTAGATTGCAGCCTATTAGCAGAGCATTACTCGTCTCTTATCTCCTTTATTCGTTTATAAATTCTGAATGCGAAAAACACTCAACTGTTCTTTCCATTTGTGCGGTAGTTGGACGTTATGGTCTGGCTCTCAGGGGTTTCAAGGGAGGAGTCAATAAGAGTTTCCCTGTGGAAGACAGGACTCGTCTTGTCTTCCTCGTTCGCTTCAAATGGATTTTCACGAGCTACGTGTACATTTGGGTAGATCACCTGTTACCGATGAGGGTCCCTCTAAGCACCTTGTACAGCAATTGCGCAAGCAACCACTCCTCTAATGTATGTCGGTGAATAGCTGATGTTTAGAGTTCGAGTGTTTTCCGGAAACTTGCAAACGGTGGCAATCAGTCTTTGCAAAATCAGGGCTCCATGTTTTGATCCGTAGACTGTATGAGTTTACTTTTGCAGCTTACTGAGCTATGTATTCTGTCATATCGCAACGAAGTAGATGATCACCACGCAGCAGCCCAGTCCTCGTCTTTTACTACAACCCAACAAATGAAGCAGTTATTGACTTGCAAAAACCATCGTAGTCGGAGTTTGATGAGGTTCTGCAAGTTGTTTCAAGCCCACATGGCAGTCTCTAGCCAAGTGACTCAAAAACGCGCCAGGTGCGCCAAGTGACTTAGAGACACGGATCCTCAAGTTGTCGAGTATAACTAAGAAGACTCCTTCTCTTAGCTTGAATACTTTTCTCATCATGTTGACGTCGGTCATCTCATGAGCTGTTGGATACATCCCGCTGCATGCTCACGCGTGATTAGTCGAAGTGGTACGATTTCCTGACGCCACTGGCGTATTGCATATGACCTATAGCCTCAGAATGGCCTTCTGGGCTGATCTTATACTGATTGTATACTGATTCTGGGCCTGAATTGTTTAAGATCCTGGGCCTGAATTGCCTTGCGACGGCGTACGTGCTGAGCGTGATGTACCTGGACGGCGTGAAGCTGGGCGACGTGCAGGCGACGATCGGGGGCATGTTCACCGCGGCCTTCTTCATGTTCCTCTCCAACGCCAAGCCCCTCGAGACGCTCTCCCGCGAGCGGCCGCACCCCAACATCTTCTCGCTGTGAGCTTTTCCTTCTCCTGTACAGACTGTCGCTACGCTTTTTCCCTCTCTCGATGCCGAGCAGTGAAGAAGGGTGCTTTCGCACGTGGTACAAAAGTTTTCTGCGAGGCTTTAGGAGCATTTTTATTTCCGTTTTCCTCTCCAATGTTCAGCCCCTCGAGATGCTCTCGCACTGGCGGCCACACCCCAACATCTTTTCGCTGTGAGGGCCTCCCCATTTCGGCTTGCTGTTTGTCGTCTTGGTTCGTGCCCTTTGAACAAGGCATTCTTGCACCTGCGGGATTGTCAAGGCCATCTTCGCTCTCAGAAGCTTCGTTTTCTCCCTTCCCTTCCCTATTTGCGTGTGCCGGCTCCGCTTGATATGGCATACCTCCAGGAACGTCGCCCTGACGTTGCTAGGCCAGTTCGCCATCTACAGCACGTTCCGTCTTCGTCTGCTCTATGCATCGCATGCTGACAAACTCGATGCTTTGTTTGCTGACCTTGCTCCAATACTTCGTGCCTCCAGGCACGTCATCCTGTCGTTGCTAGGCCAGTTCACCATACACATCACGTTCAGTCTCTTGTCTTTTCTCATGCACTGTGTGCTGACGTCACGTCTTCTGTGTGCTGACGTCACGTGCTTCCGTGTACCTCCAGGTACGTCATCCTGTCGTTGCTGGGCCAGTTCGCCATCCACATCACGTTCCTGATCACGGCCGTGCGCGGCGCGACCGCCTACATGCCGGAGCAGTGCATCGAGCCGGACTCGAGCTTCCACCCCAACCTAGTTAACACCGTCTCGTACATGGTCAACATGATGATCCAGGTACGTTGTCGACTTCAACATGCTCTGTCCCTGACGTCATCATGCCTTGTGTCATACTATTATATGTCTTGACGCCAGGATCATCGCCTGACGTCAGCACATGTTGAGTTTGCCACCAAGATATTACACTTGACACCAGCATGCCTGTCAGCATACTGACGTCAGCGAGCCTCCTCCTGACCTCAGCTTGAGCTTGACCACCATACGTCATCTGGTCGGCATAGTGTTTGCTGTAGGGCGTGGCGCCACCGATTGACTTTTTGTCATCGATTTGAAGTGCCGGCTCTTTGACGAGGCGTTCATATTATCGTTGGAGGCATTTCGAAGCATTCGAGGTTCATGAATCATCAGGATAGCTTCGCTGCGCTAGCTTAATCTTGTGCGGAGCCGATCTTATGAGTTGCGTAGCACCTTTTGTTGCACATGACTCTTCCTGCAACTCCTCTTTCCCGCTTGCCCTGTGCTTATCTACTCTCTGAACATCTAGTTGCTCATGAATCGCGGGTTCGAACCTGGCTAGGACTTTCAGCGGCTCGCTGATGTTGACATCATTTTCCCGCTGCCAGGTGGCAACTTTTGCGGTGAACTACGTGGGCCACCCGTTCAACGCGAGCATAACTGAGAACAAGCCCTTCTACTACGCGCTCCTCTCAGCTGGCGTCTTCTTCTGGGTGGTGAGCCCGTCTTCTTTTTGCTGATGCGATGCTGGTTTCAGTAGAAAAGCAGATTTGGACTACCACTCCGTTGAAGCTGAACCCATTTCGCGTGGAACGACAGTTCGGTAGAGAGTATAATTTCCCGCAGGACAGCGGAGCTACCAGTCAAACCAGGCACTCACAAGCTTAAGAGGTGCTTGGAGTGTCGAAAATTGTGCAGGAATGTAAGAGGAGCGGAACACGAGAACACCACCCGCTCCACTACACAATCTTAGAGGTTCGCGACCAGTAAACGGGGACCGTCCGCTGTTAAATTTGACTTTGTGTTCGTCCTTTTTGGAGAAGCGCTGCGGCCACAATAATTTGCAGATTGCTTCGCTACTGGTCGCACGAATCTGCAATTTGTGGCCTTGGCAGACGCTATCGTCCCTGAGCTCTGTTATAAGGTCATGATCGTTCAGATTGTCGAAGCATTTGATCGTTGTTTTTCTGCTCATTGTGTCCATTTCGTTTACCTCTAGTCCACAAGGTTTTCTGGCACCAAGTTCTCGTCTCGAAGTCGGCCTCGATGTTTGATATTCTCCGATGTTAATCGTTTTGAAGTTGCGCTTCCTGTCTCACCCCTCACAGGGTTTCTGGAATCTGAACAAGTTACTCAACGTTCTTATACTCAATGCGGCTTGTTGGCGTAACAGCTCACGTCGGACACCATTCGGCCCCTGAACGACTACATGGAGCTCGTGCCCTTGCCCCGAGATTTCGGCAACAAGCTGCTGCTCATGTCCGCCTTGGACTTTGCGCTCGCCTATTGTTTGGAGAGGGTGCTTCGCAAGCTGCTCCCGGCCAAGATACCAAATAGTTACAAGGGCCAGTCAAGTAAAGCGGATAGACATTTGCTCGAGGCGAAGAAAATGAATCAGCAAGGACCATTTATGTACGGAGAGCCGGGCCTGACGAACAGCTAATTCAATCCTGTCGATTTTGGCTCACTAGTTATGCAGTCACCATTGTATCACCAAATATCAAGTTTGTGCGTCCGACAAAGTCATTGGTTATTGCGAGATGTCGACGCTCTAACGGTCTTGTGATTGAGCATGCATGCATGGAAGGCAATTTTGGCAACTTAGGTGTTGCTTGACAACGGTGATTGGAGCGTGATACATAGTAATCACTCGGGGCTCCTTGTCTGCAACACGTATTACAGTTAAGAGGTACAACCGACTCGGTCTTTTGATTATGCATAAGTTTGGGCACCGCGTCCTTAGCTAGAACCGTCCTTACTTGCTTAACTGTACCAAGATTGAAATTTGAAACCCCTAGCTAGGCGCCAATCACCATTGTATCTTAGATCTAAAGGTTGACATGGATTCGCAAGCAACATAAATATGCACTTCGACCACTTCTACTGCCCTTTTATTTCAACTACCAACGGTAAAAGCGAAGATTGCGGTTTATTCAAATGACAAGCATTGGGAAACGTGGTCTTTAGTTGTCGTTGCAGCGCCTGTAGAGTCCCCAACGTCTTCAATTCTGCATGAGGAGGCGACGGCCGGACGAGACAGCGTGCGGTGGCCCAGCCGAGGCACCAGCCAGTCCAGCCACATTGTTGTTCTCGGGTTCCTGCAATTACAGAAACGAACCAGAGGGGAGGTCACTTGCACAATGTGCAAAGCAAGGAGCTCATTGATCACAAGAACCTAGCTACGGCCGAGGTGCACCTCGTGACAAGAGAGGACATCCCCATTGATCACTCGGCTCAAAGTTCAAAACGAATGACGATCGGATCCAGACTTCGGAAGCAGAACGGACACGCGAACCTTAGCAATCAACCGACGGCCTTTTCGTCTCTTTGCTGTGAGCATACACTCCCAGCCTTGTTGGCAAATTGCTGAGCTTCAAAACCTTTTGATTTTACAGGCTTTTCCATGCGAGATGTGCAGGCGACGCAGTCATAGTAGCTAGCGGTCTCGGTAAGAGCGACATAGGACGGCAGCCCGCCAGTGCTTCGCACGGCACAAGGGTCCACGAAGTTAGGTAGCCAAGTGTCAGAAAGCGACCAAGTAGACGGGATGATCAAACATAGCCAGAAGTCGAGATCAGCGTCGAATCAACAGTAACCGTACAGTCAATGGGAACAAATGACGTATACAAGCTGGAAAGATGACGCTGGCGCAGGGCAGACCTGGATGTATTGGACTGTTTGTCGGACTTACTCCAGATCGCCGGGACGCGTTTTCAAGTGTCCGAGCAAGTCCGGACGTGTTCCCACTCCGAAAGCTCTTTGTGTCAAGACCCCGCGTCTCAAAAGTGAACCGGCCCATTGCTATATTGCTAAATCCGGTTCAAACGACGCTTTGGCGTTTGGCGACTTCATTGAGCCGGATGCGAATTGCGGTATGCATTCGCTTCGGGCTGACGATTTTCAATCACGGAGCTCTCCCGCTTGATTTGGGGAGCAAGGCAGACTGGGCCATTATTGACGCTCCTCCGGCCTTGATCGAATCAGAAAGAGTTTTGTGAAAGATCCAAAAATGAAAGCCCCAAAAGTCACAAAAGCAGGCAGGGAAACGAGCACGCGAGGTGGCATACCTTGCCGAACCGACTGAAAGCGCAATCTGCTTCGGTCAGACTCGAGGTGGCATAGTCGTCATCGGTACCCTCCACGTACTCCCGGTGACGTAAGCCCTCGAGGGTGCCCATGTCCAGCCTCTTGGAAATAGCCCCAGGTGCAAACATCTGTCCAAGAAACTGCACCTCGAAGAAACTCTAGTGTAAGTAAAGGTCTAAATGCCAAAATACTTGACCCGCCCAAACCTTCAACGAGAAGACTTCAGGCCCCAGAATCATTTAAATCATTGCAAACATAGAGTGAAATCAGTCCACAAGGTTGCAAAGCGGATGAGCAGTGGAGCGGCAAAGTGTGACAAAAAGTGTAGAATCGAACGGCTTCAAGATGTTTATTTTTGGTGTGCTTGAACAGACTGTTGACAAGCTGAGTCACAATGACGCATGAACTTTCGACGGCTGCAACGGGCTTTTTAGGCCCATCCTCGCTTCACAGAATGGAGACCAGCTTACAAGTGTACAATTCTGATAAGGCCAGATAAGAAAGCGCTAAGATTGCAGAGTTGACTTACCCCATGCACTTTTGGAGTAGTGGAGATGTTCCTGACGTTGAAGTTTAGGAAGTGAATGGGCGGGTCGGCAATCAGCTCCTTCTCCGAGTCGGTCACCACCTCCATCTCGAGCAGGTTTGAGATGGAAATGACAAGCGATTTGATGCGGCCAGCTTCGCGCACAATGCTTGCGAGGCCGTCGGGGCTTTTCCACACGACCGGCCCCGGTGTCTAGATAAAGATGAACGGGCAAATCATCAGAATTTCTATCAAGATGGTACATGTTGCATATTGTGTCGACGGTGTTACCAGGGCACCTTGAGGCAAAGTACATGGCATACTATTGGGCAAAGATAACTGCTGCCAGCAAGAATCCCTAAGCGTACCGATCTGCGGCGGTTAGTCACTGAGGAAGCGGAAAGAGGTCCAGGCAAACTTATCGATCTAAAAGACAAAAATAGGAAATTAGCCAGCGGGCCACTTTGAACACTTACATCTAAGGCGGCCACGGGAACATCGTCGAAAGTTGTATTGAAAGGCTGCTCGCCAAGCCTATCAGCAGCAGGATCGAGGAGAATGCTGAGTCTATGAGGCTCCTCTTTCTGGTCAAGGTACATAATCCCAAAGCCCTTCATCCAGGTGCCTTCAAAAAACGGGTCAACCTCCTCCATCGGTCGTTGCAGCAAGACGGCTTCTGGGGAGAGGCTAAACATCTGTACTATCACCTGCACAGGGGGTCAATATTTGGCATTTACGTTAGTAGTTTGCTCTAGTGGTCACACAAAGAAGAAAATGAAACAAGAAGTGCAGCCTGTAAGTATTCCCTCAAGCATGGGAGGTGCCTGCAATGCATTGGATGCAACTGAGTGAATGATCTTGCGTAAAATGTCCAGCCCTCTCTATACAATGCAACAGCTCCACACTTAGGCTTAGACTACTCAGTCAGACTATGTCTTTTCTAAGTATATGGCCTTGCAAGGCAGTGGATGCTTTCCTTCGGTGTGCCCTAGGCAAACATACAACCAGGATTACTTCAGCCAAAACCAGAATTTGGTATAGCCATTGAACTGGAGTTTGGTATACTAACCTCCAGTCGGTCGTCCGAGATCATGCAATAGTTCTTGCCATTTCTCAGCACAAAAGGGAGGGTTTGGCAGAGAAAGTTTCCAGAAGAGTGCTTTGTCAACAGGACATCAAGTGACGTGCTACGATTGCGGACGGCAAGGACACATTTCGAGGAACTGTTACCTGAGGAAAAAATAATACTCTGGTACACTCAAGGTCCCAGTGATCGCTCGGCAAACTGCTCAGCATCTTTCCAGTCCTCTCAAACACTGGTGGCATTGCTTGAGATAGCGACAGACAGTATTTGGCATCCTAGGAGTGACATTACCTGAAACAAACAGACACATGCATAGCAATTGCCTAGCAGTCTGGGGGCTTGAATTATGACAGAAAATGTTTATAGCAACAGAGCTGAGTATTTGAAACCCTATCACTGTCTTCTAGCGACATTGACCGAATAGCGACAATAGGAGTATCTGGAACCCTAGTTCTGTCTTCCGAAATCAGAGAAGAGCAACTGCCAAGCGGATGATAAAAAACAAGAGTCCAGACTGTCATGTAGCGACGATTCTTGGAACTTCAATCCTGTCTTCTAGTGACATTGCCTGACAGAGCGATAGATATTGGCAAGTTGTACTCTAGCTCTGTTTTCTAGTGACATTGCTAGAAATCAAAACAGGCATATCGTTTGCAGAGCATTCTGTGGCATAAATGTGACAGAAAATATCAACAGCAACGGAGCTCAGCATTTGGAGTTCTGGTAAAGTCGACTTGTTTCAAAAGCTCACAAGTCATAAGCGTAAAACACATCACTTACAGTCTCACAGCCCCTTGTGTTTTCATGCTGCTGCTCCCCTAGCGCCGCCATTGTTGTATTGAATTACAAGTACTCTAGTGATGGTTTTCAACTCTTGTGGTAGTACAGAACTACGTGCGCCAGTGATGTCTTGTTGCTACTGCCTCTCTCCTAGTTGTGAATATCACCCATCCTGTGTCCGGTCACTCTGATTCGCGTGCTTGAAATTGGCCTATCAAGGTGTGCTATGTACAGAGAAATCTGAATACAGTTGCAACATGTTTACGTCACATGACATCACGCGTGCCGCATCCGCGCGCGAACCCGCCAAGGTCTAACATGAGCGGCCGCGGGAGACGTAGCTACCCGCCGCGGGCGCCAGAGTGGTCGCGCGGCCGCGCAAGTTTCGGTTTCAATGGCACGGTCACGTGTCTGTGTTATTTCGCGCGCGCAGAACGCGGATTTCAATGAAGACATTCGGTGAGTTTTAAAGCTCGCAAAATTCCGACTAAGATGCATGCCGATTCGCAGCCGGCGTTTCAAATCAGAGGCTTCTCTTGATGTGTGCTACGAGTACGGTAAGGGCGTGGAGAAAAACGAGAGGCGAGCTTTCGAGCTGTATGCGATGGCCGCCGAGCAAGGGGACACATCAGCGCAGTGCAACCTGGGCGTTTGCTACCATAATCATCGC